ATCGACTTTCTTTAAATGCCCCTAATCCTTTTCCCTTTTCCCTTTTCTTTTCATTTCTTCCTTCTTCTTTCATTTTTCTTTTCTTAATTCCTTCTACATCTTTTGTCAAATCTCGTCTCTCACTGCCACTCTCTATTGTCTATTCTCATTGTACTATTGCTACTTCTTTACTTTGCTACTTCTTTACTACTATTACATATATTGCTTATAGCTTACTTATCTTACACTTTTGAACATAAAATATGATCCCACAATGAAAAAGAATATAAGTACGTTTTATGTTACAGTTCTATAGCAGACATATTGACAACTACATCTTTAATATAATGATCCTTCCCAACAAGAAGATTGACTACTTGAATACAAGTACCTCATAGATATCATATGTATACACGGGTCACAACGGGTCAACGGGTCGGGTCAAGGGTTAGACAGGTTGACCCGTGGGTCAGAAAAGCATCAACCCGACCCGTTGACCTGTCCTCAACCCACGGGTCGGTTTTGACCCATAGGTCAGATTGTGACCCCTATGCCTGACTGTTGTATCCAACATGATCAATAACACATATTCTTTAATTGGTCATTAACGATTGCTGTTATTTCCCTCATAACCTCACTTGTGCGGACATTTCTTTATTCATACACATCTTAGTGAAACACCGATCAGCTATGCTCAGGAAGAAGTTGTCATTATTCGGATCACGTAATTCACATTAGCTACTATTTGAGGCATTTACCCGGATGTACCTTTTACTCACGCATCATACATTACTTAATCCTATATAATTGATTTGTAACATCAATTCATCCGTCCAATGCACACGCTGTGGTAGTTGCCAAGGATAAGCCATTTCTTATAAATAGTGAGAACTTTTGTTATCATAATAAGCCAGTTTCAATTCCTTTCGGGTCTCGTTGACTTATTCTGTCTCTTTTGGTTTATTGGATATTACACTGACAAAAGATAAGTAGTGAATAGTGAAGCTTTGAAAATTCTTTTTTTTCCTAGATATTAAGATTAGGTCCCTGCTATACTATAGACCTGAGTCTAGACCTGTACTAATCACAAAATGATATTGCCAAAATATCAATAGGGAATTATCAATAATAGCTCTGACATAACATATCTTCTATTAAATAGAGCATGGTCCTTACGATTTCAATCCAGCGTAAAATCTAGATTTGGAAATTTCACTTTGTAACAGCCATGCTTTTTTAACGTTGCACGTTCCTGGGAGACTTGGGTAAACTTCAACTTTGTGCCGTCTTCCTAGACTATTACCACATTGCATTTCTCAATATGAGTTCTGAAGAGGTGTGCTACTTGATTTCATCTGCCATCAACGACATTTGAGGTCTTTCTGTAAAAATCGTTGAGCATTTTCCACCATTAGCCGGGATTCTGACAGACTGCTCTAGATGAGCTACAAATTTACTAACTAATTTTTTTCTGCACATTTCTCGACAAAGCAGCCGACCGATCATGCCTGTCACTGTGGCTCGGATCACAATGAGCCATGTCCAGTGCATTCTCGCAGTGTTTCAGTAGAATAGGCAACGCATATTTTAACCTTGTGTATTTGAATATTACTGCTGCAGCTGTTTGCTTACAAAGCTACAGATAGTTCGTTTTTGTAAAAACTTTTGCACCTACGTTTTGTATCTGTGGCTCGAGCACCCATCGTAGGCAGTAGGCGTAATCATAGAGAATGCCCACTTAACCCTATCAACTGCGGTACTGTGTACTTACTAATTTTTTGGTGATAATGCAATTTTGCTGAAAAGATTACAAACAAACCTCCTCCAATACTCGCTATAGCTACTACCTTGCCACGATCACCTGTGCCTATGATCAACAGTTCGCCTCCACTAACTTCTCCTGCTGTCGCTGCCCCACCTTTTAGAGCTTCGGGTTTAGAGTGGGGCAGCGCCCTAATAGGAGGGTCAGCGGGAGGGAACGTCCTACAAATATAATTATCAATGTCATATTAGTAAAAGCATCTAGATCGTAACAAATAATAGAATTTCGGGCCTTTGCTTTGGTAAGTGAGTAGGGCGAGCAAAGCGAGCTTTGTTTAGGGTGTACGGTCACATCTTTAGTAGGTAGAGCGAACAAAGCGTGCTTATTTTAGGGTCTAACAATCACATTTTTAGTAAGTATGATAGAGCGAACACAACGGCCTAGGTTTAGGGTACAACAATCACACCTTTCATAATGTCCCAGAATTTCCACCTCAACAATTGTCCAATACCCGTTTCAAGAGCAAGAGAATTCCACCTCTAAGATTCTGACCTGTAAATTTTACGAAGAAACTGAACACGATCTATTCAGTTGCGAGGATTGCCCGGGTATTAGACATGAATTGTCTGAGAGTTCGGAGTACATTAACTCGAGTAACTGACACAGTAATCAGCTATATAATCTTAATTTGAAAGAGGTATTGCCTTTAGGCATTTTTAGTGCAGTGACGACAATGACTTCAAGACCAAAATTATAAGAAACACCATTCTCACTCCTGTCAAGCAGAACAAATTTTCAGCATTGTTTGAAGGTAAAAGGGGGTGGTAGGGGGCATTGCCCCCACCCGGGGTCTGGGGCAGAGCCCCAGTAAACTAGTCCCTGGAGGACAGATGCTAACATGCAGCGAAGTGGAGGGGCTCACATCGTCCAGAAGCGAAGCGGAGGGACCAGTTTATTACTATAATAATAATAAAAGGAGTTTTATATAGAGATTTATGGTTAGGGAGATAATTCTAGGTAATAAAGGAAATAAAGTATAGGGAAAGAAGTATATGAGAAAATATCGAAAAGGCAAGTTCAGCATCCATACATTCATTTCTTGCCCCACCTGAGGAGCCATTCATCCTCGAAAAGTCATGTGCCTCCAATTTTTGTATATATATGTTGTATATGTTTTGCCAATTGTTGCTTATTATTATTATCTGCCAAACAATTAAAGGCTAACACGTTTACACGCAACGTATCAAACATCTGAAAGCGGAATAGCGCAGAGGAAGCGCGTTGGGCTCATAACCCAAAGGTCGGTGGATCGAAACCACCTTCCGCTACAACAGATTCCGAGCTTCAGAAGCTCGAACGTTCGTTTTGTAGTCGCTCAGTGTATTTTTTTTTTTTTGAAAAATTGTCATATTTTTAATAGACAGAAACCACAAGAGTAGACCACACAGAAAGAACCACAAGGAAGTAGTACCGACAGGTAATCACAAAGAGAATAGGATAGTTAATAAATACACTTTATTGTGATTGTTGATCCAAGGTATTTATACCTTTTGTGTTATGAACATTTCTCGACCTCGATGATCACTTATTAAATCCCCAAGTAACAATATCATCCATCATCACCGTCCGAATTATCAACCCTAGTACCAATCTTTCCGTTTATTCGCATTATTAAATTCCATAGTAAAAGATATATAAACACCATAGTCTTTGAATAATAAAACATCAGTCAGATATCTTGTTTCCGTCCTATATCTTGCTCCTTATATCTTCTCTCATCATCTGGTCTCGTACCTCCAGGTGTCCTTCTTGTCTTGTCCTGTCCTTGCTGAAAGCACCTAGCACATTCTCGTCCGGTCTTTCTGTTCTTGTCTTGTCCTGTTCCTGTCCGCACCTTACATTTTGATCAACTTGTAAGAACCAGTAAAATGTACAATATCGATATTACTAATACAATTCAAATCTGATGAAGGTTGATGAATCATCGTGGAAGGAGTTGAAGCGGTTGCTGTGGTAACGTCTTATAAGCACAAAGGATAAAAAAGATACACAGACAATGCACGCTATTGCTCCGTAGATCTCATTGGCTCATTACTCGGGTCGAGAAACATGCTGCTACAAGTGTTGTCATTTTGTAGAATAATATCACGCAGAGTAGAAACTAGAGACGACCCACAAAGGAATGACTACGAAGAAGTGACACCCTGAAGGTATAGCCACAAAGATAGACGAGTAGATAGATGATACTTTATCAATAGAGATGGCCTATATTATACTGTTTTCTTAAACCAAATGTATGCAAAGTAATGCTGCGGATATGATGATGATTATAATGACAAGCTGCGGATGATGTTGACGATTGCTGTTGCGCAGGCAGGGAGTACAAGAGGAAGTAGCTGTACATTATATTAGGGATGACTTCTTGACGACCGCAGTAAAAGAAGTATCTACAGCTAATAAAATAACAAGGGTATTGTACTACGACACTATTTTCTGTGCACTCATTTTTCTCGCTCTCTGTTTTGCTACTGCTCTGCTCCTCAAGAACTGTGAACGTATGCCTATTGCAATCGTAAATCCATTACTACTACGTGATTTATTTATTAAGGATTTGATAAACTAAAGCGCTGTAGATACAGTAAATTTATTTTTTGGCTCTAAGCATTGTGTCAGTTGTAAGGTGCATACCGTTACGACGATATGCAACCGGCATGGTTGACGATCGACTACGCATGGTTCAGACGATAGGATGACTTGCGGTCAACTGTATGGTTGAATAAGGAGTAATAGGCGTGGATACTCTAGATAGAAGTATAATCTATATCAATACTTAGACGATAGCTAGCCCTCTATTACTCAACGTATATATAAAGACGGGATCCTGAGTTATATGGATCCCTATCGTTTTATCCTTTGATATGTCCGAGTCTCACCTTGTTTATTGGTTCACACTGTCTAGCCATTCACGTTCCCGATTGTAAGTATCTGGGCCGACGTTGTTACATCAGTGGTCTCTGACACCTAAAGCTGTAGTGCCACGTCTACGGCTCTTTTCACTGCTTACTATATGCTATTTGCTTGTGCCAGTCGTTGTAGCTGTTGCTGCCGTACTTTTTCATATCCGCCCCATGTCACCTACTATATACTGTGGTAAAGGTTTTGCCAGGAACGATGAGAAACAACGCTCACATAGAGGAGACAAGCTCAAATTAAAACACTTGTTCGCCCAAGGAATAGTAAAATCACCAGATAGTAGTACTTAGGTGAAGGCAAACGAGTTTTTCAAGCTAGGTGCAATCATGTCGATCTATAAAGCAATGATGATGTATACATTCTTCTTCCCAGTATTCCTTCGTTAGAATCGTTTGTCACTTCATGTATGCTTAAGACAACGGCTTTAATTATACTGTCACTGTCTCTTTCATTACCACTACCAGAGCATCGCTAGTACCGGATACAGTACTGGAGCTAAAAAACAGACGACGAGAAAATCGCGTGCTACCAGTACAGTGAAACCATGTAAGCCTATCCGTATGAAGTTAAAGTCACATTCTTTAAGCAACAAGAGCGCACTCTCTATCAACATCTAGAGTACCACGGTATTATCTTATCAGCGTAGCGATAAAATTACTACCGCTCTTACTCAAACAAAAAGGCTTCTTTCTCTCTACAGGCTGTAACAGCAAAAGCTTGGCAGTGTGTTTTCGGTATATACAATAGTTAGCGTCGTTGAATAATGCGGCAGAAATAAAGATCTTCGACGCCTGAATACCATAAACGAAGATCTTTCTTTTCCTTCTCTTATTTTCGCCACTAAACGTGGCGCTCCAGGTATAATAGACAGACCATTCACTCTTCTATTGTTCAATTCACTTTTTGCATCCCGGAGAATTCTGGAAATTAAGCTTCAAAACTTGGTTTATGCCTAAACTGACGAATTTGTAAAGTATGTCCCTGTGTTTATACTCTGATCAGAACCTATTTCGAACCACATCAATAACAAAGCTTTGTTTAAAAAATAGTGCTTAGTGAATGGTAAGGATTGTTTAGAGAATCGGTCAGCACAATACCAGAGATGTAAGTTTTGCTCTCTACTGCAAAAAAAGCTTTACTGATGACCTCATATGTGCATCCTTTGCGAGATTTACCGGGCACTTGGGTCGAACATAATTGACAAGTAACCTCGGGTAGACACCATGAGTAAGAGTTTCGTCTGACACCCGTCGTCGAATAACATATTGCGGGAAGCACGTGTGATTCGGCAGATATAGCAATTTGGTACACCAAAAGTGCTATCACTTCTTTTTGCCACACTAATCGCTCGCGGACGTTAGTTACTGATACAAACTATGTCGCCGTTGATATCTTCTGTCTGCTTTCGACATGAAAGCGGTGTTTCGGTGATAGTGCCCTAAAGGTCCATCACGGGCTAATAATTAGCCTTATTTTTATCTCGTCTGCTTCATTATATTTAGTATCCGATAAGTTTAATATCATGTTTGTTCTATCCACGTACATCCTACAAGCAAAGCAAATTTACTTAAACATGGTGCAATATGGAATCCAGCCCACGTCATTTTAAAGAACATCCCCACTCCGTCATGTCTTATTAAGGATAAAATGACAAACTGATGACACAAAAAGTAGCTGAGCTATTAAACTATTGTCGAAGTAACAACTAAAGCTTCACAACATCTAGATCAATGTCAGTGACGCTGTCATTCTCAGCGGCTCGATAAGTAAGCGCATTTCCTACATCAAACCATAATAGAAATGTACATAGTAATATCACACAAATAATTAGTCATTACTACGCCAAGCAGACGTTTCAGACGGATCAAAGTGGCTACCAGCGGAGTCCTAGAGAGGTGCCAAGACATGTTTTTGGAATACGATATAGTATAGCTTATGGTACTTCTCAAGAGCGCTCTACAAAGCACAAAAAAGGGGGGTTGTGTACTGGAAAACTACCACTAAGAAGAAAGAAAAGGAACAATAAAAAGTGAATTACGATGTTGTTTGGGTGGTTGGTGTCATCCAACAACAAAATAATGTCGAGAGTGAGTACTCAGGAAGCCGCCTTTCCTAATTCCAGCTGTGTTCATAGTAAGAAAGCACCAGATTCTTTATTATATATCAACCTTCTTGTATCGATTGACGGGATGGTGGAATTGTAGTTGCTAAATAGAAAATACGGCAAGCAAAAAATGTTTCTCAACAGCAATATGTTGTATATAAAAAAAACAAAGCTTCTCTGCCTACTTTTCCTCTAGACAATAATGCCATTGGGTGAACATGCCTTATGCCAGATCGGATGCACAGTCGTCTATCTTATCGACTCGAGCTTAAATACTAATGTATTAAAAGGAGCGAAGATGACATTGTTTGTTTTATTGTCAATTATTAATGCCAGTATCATATGTTTGGGTTGTTTTCCTTGGCTGTTTCAGTGCGTTGAGTGTCGTTGTTGTAACTACCGGTGGCGGGATGTAATATATTAACGTAGTTTCCGAGTTTTCCACCGTTCGAAGAGTTGATGTACTGCTCATGTATATATTTACTTTGGCAGCAAAGCTGCTCGATCGAATGAGAGAAGTTGTATCATCATAAGGACGGTAAGATGCATCTGCTTCAAGAAAGTGACACAGAACCGGCGGAGTAACTAGATGGAGGAGGGGCGTTCGCGAAAGGGAGCGGAAGGTCCTCGGAATTAGTATATATAAGCTTTGCTTCCTCGAAGTAGGCTCTCTTTTATTGTTTGTTTCGGGTCATTACTTTTTTACACAAATGAACGGGTGCAGAAGGAGTAGCAAGTCGCATGGTGAATGCTTTACTTTGAGTGGGTGTAAACATAACACTATGCGTGTTCTCAATGTAGCCCCGGTCATGTTGCTCGGCTTGATCTTTTTGTGGTGCTACTGGGCATACCACTTTCGGCTTTGCGGGAAGCTGTTAGCCGATGGCCGGATCGCCCAAGGTAAGAAACAATGTGCTAGTGACCGAAGTTGACCTTAATTTTTCTCTTCGTCTCCCATTAACCTGCGAGAAAATATATATGCATATGTAGGAGCGCTATATGTTGTATTTTTCCAACCTTTCTTCTTTTTATGTATATGGTCTTTTTATAAAACGATATCCACGTCTCCCGGACGTCCACTTGATGTAAATACACAAGCGTGCTCATTGATGAATACGACAACAAGCTACTAAGGCGATGATAACAAAGAGAGAAAGTTAACACCACAGTTGCTATAGGTGATCAATGATCGAGAATCCCAGGACGAGGACCGAGAAGACGTCCAGTTATTAAATGCTGGTGAGCAACAACAAAACCATAACCACGATGACGATGAAGAGCTTGGCGACGAAGATAATGAAGAAGCACAACGACGACAAAGTATCGCGATACTGAATGTCGAGGCCGCAGGCGAGTCTCGCACCAGTCTCGCACGACCATCCTCCTCCCACGACCGCTACATTAACAACAGCAGCAACAACAGTGCATCAAACATGCGTAACGTATATCCACTTATCACTGTGAAGCGAAGCGGTGGAAAACGATTTTGCTCAAAATGTCGAGTAGAAAAGTTTGATCGAACGCACCACTGCCGAATGTGTAAAAGGTACTGTTGGGAGTGGACTGGATAATTGCGTATCGACCTAGAAGGGGCGACTATGCGCATATAACAGTAACATTTTTATGCTGACATGTACTTGATATCTACTAGTTGTATTTTAAAAATGGATCAGTAAGTAGCAAGGAGCATAAGTAAACTGAATAACACTAGCTGGATCCACATATTTAACCATTCTCATTCTGCAACCACCATCGAATTCCTGCGGCGGATGATTTTGTAGCCACTGTCCATGGTATGTTACATAACAAAAAACAATGCAAAATGATAGATATGTTTCTGACTTGAGTCAGGGTGAACAATTGCGTGGGATACTTTAATTACAAGTTCTTTTACTTGTTTATCCTCTACGCCACTCTTGTCTGTATATATGTTTTTAGCACCACTTTACCACCTACGATCGAGATGCTCAATGGACCCATGGTAACTTATATTTTAATCAGGCGTAGTTATTCTCGGATAGAATGCGCATATTCAAAGAAGTGTATTAACAGCAACACCCACTTTAATCTTTGTATGTGGGTTAAAGAGTATCTTTGGGCTTGACTTTAATTGGCCAGTGCTACTCTTTGTGTCTGGTCTGTTTGGTGTATTCCTGGTGCCTTTCACCATATTCCACACACGACAAATTCTCAAGAACCGAACAACGATCGAGTTCTATGAAAAGGCGAACTTTAAGCTTGGACGTACAGCGAATGGTCGTGTGGATGTCATGCGGAGTCAATACTTTAATCCATGGGATTTGGGAACAAAGTAACCAGAAAAAAGATAAAATTAGAGACAGGGTGTGTAGATATCGAGTGCCAAGTAGGAACTGACGATATGTGTGTAATTCTTGGTATAGACAAAACTTTATACAGGTAATGGGGGCGAATTCCGCAAAATGGTTTCTACCTGTCGGTAAACCGTAAGTGTCATTTGATTTGCGAGGCAAAAAAAGTAGAATAACAACAACAGTTCTCTAGTTATTAAACTGATTCATATCATCAATAGTCGAGGGAAAGGAAACCACTTTCCGATCAGTGAATATGCGTACAATACCTTATCGACGGATGCAGACGACCAGCTGGACTCATTTTAGCCGTGGTGTGTTCTATGTCTGACTACAGGATTATATATTAGTTTTGTGTGAAAGTAATAGTAGTATGAATATATAGATTACACGCAGCACATGTAGAATGAGTGATGGGCGTGGTGCGTGCGTGATCAATGCCAGATGTAACAGCAGGCGGACTTGGTATGCATGTGTGTGATCCTTTAAGAGCTTTTGGGACCTGGGTTGCCAAGTGTACGTGCTTGCGTTTTCTTTCTCTGTTTCACCAATTCGAATTATACACAACAGCTCAATGAGCAAAGCAACCCAGCAGCATAATCCTCCGGACCATGACGAGCCACCACCTCCGCCTTACGCAGAGTCAGATAATACGGCTTACAATCCGGCATTCATGAATCTGCCAAGCACTCAACATTCTCCCAATACACCGCTTAACTCACCGTCCCAGTCATCTGCTGCCGATGGCAGTAGTACTCAACCTTCCCCATTCGTGGTTCCTTCTGCACCTCCATTTTTTTCTGCTGGTCCACAGCAACAACAACAACAAGCTTCGTCAAGCCTGTATCCAACTATTCCGCCGTCTCCCGAACCGCAGTATTATCAGCAGTATCAGCAACAGCAACACCACCACTATCAAAGCCAAAATAGTACACCGCCGCTACCACAGCAAGCAACCATCCGATATCAATATCATTCAATTAACGTGCCGCCGCATCGTCAGCCTCCTCAGCATCCGCAATATTATCAGGGTGGATCGGTTATTCGTCGACGGATCCCAGATCCTTCTGAACGAGGGTTCCCCATCGCAGCACTGTTTTTCTTGTTTGGATGGTGAGCTAACTATGTTTTGCCTTTCGAGAGCCAGTGGATTCGGGAAAGGAAGCGAGGGGAAAGGGTGATAAGGCACGTGGGTGAGCTGAGAGACCGAAAGCGTTTAATGACATGTCATGCATTATGTAAAATAGGTTTTGTCCGCCATTGTGGGTGCTCGGTGCATGCTGCTGCAGTGGAAGTCGTAATCGTTACGAAGCATGGTGGGGCAAGGCCAACTTTATCATGGCAGTGATGTTTATCATTTCTTCCATTGTGTATTCTATGATTGCAATTACAGTGGGCGACTGGATGGTTGGCATGCGATTATTGAGCTTTTCCGTGGAGTAGGAGTAAATTCAGCTATTATTGATGAAAGATGTAGTAGTTTTATTATGAAGGCTTGTTGATTGATGATTGGTATATACCTTAATTCTTTCTTTTCTCTATACACATTGCATTATAAATATACATATACACATTTTTTATATATCATATCCAACTCGCGATCCCTCTTTTCATTCCTCATCGCTGCTAGAGGAGTCTGTATCATACATGACGGGCCGGTTGTTGTTGACAAACAGATCATCGTCATTATCGCTGCCGTCGTTGTCGCTATGGTCGTCGTCGCATTCATCAGACATTTCTTGTTGCTTTTTCTGTGAGAACTCCGTTGGCCTAGCGAGAAAGAATCATTAATATAACAACTTGACAATTGCTTCTAACTTTTCTACATACCACTGGCCTGACTGTTCTAAGGTCTTGATATGCTTGGGAAACAGTACATGAATGATCTCTCCACCGACTTTTTCTGTCGTTGTACCAGCGGATGGATCCACAATCACATAGTGCCCTTTTAGTATAATATTGATAGTAGCAAAGTGTCAGTATATATAATGCTTGGTATGTCCAAAAACTTCCGATTCATAAAGATCTCTTTGTTACCTCGCTTGACCCAAACCAAATGCCGGAATTTAGGTTGTAGAGTGACAAGTGTTCGAGTACCGTCGGTGAATTCTACTTCATGTTGATGATTGCCACGGGGACCAATAACTCTGGCATAGCGTTGTTGAGATCCAGGCTCAATGACGGGTGATTCAGCGTCTAAAATATCAGAGGTAGTTTGCTTCCTTCCCATCTCGGTGTCAAGTCAAAGGAGAAAAAAAAAGGTTGTCGTTTCCGGAGTTTTCGTTTTGCAGGATCCCGAAATATAGCTCAATGCTAATTTGGTGGCTTGAGAACCGTTGACACACAAAATTACTACTATGCGTTTGCTATCTCGTTTGAGCACCATTAAAGCAAAAGCTTTTGTATCCAAAATTCATGTGCTAAGTTCCAATGGAGCTATTGTATATATCTAGTATTAATATAGAGTGTAATCCTACAACACTACCAGTGTACCTGTAAAGAAGCATCTCTTGTGATACTCTTTTTGTTAGGTGTCGGAAACCCAAAGAAAGTAAATTTATTGAAGAACAGCGCGGCGCGCTTGCACTCGTATTTCGCGTCGTCGCCTTTTTCTTTCCTTTTCGCGAAACTTAGTCCCCCCCTCAATCACTTCTTTTTATATATAAATGTCCAGCAGTTCTGTCGACATGTTAGTTAGAAGGAATTCTTTTGCTGGCAAATGAATTTTCGTGAGTCTACGGTGCAATTAATACAAAACTGCCGTTCTTTCCTTTTTTCTGTATAGTGGAACGCTCGAACGCGCAGAAGCAACGTTTGACGATCTACCTGATCTAGCGGACAACTTAATCATCAAATCGAGATCATTTCACCGTCAATATGCCAGTTTATACTTTGTTCGGCTACTCAAATTACGTCCAGCGGTTTTAGCACAGGCCAAGCTTCGCTGGGAAAGCTTACCTGGTAAACCATTTGCTCAGCAAACAGTTTTTTATTGTTGCACCTACTCACGCGTTAGAGATATTTATGATCACTGCTTTAGATAAACCAAAGTATGTACCCAAAGTCCTTGATACCGGTATTAAACGCTGCTATGTTGTTGGTACCATTTATGTTGAAATGCAACTCAAACCGAACGTTTTGAAGGATCTTACAGAAGAGGTAAACACACTCCTGTTGATTATTTTTATTACAGGAGTAGCTAAGAAGATGTATCAATTATTACAGAGGTAGTTAAGAAGATGGAGTTGCTAAATTCTTCTGATACTACTGCTACTTTTGTAGACTTCAATATCAGCACCAACAATGCCACGTAAATATAAGGGCTCAGAAGACAAGATTTCCATTGAAGATGAATCTGGTCGTATTGAGTTGGTTGGTGCTATACTAGAGAAGGAGTTTTGGGTCACTGGTAAGGACATAGAGAAACAAAGAGTTGCTTGTGGAAAGAATTTCGATTGATGAACCCAACACAGACCGCTTAACGATATAACAATTTTTTAAATCAGGCACCGTGGTTGCTTTGCTCGGAAAAGAAACAGCGGCTGGAAGCTTTGAAGTACAAGAAGTGTGCTATCCAGGTGTTGCACCACAACCCCCTATTCCTCAGAACAATGGTAATCAATCAATCTTAGCACGACCCCCAACTTGGTCACATGGTGAAAAGTCACCGCAAAATGCTTAAAGTTTTTGCTTGTTTCTATAGACAATTCCAAATACGTCGCCTTGATATCGGGTTTGAACGTTGGTGCTGATCCTGCAACAGACCTGAAATTACAGTTATTGACGGAATATCTGACTGGGGAACTGGGAACTATGGATGTAAGGAAGGGAAAAGAAGTTGCTGATAGCGTAAAGTTGTGAGGTTGTGTAGAAAATGCATATAGTGTGTGAAGCTAACGGCGATTCTATCGTCCTAATTATCATGGATAGATACAAAAATCAAGCTCACGAATCACTCGAGTAGTTATCGCTGGTAACTCCATCGGTACACGGCAGCTTATTGAAGAAGATCAAAAGACAGTAAGTGCCTTATATAACATTCAAGGTAGCACTGTATACTTATGAAAAGTGCAATGTGTGAGCGGGTGCTAAAGACACTCTTGTCAATAGAAAAAATATGGTTACGACTCTACACGATACGATGCCGCTCCATTAAATCAATTCGACGAGTTACTGGAAGAGTTGTGTGCAAGTGTTCCCGTGGATATTATGGCCGGAGAAAAAGATCCGGTCAATTGCCAGCTGCCACAGCAACCACTTCATCCATCCTTATTCACAAAAGCAAAAGAAAACGCCACCATGCGCAGCGTCACCAATCCATATTGGTGCAAGATGGATGATGTCACGTGAGTACCTCTCTCCTCTACTGAAATGAGATAGCTCGATTTATTAATACCCTTGTGTTTTTCTTGGGCATATAAAGATTCCTGGGAACGTCTGGACAAAATGTGGACGATATATTCAAATATGCAGATAGTGATGATCCGATCGTCATGGCAGAACGATGTCTGTTCTGGAGACATATCGCACCATCTGCACCTGATACCCTTTGTAAGTTTTCTACCATGTACTTATCTCTCCCTCGTTGTTTATCGTCCTGGGACGTAGTTATACTAAATGTTGATAATTTGAACAGGGTGTTATCCCTTTCAAGACAATGATCCATTCATCTTAGATAATAGTCCACACGTATATTTCATAGGCAATCAACGACAATTTGAACAAAGTACGATTGAAGGTAGGGCTAAAAAAGGTATAAATGGAAATATAGTAAGAGAGAAAAGTACTCAGTCATGACAATTTTAGGTCCCGAAGGTCAAAAAGTACGGGTTGTCTTGGTGCCAGCCTTCTCTGAAACTGGTTCTATCGTGCTTGTCAACTTGGGTACATTAGAATGCAGTGAGATTTGTATAGACGTATGACAATAAGTAAATAGTAATAATAAAAGTCGGACCGAATCTAATCACATAACCACTCTTTACATGATATCCGAATCAGAGCTACAGATGCAGGACATATACAAGCTACCATGAATGATGGCAACATGTATACTAAAACCAATAACAAAGCATGAAAGGATGGTGGTTCGTGCCGTACAATTCCTGAATATCATGTGTAGCAGTGTTTTGGACAGGTCACGCTGAGGCATTTGCCGTCAAACTCCGTCATGTCTGACCGTGATGATAAGTCTTCTTTTGACAAGTCATCTCTTTCGCCTATGAGTCAAAAAAAACGACACCGCTCCAACAATCACACTCGCAACGATAACAAGTCTAATTCAGGACGCAATCGCCCTACGACGACGAAACCTATCTTAAAAAACATTCGTCGATCCATCTTTTCTCCCGGGGCGCTGCCAAACAACTCTGGGCCGTGTATCCGTACCAATGTTTATTTTCCTTCCATTAATCCCAGTCTCTTCTTTGAAGTCACCTCGCTTACTAAAGATCGAGCTACCGTGCTCGACGCCGTCGCCAAACAACTACCGGGCGATGGACCCTTGGGCGTCGAATTGCGTTTTAAGGACACTCGAGTAGTCGTCGAAATCACGCCTCGCAACGAGCAACAACGCAATATCCTCGAGACCGACGGTCTTATTATAAAGAATTGTCGTATTATCGGTACGCCAGCACTTCGTAAAGGTTCAGGCCTTTTGACAATCAACCTGTACGATTTGCCACATGCACCTGTCGAAGACCTCAGTGTGGCCATTCAACGTATGCTCGCTCCATACGGTCGAATCCTTGATATCAGCATTTTCCTGTCCTCTCAACACTCGTTTTTCATGGGCCAAGGCTGTGCGTATCTCGATGTCACTCAAGCTCATCAACCTTTGTCTACCCATACGCTCATGTACCCCGATCTTGAGCATGAAGTCCGGGCTTTCTGGAAAGGCTCGCCCCCATACTGTCGATTCTGCCACGAAGACACTCATGAGAAGGACCTTTGTCCCAAACGCGCCGCCACCCTTGTCCAAGCGTGTTCCCAATGCGGCGACTATGGTCATTCTCTTCGGTCGTGCCCGCGATCGGTTCAAAGCAATCCTGTGTCCGCCTTCGTGGGTACTCCTCCGACTCCGCAACCATCATTGTCCGTTCAACTAACCGCAGAGCATGGCTCTCTAATGGATCTCGAAACCTCGGAAGGGGCTGCCGCTGACCAGGGCAGCGTCGTTGATTACTCTTCTGCGCCGAATTCACCTTCCCTTTCAGCCAGCATGCAGGTCGAGGTTGGATCCAATGTCAGCAACACACCTGCTCCGCAAGAGGCGCAAGAGGCGCAAGAGGCTGCTACTGGTCAGGTCCTATTACCCGACCCTGCTTCGCTCCCAGCTTCCGTTGCCGCCAACAATGAAATTACTAGTAACGACGTTCCTGAGATCACTGAACATGCAACTAACACCTCAAACAGTTCCAAGGACATATCGTCCCTTGAGATCTCAGAATCTTTTTCCTCTGTAGCCACCACTTCTTCCGCTGCGGCCCCAACTACTGCTGTTACTTCCTCGTCGCCACATTTTGTCGAAACCGTCGCTGACGCTGCTTCCAAGCTATGGGGTTCTACTTTTGAATCTGGTTTACGTCGCAGTGCACGCACCCCCGTTCCCAACAAAAAATATCAATAATGAAAGATATCAACATTCGCATAGGTACGCTCAACTGTCGAGGTTTACCCAAAACAGAAGAGCCTGAACGCAGTAAACAATTCATACGATTTCTTCGATCTCAATCACTTGATATCTTAGCCTTACAGGAAACCCATGCCGCCTCTGCCGACCTCCAATCTCGCTTTCACACACAATTTCGCTCTACATCTTCTTTCTGGTCGCAACACGTTGGGATCGTTTCTCTCAATCCTTATATTTCTTTTTCTTTGGTTTCCCTTGATTTGGAGGGTCGGTTCTTACATATCATTGCTTCACACACCTCTTTTGACTTTGCCCCTATACACATTCTCGTTATTTATGCCCCCGCCCGCGCTCGCGAGCGTGGACCTTTCTATTCTCGCCTTACCTCTTTGCCCGTTTTCAACTCGGCTCCAGTCGAACGTAGCGTTCTGCTTGGAGACTTCAACTATCAAATGCTTCGTCGCTCTTCCCGGAGTATCCCGGAAGAGTGGAGCAACCATCTTTCTTCTCACTGGTTTGATTGTATCACTCCTCCGGGATCTTGCCCTCTTCCTACTTTTCTGCGACATAATTCTCGTTCCTGTATTGATTACCTTTTTATGTCCCCTGATCTGCACCCTTTCACTTGCTCACCAACTATTGATTTTATTAACCCGGCATGGACAGATCACCATCTGTTGTCAGTCCAGCTACGCCTTGGACAGGTGCCACTCGGCCCTGGTCTTTGGCGATGCAATCCCTCTTTAGCTTCGGATGATAAATTCTGTTATGAGCTCAACCATCTCCTCGATCAACTGTGTACCGGCTTTTCACCCACCTGTTCGCCACAGGACAAATGGGAGAACATCAAGAACGCCACTGGGAAGCTAGCACGTAAGTTTCTACGTAGAAAAGGCACTCATAATCAATTGCGCCTTCGCTCTTTACAGAAAGAACGAAGACGGTACCTTTCCTCCCACACTCTTAGCGAACTACAGCATGATTTCTATCTCAAGTCTCTCGAGGCTGAACTTGCATCTGTACAAGCTGCTACTATTGATAAGGACGCGCTTCGCGCAGGCCTTAGATGGCGCGAACATGGCGAGCGCTCTGCTGGGTATCTCAAGCGTACGATCGAGGTTCGCCAAGCTAAGCGCAGTATCACTCATCTCCGCCATCCCATCACCAATGCCATATGTCACGACCCCGCTGACATGACCGAAGCTGCTCGCCAATATTATCAACACCTCTACACTCCAGAGGCCATCGATTCACAAGCAGTTTCTCAACTACTACAGTCTGTCCCGTCCGGTTTGTTGGATGACCCTGCACTACAGTCGACGCTAACTACGCCGTTCACTTTGGATATGCTCCAAGATGGCGCCCGCCGTGCACCACATATCAGTAGCCCTGGCAGTGACGGTCTCCCGTATCCGGTTTTATGTGTGATTTTTGCCCATCCCCTTGCAGGTGCCATCGCGGTCGATGTCTTCAACGACGCCCTCCTGGCAGGTGTTTTTCCTCCGTCCTGGGCCGAAACGCGCTTATGTCTCTTGCCGAAAAAGGGTGACCTTTCACTGCTGTCTAACTGGCGCCCGATCTCATTGATTAATACCGACGCGAAAGTGTTCACCCGTCTAGTCAATGCTCGCTTGATCCCAGCCGTTCGTCCTGTCCTTTCCCCTGTTCAAACTGGTTTTCTTCCCGGTAAATTTATTGGTGACAACGGTTTGGCTGCTCGTTTGATAATGGAATATGCGCGCTATCATCGTCTTCCTGGTGTTGGCTTACTGCTTGATCAAGAAAAGGCCTACGATCGGGTGCATCCCACCTATCTCCGCCTTGTTCTCCTTCATATCGGTCTACCTACATCCCTCGTCCTCTCACTTTGTACTTTGTTTTTTAGCACTTCCATTTCTGTAATAGTGAATGGATTCCTCAGCGATTCCATCGCTCAAGGGCGGGGTCTCCGACAAGGCGACCCAATCTCTCCAATTCTGTTTAACTTAGCCTTCGATCCCCTGATTCGCATGATTCTGGCTGATCCACACTTTAATGGTTTTTCCTTGGTTCGTACGGTTGGTTCACCTAGCACGGTGGCTCCGCCACCCGTCAAAGTGCTTGGGTATGCAGACGATGCCCTTTTCTTTCTCTCCTGCCCCGACGATTTCCACCGACTACAAAATACTTTAACCTTGTACAGCCGGGCCTCCAATGCCAAAATCAATTACCACAAGACAGAAGCTATCTCCCTGAGCGGCATGCGTCAGGACACCTGGCAGACCCTCCTCCAGTCTGCAGGGATCGATGCGTGGCACGATTACCGTTCCTTATCTGCCGTTCGCTACCTTGGATATCCCCTGGCCTCCACCAGTGCTCAAATATCAGCTTACCTCGACGGCCTCCTGGTCAAGGTCCGTACAGCTTGTGATATCCACTCACAACGTGGCCTGTCTGTTCAAGGCCGCAGCACGGTTGTCAACACTCTCATTCTGTCCAAAATCTGGCATGTCTTATGTGTCACTCCCGTCCCCCAGTCGTTTCATCAACGTTTACGTAGTTTAGTCACCAAATTTCTCATGTACCACATGTTCCCTCCAGTACGGTATACAACTCTCACATTTCCAAAATCTATAGGTGGCCTCGGGGTTCTGGATTCAAGACTACAACAACAGGCTTTGCAGATTAAATGGCTTTCTACACTTTTTGACACTTCATCCTCTCCATCTTTTCTATCTTGCTTTCTCTCTTATTTCCTGACTTCTACCTCTGGTTGTGATGATTCCCTTTTCCCTTTACTCTTTCCCTCTATGCGTACACCTTTACTTCGTTCAATGCGGACCTTAGCACCTTTATTCTCAGCTATTGATGAACTGGATTCCCAACCTCTGTCAACTGATCCATCCATGGCAACATGCCTCTCGCTACCTCTCTCATTCGTAGTCCAGGCAGATGACCGTTCCGACTTTGTTCCAAAACGACGGCTCTCTTCTCTTCGTGTATCCGATGCGTTCGTCTTTGACCCCACCATCAACCGTCTCCGCTTCCGTTCTCCTGACGAGCTGATGACTGGCCGCGGGTCAATTCGACATCTGTTTCGAGCTCTGGACTCTCGCTCCGCCAAAATTGCGTCGTTTATGATGCGAGCTCTGCTACCAAATGCTCCGGTGCTCGAGTCTGCTGACTCCTATTGTGGTCGAGTCGACCTACAGCCTTTCTATGATTGCCTTCGAATCAATAACGTCCCTCTCGATTCTTGCAGTACTCGCGCGTACCGCCTCGCTCGCCAACAGCCAGCCATCGCTCTTGCTGCTGCTGACAGTACCTACCCGGTACTTACCAAAGCCAAATGGCGCCGCTTTTGGACAGCCCGTATCATCCCTGCCGCTCGAACGATCTGGTGGCGGGCTCTTCATAACAAGGTATCCTGTCGTGCCGCTCTACATCACATTTTACCTGATCGTTTTGATAGTCCACTGTGTGCTCTTGGTGACCTCGCGTTGGATTCGGTCGATCACTTTTTGTTTGCTTGCTCGCTCAAATGGGAAGTCTGGTCCCAAGTCCTCGAAGATTGCCTACTCGTCTCGGTGTCTCCGGACACTATTTCCAAAGCCATTTTTTCGCTTGACCTTCCATCCTGGCCTATAAGGAACTCTCCGCTCTCTGAGGTCCAACTTATAGCAGGTGTTCTGCTTGGCGTCTGGCGCGCGCATTGGTCATTTATTTTTTCCGCCGTTCCTTTCAACTCCATAGTCGTCAGCAGCTCTACCCACAAACTTCTTCTCACCTTCCGCCAGGAAGAAACCATCTTTTTGCATAAACCACCATAGACTTTCTTTTATTACAACTACTTTCAAAAAAAACAAAAAAAAACAAAAAAAAACAAAAAAAAAAAAAAAAAAAAACGCACAAAACACAAAAAAAAAAGAACCACTTATACCTCCATCCCCTACCACATCATCATCTTCCTTAGATCATACCCTATTTTTGCATCTGTAGTATTGCCTTGCCAGTTTAGTCTTGTTTTCAGTCTCCCCAACCACCGCCACTGATTTTGGCGGCGGCCGTCAATAAATTCGCTCTTCTGTGAATCTTAAAAAAAAAAAAATTCTTTTGACAAGTTAAAATACTTGCTTCAAATCTATTATGAGCAGCGGTGACAGGGTGAGTTTGCAAAGAGCAGCACGAAATAAAGAGAGCGTTGTATATTATGTGGATTACGCTTTCGCCCTTTTGGAGCAAAAACTAATTATGCAATTCGTGGTCTGCGACAAGCTTTTGAATTTTTTACGCAGTGTAAACTTAGTAGTGGTGTATGAGTAGAGGGACCCTCGGATTGCAAATGGGCGGAGACATATGGGCGATCAAACTTTATTTAAGGGTACATTATCAACCATGTCTTACTAAAGTCTGCAAGTACAAGGGCCGAAAAATGGCTTCATCAGACTGTAGTGACATCGAGCAGATATATGGTTTAATGCTTTTGTCGAACCTTTTTTTCCATTGCGCGAAAGTTATTCAGGAGAGTGAAATATACAGTAAAAGCGTTAACTATCAGATCATCATCGAGCATGAGAGAGATTGGTGCGGTATTATACATAGATAGAGCAACGTCTTTGAATGGTCGTAGCTCTGTAGCTCTAAAGTAGAGCAAAATAAAGGATGGGAAGGAGGTTTTAACGAGACAGAGAGAGCTATTATTGTTAAAATCTTATTTACCCACCACTACTATGCGGCCACCACGCGGCAGACGGTTTGCAACAGTTGCTGTATAAGCAAGCACGAGAGCAACAGTAAAAGTCGTTTTTCCAACGTGGTGGTAGGTATCAGTGGCGGGTTATTATTTCTGCCAGCGAGCTGATTATTTCACCTTTCTTCTTTGCTTGATGGACAGGGGGAAAGAAAGGGGAGACGGAGGGCGAGAGTCCAAAAAGTAGGAGCAGTTTCGCTTTTCTTTCTTTCTGCTTGTGCAAGGAAACAGATGCTCCTTGCATACGTACGCTCTTTACACACTCCCTTGTCCTTTTTCCTTTCTCGACCTCCTGCTTTTGAATAAAGAAACAGACACTGGTATCCACCCACCTCCCATGCGTCAAAGTCAAAATTAGACTTATCACAGCTTTATACATAGTGTGTATGATAAAGAAAGTTGAGCAGTAAGATTGATCGTCATTATAAAGCTAGTGAGAGACAAATGTTAGCCGGGGAAAGATGCATGCACTTTTTGTGTAATATGCAGTAGTAAGTACAGAAAAACAATCTCGTTGAAAAAGCAGTCAATTGTTGTTGTCATAGCACATATCAAATTTTTGTAATATAAGTATGCAACAATATGTATACACGATCTGCTACACCAGCAGCAATAGCACATTCCCAAGAGAACTGGTACAAATATTTTAATATACGTTAGTGCTATATCGTCATAGGCTTTGTGCGCTACAAGGAGAAGAAATGGGGAACTTGTTACACCACCCATCACCACATGGAGGTGGTGGTAATGATGCACGCTATGCACTACTACTTTGTAGTAGTAATGATGCGGATCAAAGAAAGAAAAACAGAAGAAATAGAGAAAGAAAGGGATGAGGGATGGAGCTAACGCACAAGCATCTAATTAGGTAAACATATCGCGTGAGCAAAGAGTTCAGGCGTTCGGACAATGCCCATAAAAGAAGATAATGCACGTCCCAAAGAGTGGAGAGAAAGAGAGTTACATACACAGTAGCGAATGTGACCCTTTTTGTAACAACACTGCCGCACACGACAGACCACAATCCAACTGCGCACGACACGATGGCACTCCGAGCATGTCGATTATAATTTGCTTCTTAGCCACATGGAGTGTTTGTGATCGCCAGAAGAGAATCAATGAATAGGAGTATATAGCTATGTATTACTTTATGCTCTTTTTACAAGTACCAGCTACTGGTATTACCACCACCACCACACCACTCTTTGTTCCTATTACTGCTGCTGCTACCAGCATAAGGGTCAGGTAATCTTGTTGCTGCTGCTGCTGCAAGAGCAAGGTTTTCTTATTGTTGAGCCCCTGTTTTCCTTCCTTCCTACGTAAGTATAGGTAGGACAGGTCCCCTTAAGACCTACATACACAGCAACTAACTTTTTACTTGATCTGCGTATTATATGTGTCTTGTGTCTAGGTCTTAGTCAACGTACGAGCATACTCTTCCCTCCTTCAGATAATGCGATATTCGCGGATCAGGTTTTTGTCTTTCTAAGATGTTTATTTTTGCGTTTTAGCTTTGGCTTTCACTCTCTGTCTCTCCCCGATAAAGTAATTTAATCGAATGCATAAGGGTGAAACACACACACTTTCTTTTAGATATCTTATTGTGCACCTTAAACCCGATAGGACCACTTGTTTTTACGCAAAAAAATAAAATAAAGAAAGGGTCTCCTTAAATTCCTCTCTTACGCACTCTCTTCTCACACAGTACTCGCTATTTCTTGCTCCGTGGAAGGAAGTAATGTAGTTATTAACTAAACGGTAGCTCTTTCTATTCGTTCCCTTCCATTTTCTTTCTCTCTTTTCAGATACTTTTCTTTTTGCGTTCTAAGCAAACACAAAACATTTATATATTACAACAATTCATACCCCAGCATACACGAACTCCATACAAAAAAAAACAGCATATACATTCGTACACATACACAGGCACCGAGAAATGGCATCTTACTGGTATTCTACAGACGGCATGGATCACAAACGGCTTTCGACACGCCACCTTGAACTATTAGACCGAGCCTTTGAGCGACGAGCACGAGTCGAGATTCGAGACGACCAAGCATTTGGCATTGTACCTGCCATTGCTGATCCATTCCTGGGTACAATGACTTCAGGCGACATTCACTATGGTCTCTATAGAAACCCGTCACTACGACAAAGTGAAAGCAACTGTAGCCTAGATACACTGATCTTGGTTGACAGTACAGCAGCAATTTTACCACCATCGCCGACAAATGCCTTCCAGCAGCAGTCAAGAAGTCGCTATAATAGTCCAGCCTCAGTCTCAGCAGGAGCAGCAGCAGCAGCAGGAGGCCTAAATGGTCTGGATGACAATTTTGTCTTGGTGGCTTCCGATCGTAATATCATAAGACGGCCGTCTCAGCAAAACCGAAGTATCCATGTTCCGTCATCTGTTAATAATAATCGTCGTATGGCCGAGGAAGAAGAATGCGTCTGCTGCATTATCTCGTAAATTTCAAAGCGCCGACAAATACTTGCATGAATTATACGCATCACGCACAAACTCGTATTCATTACCACCACCATCATCATAATAATGACAATAATAATGATTTGTTGCTACATTTACCTACTATAGCTTACACAGACATACTCTATCTATACATACAACCCACATCGTACACACTCATCCTCAATACCAACTTACTATACACACTCATATAATTTCTACATTCACCCTTACTCACACTGCACCTTTCACTTTTGAATTTACATCTTTTTCTTCACAAATTTCATACATTGCAGCTACAATTCTTGTTTCCTCCCGCCATTTTATTTTTTTCTATAGTATAGCTACAGAGCTTCTTCGATCATGTAACATAAAAAAATACCAAGAGTACCTTGATGATCACATAATTCCCATATACATAGTAGTAGTACCATTACTTACAACGTTTTTTGAACTATTTTGTCATGATGTACATCAGTTGTATTCCGTAAATTGGATAATAGTATCTCAATTTTTTACATTACTAGCTCAAGGCGGCGAGTTTAATTTCTTAAGCAGCAAAAATAGCGAGAAAGAGAAAACCTCATGAAGGAGAGATGACAACTTAATGTTTTTGCCGCAATCACCGCCACCGTACTATTTATTAATAATGGCATTATCGCCATGCCTCACTCACGCGAGCTCACATATGCTACTGGGTCAAGGAAGATTAAATACTTGAAATGTACCGTCAAACAATATCCAATATCCTATTTTGCCCGAGTATATTTGTTCGGTTTCCCTTTTACTCTTCCGCTAACTGTCAATTAAACAAAAAGGAATAAAGCAGGAGATTGAAAGCCCAATATAAACGTGGCCTACATAAAGTGGTTATAGTTCTCCCAAAACTACAGGGAGGTGTGCAGTTCATCTGCCTTACCGCTTTGTATACACTAAAATAAGAAGAGAGAAGTACAGTGGGTAAGTGAGTGAGTAGGGGAGGGGGACTCCCAACTAAAAGGAGTTGGGGAAGAGAGGAAAAGAGAGCTGTAAATTATGATACGTTCAATAACGTACCTAATAGCTATTAGTGCAAATAGTTCGTAGTTTCTTACATATTTGGGACTGCGGATATATTAGTTAATATAGAAAATAGCGCCAGTAGCGAACTGCATGTACGTTATGATTATGATCATACATCCATTTCTTCTATGAGCCATCTCTTCTGACAACGATATAACATTATGATATATACTGTCATTCGACGAGCGATATAAGCTTTTTTTGAAGTTTAAAGGGGAGAGAAACATAAACTTCATCATTAAATAAAAGCTTAAAGTATAGCTATCTGTTCGACCAGAAACATGAAAAGAAGTCTAAGCTTACACTTACTGCAGTACTAAATACTTACACTCTCATTTATTGGACTATTCTTACTAGCTTAAACAAAAATCCTGCATTCGACGAGCTTTGTTACATCACAGTCCAGCATCAGAAATAACTTAGTGCAATTAGTAACAGCATAAGCAGAAGAGAGACAGTTACAGAAAAAATATTATGTACAGCGGAAAGGGCTTATTAGTACAATGCTTAAAGAGAGATATGTGACGAGTAGAAAGGGATGATCATCACGCAGTTTTACCGGTTCGTCTAGCTCAAAAGTATTCAACTGCTGACGAAAAATTGAAGGGTTGTTTGTACCAATGACTATTAAAGCTTTTGTACCGTCGTCTTACTTTAAGAGTGGAGCGTTAAGTAATGATCGTGAGGCGCCGTGTAATTGTCTGTGTATTATACCGCGGATAGCCGTCACTTCAGGCTTCCACACGTCCTCCAGTTAAGGCATTGGTTGTTGTTCCGCTATCAATCCTAGTAAGCCTGTCAAAAGTCTCGGTAATCGAGCGTCCTCCTTATGTATTCGCGGTAGCTGATATAGCATAAAGTTAGACATTATTTTAACAGCTGCTCATCCTCTTCTTCGCCACTTCTTTTTTAACTTTTATTTCTTATACTACTTTTACATACTTCCTTTGCCACGCAACATATTGATGCTACCAATAAACAAGAGAGCTTTTACCGAACCATCTTCTGGCTTTGACGCTGGTCTTAACATTTATGTGGGCTTCATCGAAAGACTATGGCCGTGTTTTTCTCCTCCTGCTGCGGCGGGCATTATTAAACGTAAAGTTGCGTTAACGCATAATCAAAATGTATCAATTATTCGTCACAACGCTACTTGTAAGCTTCGTCCCTCCCTTTAGTGTGCACTATCAAATATGCCCCATATACAGGTCTAACAAATGCATCCTGGACGTGTCAGATTTGGTGGCACATCAGGTTTGATCAGATGTATCACAGGTATTGTTTGAGACTGGGCTGCATAATCCCTTTAAGCGTAATGCTTGGTTGCGGTGTATAAGCCGTCTTTTCAAATGAATATACGTCAGTGGAGGTTGTGGGACTAGAGTTTGACACATGGTCGAGAAAGGAAAGTAGTAGTTGCACAGGTATTCGACCGTTTCAACTTTTGCAGGACCCAGGAGTGTTAACATTTGATTCAGGCAATAGTATGCACTCTAGCTCATTTATGTTCTTTCTACTTGTCCTGGGAGAGTTAACCTAGAAAATGCCATCCAGAACAGAAGCTAGATAGATACATAGACTCATCATAATCATAATGGGATATATAGCTTTTAGCTGTTATAAATTAACGGTAAAGAAGCCTTCATTCACTACTTACATAGGGAAAGCGAGTCGGGTGTTACATTCTGAAACTGTACCGGAAGAATTATTAAGCGCAATTCAACACAAATTTTGGTAAATGTAAGCCTGTGCTTCCTCAACCGCAAAGAATTTCTCACAGCAACTGACATTAGTTTACATTTGAAAGTCAAAGCAGACACTTTTGTACAGCTCCAGAAAAATAATGATTGGAAAACGTAAAGAAGTAGAGAAAAATAGTGGTAGTGAAAACTTGTTTGTATGCAATACGTTGTTATCAAAAACTTATTGTTTATAATTTCTTCGACAATTGGTAAGTGGCAGGTAATAGTAGTATTGGTCGAACCAAGAGTGATGGGTAAGTAAGAAGGCCGTAAGTAAGGATCAATAGATGGCAATTAATATGATGATTGTAGATGTAGATATGGGTTGCATCTTCACGATTATTTCGTACGTTTCTGTAAACACTAATAAGAAGCATTTACATCGACGTTAAGAAGATCAAGTTATGACTGACGGTGAGCTAACAATATAACACCAATAATGATAGAAGCAAATCGACCATCACCGCTGCTACTATTGATGGTGAGAACATGCGGAATGCAGTAGCACTGGACGTGGCCGATGTTGTCATATCGTAAACAGGCGAAATATTGGGCTGTTCCGTCTGAAGCCGACTTTGCGGACCACCAGGCCGATTGCATCGAAAATAGGATTTGCACCCATCAGTGCATATGTCTTTGGTAGGATGATTGGTACTACATCCTGCTTCGCATTTCTGCTCTCTGCCTCGACATTCGGCTAATGTGACGGGCCATTGATATGGAGGACAGTCTGGGACCTTGTTCTGATTGAAGAAATAGAAAAGGGATGATATTAGCATCCACGTTTTTTTCTGGTCTCACACTTTATCTGTACCGTTTTTTCCCTATTACCCGACAATTGCAGCCCCAAGCCATGGTTGTTTGGTTACAAAAACTAAAAGTTATGCCAAAAAGTGTATCAGCCTTAATAAACATATAATGCTACAATGACTATGTGCATGCATGGTGTATTTTGCTAAGGAAGAAGATACATACTTTAACGATGTCAAGTCTGCGCCCCCACATTCGTTCTAATTATAAATAAAATCCACATGATTAATATTGGGGTAAAAATAATTTTTAAGGTTTTTGACACACCACAATCATGACATGCATACGCATCACACTCAAGAAAAACAAAGAGAAACTGGTAAATATCATTACTGCGCAAAAGTCCGTTTGTTGTTTACATGCTGCAGCTCGGCTGCTTTCGTTCAATTGAAGAATTGACCATGTTCCGATCGGCAGACCGACTATATACAGTTATCACATTAGAAGATATCATTTTAGGGAGAATGAGATGTAAGGGAGAGAAAAGAGGAAAATGAGGACAGGGTGATAAGCAACAGCAGCAAGTATTGCAGCCATCAACGTAGCTGCTGCTAGTACGCTTTGTCGTAGCGCAAAAAAACCAGCCAAATGTGCCTCCATGTACGATATATATATCATATGTATGCAATTCAAGAAAAAGAGCTAATTGATACTATGAACACTATTTACCAGCTAAAGAGTGGCTGCTGCCTTCATCATCATCCGCTGCTGCAATGTCTGCAGATGTAGGTGCAGAATTGTTTACGCCGTCGTCAATAACCGCTGCTTCTTCTGAGGATGCTGTGTTGATGCCCGCAGCAGCTGTAGGAGCGGCGTTTGGTGAGTTTGCTATTATTTGGTTCGACTGTACTACTGGTTGTTGTTGGGCGTCTACTACGCTTCTCGTCGATCCCGATAATATTAATGAAAGTAGTATCGATGCTACGACAAAGGCGATCCAGCGCATTCTTTTAAAAAATGGATGATTATAAGAAAGTAAGAATAGAAAAAGAGAGAAGGAATATGGATTGAAGGCCAGGGACGAGCCATACTTATATCCCGACATACTATACCTCTCATTCTTCTAACATTTGGTGGAGTGAGCTGTACCACTTGCAGTGCATGGTATGGCAGCAACGACCGCTGCTGCTCTTTCATCACCTCGTGCAACAGAAAACACATTTGAGAAGCGCACTGCTAGAAAGACATCATACATATGTACTACATATGGTTGAGGAGCAGATATATCTACACAAGGGATAGGTTTTATCGCGTCCCCTTCATCCGTGCAATCCCTAGCAGCAGCATAAGCAGCATCAAGACTAATATGAACGTCAGCTTATTTTCAGCTTATTTTCTTTCTGTTTTACCGAGTGTTTGAATAAAGAAGGTTATTCATATAAATACACGTGAAATGTATGCGTATGCAACTTGTCAATAGATGTACGTACAATTTGATACTGGCTATTACTATACTATATATCTTTAATCATATTCGAACTTCATGCAGGATTAGTGCGAGCAGCAGTAGTGTGAAAGCAAAAAAAATCTATGCAGCACACAAACATTTCCATAGCGACGCAGACGTCTCCACGGTAATAAAAACGAGCAGATGATTGTCATGGTATTCAGTAACATGGCTACAAGAAGCCATTGATTATCCCATGGATCTGCCTCAAGATAAAAATAGCAGCAACGGAAAAGAAAACTTGGTCTAAGCTGTTCGTCCCTAATTCATTACAGCGCTTGAACCGGGAGGGAGTTCTCTCTCTTTTTTTTTTTTTTGGGAGGGGCTTGTGTTTATGCGTCTTGCTGGAGAGATTTAGTCCCACCATGGCACTAAAGCTGTAAAATCACGAGATGCAGCCTCTTTATTTTTTTTACGAAAAAGGAAAAAATAACTTTGTGCAGCATGTCGAAATAGAGGCTTCTCTTCTTCTCACATTAACCTCTTTCTTTCTTTTTCATCCGTCCCCTCTCCTTCTTTCCAAATATCGCACATCAACCACACATAAGCACACCCGAACCCCTTTCTCTTCTTTCGCTTCGCTTCGTTCTCCAGGGAGCGTGATAATAAAACGTAATAGAGAAAACAGAGCGACAAAGATAATCACAATAATATCAGGCTAATATTCTTTTACGCCCTCCTCCTACTCCTTTTGCACTACCAAAAACAAATAGCTGATATGCATATGAAAGGGATGCTGCCGTATCGGAACCCTCTTTCTCTTTCGCTTTTCTTTCCTCGGACCATCATCTATGCTATGTTTCGCAGCCAATTATTAGTCTGTCTTCTTGTTCTTCTATCGTGCAGTCTTACACAGGCCGTCGCTGCGGCTACTGCTACAGCTACCATAGATGCAACAACAGCCATCGTATCAGATTCTTCGGCTCGTAACACAAGCGATTTTGCCGTCGCATTAGGCCACCACCATCATACGCCGGTAAAATAAGTGATTTCATACGATCTAGGACGTCTTTGCAGATCGTCATTTTGTACATGGCGTAACATTGTCGATCGTCTCCATTTCAGCCTTTACTCATTTGCTCCCTCCTTTTTAGTCGTGCCTTAATATTGAAACCTACGAGGACCAGTGCGCCTTTGTTCAGTTGGCATGCCACGGATTTAGCGGCATGTATCTCAAGTTTTATTATTGCTCGCCCCTATGGAAGCCGATCACTGTTACAGTTATGGTAAGTATAGCTCTCTCTTCATTATTATTTCAATCACATCCACTACATTGCAATAGCTACAGAATTATGTGGGGGCTGCTGGTTTTGATTTGATATGATGATGTTGCTGTTGTTGCTGCCAATGATGACTGATGATGATGATATAGTGTGCCGTGTTGATGCTACTGTTTGGCTCAGTCAGCATCGTCGCTTCCGACTTCTTCTGTAAGATACCTTTTGTGCTACTCTCACCTGACGACATCGTTTTCGCCCATCCTCTTTTTCTAATACTATGCAAATATTATTTTTCTTTCTATTCTCAGGTCCAAACCTACAAACAATCTCGTCGAAACTACAGCTTTCAGAAAGCATGGTGAGAAATTGAGTCTATTGGAATATATAGCTGAATCGTTTAAACGGGATATGTAACGAACTGAGAGAGATATATCTGACAAGCGGAGTATACTATCATCCATGTAGGCTGGTGTAACTGTTCTAGCGTTCGGCAATGGTAGTCCCGATTTGTTTAGTACTTTCAGGTAAATCGGGCAAAAGCGAAACAACAACAACAACTCCAAGAACATATGTTTCAGAAGTGATTAACATGGATGATGTTATCTAGTGCCATGAATTCTGGATCAGGATCATTGGCTATTGGTGAACTTATTGGAGCGGCTTTCTTCATTGTTGCTATTGTATCTGGATCCATGGGAATTATACGACCGTTCGAATCCAAACGAATTACTTTTATGCGCGACGCAACGTTTTTAACCGGAGCGATCATAATGCTGACTTGGATCGTCTATCATCAGCGGATTTACTGGTACCATGGCGCTGGACTCGTTGCATATTACCTGATTTATGTCTCCGTCGTGATGTTGGGCTCCGTCAATTTTCAGGGGAGATCTTCGCACACAAAGCATGAAGCCAAATCTGTCACGGAGGAGCTGATTGACGAGACATCTCAGTTACTGGGGGCTAATGGAGGCAAGTACAATATAGCGTCATCATACGATGTCTCATCATATCTATATCCGTCTTCGCTGTTACTCAATAGCAAGTGCTCATAAGAAAAAAACGTCATGCGGATCCGCCTTTTTTATCGTCTCCTTAATAGCAGAAAGACAATCCAAACCGCCGCGATTATCCATCCCCGCTCATGGATTTGCCACACCAGCTGGCATGGCTGACTACGAACATCATTTGGGACACATTATTCGGCCCATGACAGCAAGGTCACCTTCACGGCACTCGCTTCGTATAGAGACGGGATCAATCGGTATGCCACGTACTGCAAGTACGAATGGATCGATATCATCACGACTCGTGCGCTATCCAATGACTCCTCGCGTTGGTATTAGAACATCATTGTTTGGCGCCATTGAGGTAAATTTTGTCGGACCCATAGCTATCCCTACCCCTCCTTTCTTTTCTTCAAAAGATTCTAGCATTCATGCCTATATACTTGTGCGACCCATTTTAAACGCATCCAATAAATATTATAGTTTCAGCAGCATGTCAGCGCCATTCGTCGTGCAAACAGCTCGCACTATGTAAACCAACCAGAGTCTACCAGCACGATACGACGCCGACAGATTTCGATGCCTCATTGGAGCAAACGTTCAGCATCTCCATCAGCGTATCAAATTGCTACTCGAACCTATCATAACGCCACGGGCTTAGGGGGTCGTCCGCGCGCATCCACCGTGACCGACCAATTATTAACGACAACGTCGACCACAAACCAATCGCGATACAATCAACAGGGACAACAAACTACAGTCACTACGCCAGATAGTACCAATAGCAGCACTGGTTTGGCAGAGGATTACTTCACCTATTTGTCTGCCAATCAGCATAAGCAGTATCCCTTGGAAATCACCACCACCACCGCCACAGACAATACCCAACAGCAGCAACAATTACCGCCCCTTCATCAACAAAATAATCATGCCAACGACCGCGAATTGATGATCCCTGAAATCAGGTTAGCACCGCCGAACAACCTTGTAACACCTATACATACAAACCAACAATATCAGCAACAGCAACAGTACCAGCAATACCAGCAACAGTACCAACAGGACAGCAGCATTCCACGGAGGCCTTTCAGCTGCACGTCGCCAATCATTACAGCCCCTCATCCCAGAACACGCAGCAGGGGCAATAGTCTTGTGGTGCCACTTAGCCCAAGTATCGCTAACACCGAAGATGATGTATTCGTATCTGCGCGCCAGAGCCCTGCAGTTACTCCGTCACCATCCATGTATAACACTCATAACAACAATAACGGCAGCGGCTTGGATCACCGATCCATCTCGATCGTCTTGTCCAATGCAGATAATACCAGCGAGTATCCCTTTGTGCAACGCACCTTAGATGTACAATTTGCACGGCCTGCACCCTCCTTTAAATTATTTGCGCACATCACCAGCATCATTAACAGCGTGGGACAAACATTATTTCCAACTATGCAAGACTGGTGTGAGAAACCGTTCTTTGCCAAGCTCAGCTCCTTTGTGGCCGTACCTCTCGTGCTGGTTTTCACGTTGACATTGCCCGTAGCTGAGCCAGATGATGTTAAAGTCGATGGCATTGAGGTGTTGGATGATGTTGATGCTGGTCATGATAATTGCTGTGCCCAACATCAACAGATGCAACAACAATATCATCATGATGATGATGATACGTCTTTATTGAGTCCAGATAGTGCTGCTTATGGTGCTGCTGGTGCTCCCGGTACTACTGCGACGTCCAAAAACTACTTATCCGTGGCGTCCGCCTTCGATCATGACAGTATGCTCATGTCTGATGACATATTGTCTGAATTCGAAGCTCAGGATGATTATCAGCAACAGGAATGGTGCCGATGGTTATTGGCTCTTCAGGCTATCTTTGCTTCAACTTTTCTCGCTTTTGTCATGGCTAGTAAGTGATAAAAGTGTTTTTCTTTTCGACTTATAGTAATTTGTGAGATCATGAGTTAAGTTTCTCGTGGTTTTATTGTAGTCAATGAGTTTATCGAGCCATGGCACGTGGTATTTGGATTCGCTGTTGGTTGCATGGTCGCTGTCTTTGTGATGGCTGGTACGAGTGCCGATAAGCCGCCTAAGTGGCGCTGGATGTTGTCTTTTGCCGGATTCTTTGTAGCTCTCAACTGGATTTTTTTGTTAGCCAACAACATGGTTGGGCTACTCAAGGTAGTTAATTGCTTTAAACTTACTGCCGATTATTCATTAGAGTCACCAGAGGTTACTAAACACTTCGACAACAAAATTTTAGGCTATTGGTATGGTGTTCAACATCAGTGATGCTATAATGGGTCTCACTGTGTTCGCTCTGGTAAGAACAAGCTCTTTCTTCTCCTCTTTCTTCTTTTTCTACGCAAATACATGCTTTTTGCTAACATCATCCATATATATTTACTAGGGTAATAGTATTGGTGATCTTGTAGCAAACACAGCAATCGCAAAGGTTTGTCTCAATCCATCACTTATAGAAGCAAAAGGAAAGATAGAACGCGATACTTACAGGATTTTGTATTATACAGATGGGGTTCCCTACGATGGCTATTTCTGCTTGTTACGCTGGTCCCCTCTTGAGTAAGCTCTTAATCTATTATTGTACATGACATAATTTACATGAAACAACTGACTTTTTTTGATTATTCTTTTTAGATATGGTGCTCGGTGTTGGCATTTCTTCTTCATATCAAATATTCAAAACCGGCAAACCTTTCGACCTAGATATTGCACCAACGATTCTCGTTTCATCGACTGGTCTTATTACCGTGCTTCTCAGCACTCTTATCGTTGTCAACCTCAATGGTTACTGTATAAACAAGAACTTGGGCGTCTGGATGATTGCCGTCTATATAGTCTGCTGTATTATCAATGTTTCTTTGGAATGTCTCTCAGAATAATATAGTAATTTTAAATAATCCATCCCTCATACTAGTAGCGTAACCTCTGTTACAAAAGATACAGAAAAAAAGCAATAAACAGCAGTATAAAGAAGATAGAAATCTCTATAATCTCATATTTATTGAGTAGAAATACATCGGTAAACTTGTATTATAGTGGTCTTAAGAAACACGGAAGAGATTAACAGAAACGCACAATCAGGCAACAGACATAGCCGCATCCCAGAAACTCTTTTTTTGTAAGGGCGAAGAAGAAAACACCTTGTTACTGATGAGCTTATTTGACAAGAAATAATCTTCTACGTATCCCCGCGCCCATTCTGATCGCATGGAATAGTCTTTATTAACTTGTTACAGTGGAGTTATCGAGTAATGTAAAAGTCTAAAATGGATGCTGCGTTTTCAGGTCGTTTTGTTTCTGCACGTGGCTCATCATCAACGAATCGAAAACTGATAAACGGGTACCCATACGAATGGCGGTTACACAAGTGTCCCCAATGCATATTTTTGATCATCCTACTGCCTTCTCTGTGCAAGGATGATCCCTTGTCATTCGATATATAGCCTGGGCTTCCCCCCACCCCCTTCTCGCAATTTAGACAGTGCCAGCATTACCTTCCGAGATCTACGACGGGATTCACCATTACCTTTCACAAGGTGATTGCTGACACTTGGCTGCAGTGTGCAGAACCTGGCGATTCACAACCTTAAAGTGGCAACCACACTGGGAATGCTTGTCTACAAGTCGAGATCGTCTTATTATACCAGGTATGCTTCCTTATGGTCCTTTTATCAAAAGCGGCTCTGTCAAGCGCTTACAAGTGCGCCACGGCAGCAATAGCCACTTTTCCAAAGTCGTCAATTTTATTCGAATCCAAACATTGCATGCTATATGCCAAGGTACGCCACCTATGAATTAATGCTTATAATAGAGGGGCGGAATATATGGAAGTACAAGCAAGCACATATACTGATTAGTAAGCTCTCTTTTCGTATTGGTGCATACAATAAGTTGTTCTACGAACACAGCGCTCCACAAACACGCAATTCGCGGCTCCGATCAGCACATGCGGCAGCGCACTGAAAGATGTTACGCTTGACGGGCTTGCAGCGGATCCAGATATTATCCATCCACTGCTCGAATCTCAACAAACTCAACGGACGATTTTGGGATCCAGATTTAACAGGCGTTAGACACCATAACTTATCCAATCTATCGCTTCAATTTAACAACATCAGCGACTTTAGCAACTTCGATCCACGACCGTCTTTGAAAGCAGCACCCAGATTACGAAGCTTGTCTATGAACATGGATCAACTGCAGACGACAGGTACATTACTACCTGCATTGTTACACTAGCATTGTCCTGAGCTCACTACATTAATCCTTTTTCAATAGATGCAACACGGGGAATCTGCTCCTTCGATTGCCCGAGACAGCCATATACCAATTACGGAAGCAGCTAGAAGAAAACGAGGGGGACTACAGCATATTATGCTTCGAGAACACCGACATGCTGAAACATCACGAAGTATCTTTTTTCCACTTGTCGAACGCTTCAACAATAAGCTTGTGTCATTGGACCTTGCTGGTGCGGGCACAGTGGATGACGGCACACTGCCACATCTATCTGAGATGATACTACCATCAATAAGGCATATCAGACTAAAGGGAACATCATGGGACGTCAGCGTATCAGTGCTACAATGAGTGTTTGACCGATCGGTACCCAATTTGACCCATGTGGAACTGCATCAAATTGACGCTGTGGAGGATACCGTGCTCGCATCGCTTGCCACTTCTACACATTTGGAAGACCTTCTATTGGGCAACTGTCAAGGATCAGGGAAGATGGAATGATTCAGTTTCTGGAACGATTAGCTCCACGACTGCGTACAATTTCGGTGGAACAGTCAGCATTTGCAATGACACCAAGAGTACTAACTGTCATGGCCGAAAAGTTGACTGTGCTAGAAAAGTTATCGATAGAGGCATTCCAGTCTGATTTTTTGGCATTGGCGGATGTGGAGCAGTTTCTTGACACACGCATACAAAGGCACTCTAGCAGCAACAACTAGATGATGCTGGAAAAACTGGGTGTTTATTTTGTCTTTGTTTCGCCGTCGGATTATCCTGGCAAATCCCGTGTGAGTCGGCTCATCAGGAAAATGGATGCCAGTGCCAGAGAATGGAGGTACGTCATGGATATGCCAGAGGAGGAAATACAATTGGCTCGTGATTGTGGCGATGATGTATACGAGGAGGTCACCAAATGTGCAGTTTCGAAAAATAGAACTTAAAAAAGTACTTTGATAGCAATAGTAGTAGTAATAGTTTGGCTTTACTGCATACTGCTGTACAATGATACCATTTTTGGATGTCTCTTTTTTTTATTTGAAGAACATATATTCCACACTACCTGCGTATATACCAAAAACTATTGCATACAGTATGTGTTTCTAGAGAACGTCTTTTAATATTTTTCTTTACGAATTTACGGTGCAATGGCTTTATACTTCACCAGAATGCCGCTGGCTGGACTTTTTGATTGTCTGTAAGAAACTAGAACAAATATGCTGTTTTAGCCTCTGCTTTGTAGTTTTGCGGCTTCTTGTGAACTGCTACGAAGACTTCGACCTGTTTTTCCTTGTTGCTCTGTGCATAATATACCGCTTTCTTCAATTTATGTGTAAGTTGTCTTCTCCAGCATGAATAAAATTGTTAGACGCACTGATATTACTTCAGTCCGTCCGTGTGCACTGCATTGTTGTGTCTTCTTTTATACTACTGTTGCGCACCAATAGACAGCCTGACTTGCTCAAAGAGGTTCCATTTTCTTCTCTTCTATAAAGGTGTCATGGTAGAAGAAACACCAAATTTGCTCAGAGAGAAATATATACTGTGTAAAGCTAGCTAGCTACGCCAGCTGTCCATCCCTCACACCACTACTCTAGCAGTTGCTCAAGGCCTTCGGCACTACACCAACATATCAATACAACGAGCTATATACCATCGACCATATCATGAACAAACTACCACGTTCCGATATAGGACTGTCTCGCGGCAAATGTATAAGGACCTGGCCGGCATTACTTCGCGTGCTGCGTGGATTCGACTAGTTAAGCCTCTCGGACACTGACTACGACACGAATGAACCGGAATCCGAGGAAGCGCTAGATCTGGGCAACGTGGCATCATCATCATCCCCACATCCCTCACTACACTCATAGCGTCTATAGGCAACTCTTTCTCTTCCCCGCAAGGAAGTGACAAGAATGCCATAAGCGTATCATCGTCATTAGCCTTCCAATAATTATTAACTTTAAAATCTATAAAGTACCAAGCGACACATGCATTCGATCGACTTTCCATGCCATGACATTAGGTATCAAGGCCGCATCTGAAGTGTTGATCTCCATTTATACTAGTTCAGCCTTAGTGATGCTGCTATAATGCTCCTGAGCATACAGAATACGAGTGTATATCAATTCGTCTTGTTGCGAGGTAGCATCTAGCTTTACCAGCGCAATACATTGGTGATTGGTAGTCTTGAGCGTCACAAATGAAACTCAACAAAGCTCACAGCATGCCCGGACTTCGCAGTTTTTATCGATAACGTATATTGCCCAAATGACTTCGTCAACCTATGTAGTATTAGTGATTGAGAGTAGGTCTGTGGCATTTGGCTCCATCAATATTCTTGCTGTACTTGCCAATCTTGTACAACTTGCAGTACGCATCTAGTTCGTCTGGTGCCATGTTTGCTGTCGCATTATTGCCTGTTGCTGTTGCGACTCAGTGCACGTCCTTCCCTACGGTAGACCTTTTTGAAGAGCTTGTCGTATTTGCCACGTATACTTAAAAGCTCTTGCTCCGTCTTTTCTTGAGTATCAGAACGCTTCTCACCGCTCGTCAGAGACTGTGCGATGATGACGTTGAGTATATAAAAGCAACAACCTTTACTTACGACCATACAGCTTTGCCGATTCCAGAGGCATTGTCGCTTAGCTGTGTGCTGCCGCTGAACACCATATTAGGTTGAAATAATTTTTGCTGTGTGTATGCTGATGGTAAGATAACAACTTGCAGCTGCTGGAATGGAAAGAAGACGCGGGACAAAAAATCTCCTACTCTTTGATTCATTTTTTCTATGGTCTGTACAAGTTAGTCTGACGGCACACACACATCTGGGCATAAAGTATTTGAAGCCAGCTTTAGATAGCTCACCTAGTTTATATTAGAAGACGTTGAATGCGTGCGAATTTAACACGGCAAACAACAATTGAACAGTGTATGGCTTATGTCAACCAGTCCTACTACGTGTAGTGCAAACTTAAGGTCAGTTATCATTCAACCTTGAAATGGTAACTCCACACAGCAGCAAGGTCGGTTAAATAAAAACGCCGTAGTCCATACAGATTCAAGCTCGTTAAGTTTCAAGCTCATATTCGCTTGTTCCTTTCTGTTCACTTCGGTTAACCCCCAATGGATTCGCAATGGTATGCAAGTAAATACATATTTTACAAAGCCATTCACTTTCATGTCTCTCTTTTCTTTCCCTCTCTTGCATCATCAAAAAATAATTAATATTTCCATTTCCATATATATTAGCAAGCCAAATAAAGAATCACAATCTAGCAAAGACTCTAGTAGCAAAAAACCGCGCAACTACAGAGTAGTATACGATCCTGAACTCGATCGAAGCAAGAACAAACAGAACCAACAAATTGTTCTCCAATTTGAAGGCGATGCTGTAAGTTTTTATTGTATAATATTATCAATAAAATAAGAAAATAGGGTTTAAGATTGACACACACAATATTTTAGCAATCTTCCGATCCTCCTCGAGATCCTCGTTTGAGCGTTCTTGGTTACGGCAAAAATACATCCAAAGGCAACAAGACGTATAGGTCCAAATTAAAAACAGTACAATTTTTGGTGAGACCTCACGTATACTTTCATTTATATAACCTCTTCTATATTCTTTCAAGTGCTGTATATGCATACACCGAATGTGGTAACTTATATTGTATTATATGTGAATATTAGGTGGACAACAATTCGGTAGTATCGAAGCACCCTATTGCAATTGCAGTATCCAATTTATCACCATTGGCGACCGAAACACATATCACGACTCACTTTTCAAAATACGGCGAAGTAATAAGCGTCGCGATTGAAAAATGCCCTACGACAGGTGGTTCTTTGGGCTTAGCACGAGTTGAATTTGGGCCCATTGTCAAAGAGGCAGCGTCACGCGCCGTCGAACACAGCAATGGACGACTCATGGGCACGGCTGGTCCACTTCGCGTGGAATTAGATTCTGCGGGCGACAAACTTAAAGCGGCAGTAGCAGAACGAACAAAGCGCGGTAGTACTGGTAGCGGCGCAAGTAGTAGTAGCGCTGGAGGTAGCAGCAGTCGAGTTGTTGACGATACGAGCGACAGCAAACCACCGCCTCCACCATCATTACCGCTGTTACGCGACAATACGCCAACAAGACAACCACAGCATAGAAGTGAAAGTATAAAATCGTCATCATCGCACCATGAAGAAGGCGAAGTTGTTGAAGACGAGCTGTCCCCCACGTCAGCAAAATATGGCAGTAGCAGCAGTATTAGTCGGTACGATATGAAGAATGTTCCACCTCCGCCTCCACCGCCACCGCCACATCCATATCATCGTTCTTCTTCATATAGCAGATATGACGACTATCGCGGATATCGCAGTGGACCGCCTCCTCCGCCACCGCCGCTTGGCAGCACCCCTCCTCCTCCTCCTCCTCCTCCACCGTATTCGTCACGCTATCCTCCTCCGCCGCCGCCACCATCGTCATCGTCGCGTCACTTGGAATCTGATCGTTACGAACCAACATCGCGTAGCAGCGGTCGTCCTCCACCACCCCCACCCCCACCACCGCCACGCTGGAGTAGTCGAGGCAGCCCTTCAGGTTCACCCAGTCCACGGTATCGTAGTCGAAGTAGGAGTCGTAGCAGAAGTATCGGACGAGAACCGCGGGGATATTATGCAGATCGACGATGGGAGGAACATGAGTATGATCGCGAACGCGAACGGGAACGGGACTGGCGGAGGGATCGGTATGGACGACGCAGTGAATACTGGGGTTCTGCTGATGAGCGGCGACCAAGAGAGGTAATACATCAAATGGCTGGGAACAATGGAGGGAATGGATGAGTGTATCGTTTACTTAATGGCGGATGATTATAGGATCGAGATCAACCATCCCTTGTTATAACTCGACAATGCTTGCCGTTCATGCGCGGTGTTCTGGAAGATCTGCGCAAGCTGTTCTACTACTACAACTGTGTTGATGTAAGGAAGAGGGAATGTTTTGGAGGCGAATGTAAACGCTTATTTAGAAAGAAAAACTGATTATATGTGATGTACCGTTTTTTGATGCAGATATACCATGATGCTGATAGTTGGCACGTTGTGTTTGATTCTACGAGTGCAGCAAAGCGGGGTTTGGCAGCAGCAAATGGCCAGCAAATCATGGGACATACCTTATCAATCATGCTGTCTGATCCAGCCGGTTCATCACGACGTGAATCGACTAAACCACCGCCATCATCAGCAGACGAGCCTCGCAGGGACAGCGACAGTATATCCGAATTGCCAACGACAACGAACAGACTTACTGCTGCAACATCTGGGCGTGACGTGACTAAAAAAGTGGGCACGCCAAAGCCCGAGGAACAGCAAAAGTCGACAACAACAACCAGCACCAGTGACGAAAACAAGTCTGTCGCAGAACAAGCCAAGGATTTGTTGATGAGGGAGTTGGCAGATGTGTTTTTGAAAGATTTGAAAAGCCGTGTGGTAGGACCTGCTATCAACGATTTCCACAACCCAGAATTACGCAAATCACGAGAAGCTCCAGCACTACAGCCTGCACCATCCTCAACAACAACTACGACTCCTGCTGGTGCTGCTACTTTTGTTAGCCAAAATGCTCGACCTGCAACATTGTACGAAACCAACGAGTATGCAGCACAAATTCCACCAGCTACACCAACGGCAGCATCTGCATCAGCTGGCGAACAGCGGCAACGAGAAGCTATAAAGACACCCACAAAGCCTTCAGAAGGCAATCTGCCCTCCATCAGCAAACTGCCACGAATAAAGAAACGACCCTCCGCATCGCGAGCACTTGAACCTAACGGCAGCAAAATCATCAAAAAGCCACGTTATTCATCTGATGAAGATATGGACGATGACGACAATGACAATGAACGAGATAGCAGCAGTCGCGGAACCACACCAAGGCACCGCTCGTCTTATTCAGAACATCGACCGCCACCACGTCGTAAGCGTGTATTGATGACATCGAGTTCGGATGAAGATGAGGGTTCATTTCAACAGAACGGTTTGCAATACAATAACAATGAAGGGTCGGAAGACGGAGAAGAGGAGGAGCGGGTTCATTTGGCAAAACCGCGTAAAGGACGTCCAGCACATAGACCACGCACTTTACGTGATTATCTAAGTGAAGAAAGCGAGGTTGATAATGAACACGACCTATTTCTACAGCGACTGCAGCGTCATTCGAGCGAAGATAAAGATGACGACGAACAGGACGAAGATCTCGATTCAGAAATGAAGGGACGAGCGAAATCAGGAAAAAGCAGTACGCGGGACAGAGTCGAAGTTGTTGATACGCCAGACTCGTTACCGGATGTTCATCATATGTATAACGTCAAGGACGAACGCACAACTACTACGAAATCCGGTCGACGAAGGTCACCTCCACCCACATCATCACCAGCAGCAACAGCATCAGAAACTCCAAGAACAGCTGCAACACCCATTGAAGAGGAAGCGCAGCAACACATAGACGACTATGATTTTTTCGACGAATCAGAAATCATCTTACCGAAACCAGCCAAACGACGCAAGCGTGCTCCTGGACGACCGAAAAAATCTGCTGCTGGCGCTTCCGGTGGGGGTGGTGGTGACAAGGACGATTCTCAGAACCAAGCACTAGCAGAAGAGGCAAAGCGAGCACGAAAAGAAGAAGCCGAACGACAAGTACGAGAACAAGAAAAGTACGAGCAATCACTCTTGGAATCGGACGACTCGGACGATGAGCTGTTATTGGATCGCAGCGTGGAGAATGGGGTTCTCAAGGATGCAGCAGTCAACGCTGTTGAGAAACGTGCTGAGTGGGATCCGTTCCAACAAGTCCAAGACGGCGAGGATTTTGAGTTTTTGCGGTTGGCTATACTGGAAAAAGTGCGTCCTGATCAAGCGGTTTTACGCGACATGAATGGTAACAATGAAAACATTGCTGGTGGTGGAGGTAGTGCTACTGCTACTGCGACTGCTGCTGGTGGTGGTGGCGTTGATGAAAACGATATTGGCGATGATGGACAAATACCACCAGACAAAAAGAAAGGCGGATGCGCGCGGGCGCGCGGATACTATCCCATTCCAGACTCTGTGAAAGCAACCTATCTTCCTCGCAACCGAGCTGTGTTTGATAACCCAAGTCTTGTCAATGGCCGCACCACCTCGCGCACGAACCGTGTCAACAATCGGCGTCTGCTGGTGGGCATGGACATGCAAAAGAAATCCTTGGCCGATTCAGATATCCTCAAATTCAATCAGCTCAAGAATCGCAAGAAGCAGCTGCGGTTTGCCAAGTCGCCAATCCATGACTGGGGCTTGTTTGCTGAAGAACGGATTGATGCGAATGACATGGTGATTGAATATGTGGGCGAAGTGATCCGGCAACAGGTCGCAGAGGAGCGTGAGAAAAAGTACGAGCGCTGTGGCATTGGAAGCAGTTATCTGTTCCGAGTCGACGATGATACGGTCATTGATGCAACGAAGAAGGGCAGTATTGCTCGATTCATAAATCATTGTTGTTCGGTAAAGTATCGCTCTTGATTGATTGGATAGGATGCTACTCTGTCACAAAGACTGATGCGATAAACCTCGTCTATTCAGCCTAACTGTAGTGCCAAGATCATCACTGTGGATAAACAAAAGAAGATTGTCATTTATGCAAACCGAGATATCGAGCCTGGCGAAGAAATTACATACGATTATAAATTCCCTATCGAAGCGGATAAGATACCCTGTTTGTGTGGCAGCAAGTTCTGTAAGGGAACGTAAGTAGAATTTCTCTTTTGCATTGTGGCCTGCAATAAGAAAAGGACTTATTTACTCATTTGATGTTTTGTAATAGTCTCAATTAGCTGCTTTACATCAAAGTACATAGTAATAAGTAATAAACACAGCAACAACAGCAACAACAACGGCAAGACACCTTTTTCTCAATATTCTACCACCATTAGTTCTTGTGTATATCTTTCTTCATACAAAAAACCACCAGCCATTTTTACCCTCCCTTCCTATCCTTTTTAGGCGTTCTCCTTCTTGTCCCTCGCTCTATCCACTTTATATAGCTACCGTTGTTGCTTTTCTAATAATAAACCATGCATTGTCTACCACCAGTTGTACGTACAGAAGCTGGGGCAAGGCGAGGCAAAAAGAAACCCCGTGCTTCACTCGCTGAACCTGTCAAACTCAAAGAAAGCGGGGCGCGACGGATGTTATTGCACGAGCACCGGGTTAATATAGGCCAATTCGGCTGTAAGAAAAATCGTCCTATGCGCCGTTTTTTATTCCTTTGCTCCGGTGTTCTATGCTTTGCTGCCTATATATATAATAGACGTTCCTTTCAGTCAACATCACCACAACTTATTACAATGGAGCATCCGTACAATCAAATTCTCTTGTTTGGAGTAGGTCTTGCCTCATTCCCGTCATCTCGATCCTTTTCAAAAAGACAGGAGATTGAAATCAACTGACAGTTCCCACTTGTTTTTCTAATAGGACTCGATTACTCAGGTACGGTATTTTTTCCCACTTTCACCAGTCGAACTTGATTGACAAGAAGATTTTTAATGGATCTCGTGTTTCATACATACACTAGTTCAGTTTTGACACAGAACTTCGCGGCTTTGGTGCAAGCCTTGCCAACGTAAGGAGCCTTTCTCTTTCTGCCCGGCAGCTTTGGTCTACTGGATGGGAAGCAAATAAATATATTCGATCAATCTATCACTTTTTATAGGCTTATCAACGCAAAGTCGATGTTGTCAACCGTGGATTTTCAGGTAAATTGGTGCAGGACCGAAGAATATTTTCACTACCATGGCTAACTAACATAACACATACACCACTAGGATATAACACTGAATGGGCATTGCCAATCCTGCGTCAGCTTCTACCCACACTTGAGAAACAAAAACATACGTCCGCCAAAGTATTGTTGGCCACCATCTTTCTGGGCGCGAACGACTCGGCGTTACCATTTGCTTTGCAACATGTTCCGCTGGACAAGTTCAAGGCCAACCTCAATGCGATGCTCTCTATGATCCAATCGCCTGACTCGTCTACGTATAACCCCGAGCTACGCTTGATACTAATCACACCCCCACCGCTCAATGAAGTACAATGGAAAAAGCGCTGTGATGATCAAGGCGGACCTCTAAACCGGACATGGGAGTATTCGAGAGATTATGCACAGGCCGTGCGCGACGTGGCGCAGGAACACAAAGTTGTTGTTGCGGATTTGTGGCAAACGTTGATGGATTTCGGTACGGATCATATGGCCGAGTATCTTTTGGATGGTTTGCACTTGAATGCAAAAGGAAATCAGGTATACACCGTGTTCTTATCCTTCAAATAGATTTATAATGCGAGGGCGTAAGCTCCCGGATTTGATGGGGGTCTTTTTTGTACTGTTAGGAATTGATTTATAACATTGCAAAATAGGTCATGTATGAATTGTTAATCGAAACGATCAAACGACATTTCCCCGAAATTCACCCTGACAACCTTGAAATGGAGCTGCCAGGCTTCCGAGACCTTCCAAGAGAAAACTTTGATGACTTGTTACAGTTCCGTCTGTTGAGAAAATAAATATTATGATTAGGAAGAAACAGGATATAGCAAAAAGGGCATTCTTGGAGTGGCCATGCTTTATGCTTAGTGGTACTACTGCTCCCAGGTATAAACGATTTGTTTCTATGTCAATACAGTACTAGCAGTTGCGATGGTATCTGTCATCTTGTGGCTTTCTGCTATTTGTTTGCTGCTCCAGCCACAGGTTTACGTAGACTGGCCTGTCATGTAGACAGTATGTATGCACTACTAGCTAATATCAGTCAGAATTGTAATACACACCAAACACTAAACATTCTGTACACAAATGCACGATAAATGCATATCAATATGGTCTGATCAAGGATTGACCTCGCTACAAACAAACAAAAACAAAGTTTTTACCGAGCTTATAGCACGCCAATTTCGTCCTTTTTTTTTTCTTTTTAATTCATTGCTATTATATGTATAATACGAAAGCAAGCAAACTCTAAGCTTGAAACGCTTCTCTAGTGTGAGCAAGATCCGTACAATAGGAAAGATCCGAATACGTTTCTTTTTCTTTTCTTTTATCTCTCTTTTCTCTTTGCTATACTGGCGTTTTCTTTGTAAATGAATATTAGTCAACAGCCACATATCGAACCGACCTTTCGAACATGGGTTACACCATCCACGTCGACCTTGTGCGAGGATCGTGTCCAACTATCTGACTGGGACGTTGTCATGTTCAAGTCGTATACGCCAATCCTCTTGTTCTACACGAATCCAGACAAAGATCCGGAATTTATGAGCACGCAAGCGCTGACACAATCACTTGCTGACGTGCTTGTTGAATTCTATCCACTCGCAGGGCGTTTGATAGACGTTGGCCAAGGTCGCGATGCAATTGAATGCAACGACGCAGGCGTATTATTCCAAGAAGCTAAATACTACAGCAGCTTAGAAGAGTTTCAACAAGACGGATACCTACCCAGTCAGATGGACTATCATCGCATGTTCCCCATCCACTTTTACACAAAGTACTCTGACCCTCTGGTGGCAGTGCAAGTGACCCGGTTTACAGACGGTGGCGTGGCATTAGGCATCATGATCCTCCATAAAATCGCAGACAAGTATTCGCAGTGCCTATTTCTAGACGCATGGTGTAAACAAGCACGTGGTGTTGCTTACAACAAGGCGACATATGATCGAAGTTTGGTAGCTGTACCTCCCAACGTGGCCGTCACCGACGAAGTACTGGATTATTATCGCGATGAACATCGAATTAGCGGGGAAGATCATGATATCAGGATCAATCCTGATCAGCCAAAATATGCACGAACAGCACCGGATGGACCGATGCCGCTCAAATCTGTCATTCTGGAATTCTATTCGGATGGATTGCATCAGTGTAAACGCGACGCCCATACACCGGATATGATCAAGAACAAGATCTGGTTGTCGACCAAGGATGCTCTGTTTGCCATGCTCTTTAGGGCAATTGTTAGGTCGCGTGACGTATCACCTGATGAAGCTGTCAACATGATCATGGGGATAAACGGTCGATCAAAAATGAAGGGCCTGGACTTGTATTTTGGCAATTGGATGGTGTAAGTAACTTGTAGAAATGCATATACAGTCTCATGTTCTCAACAGCAATCCCTATTTTTCTTTGTGTGCATGGACTCATCTATGCAAAAAGGACGCGCGCAATGTCATTGACCAAGCAAGAAGTGGCCGAAACCAAATTGGTGGATACAGCCATTGCGTTTCGACAACAAATGGCAACGCTCAAGGCATCGTTGTTCCACGGCATCAGCAAGCTCTACACGATCCATCAAGACATGACTGTACATTATTTGTGCTACCAGCCCAATTCCAGTACGCATTTGACAGTCAGTGATGCAAGCATGCTACCATACTGGCGACTCGACTTTGGATTTGGCAAACCGGATCGGGTCAGAGGGTATATTACTGCAGGCGGTGATGGATGTCTTGTGTTGTTTGGTCGCAGTGATCAGGCCAAAGGCGCCATGTTTGATGTTCAGATACAAATGGACACGGAATCCATGCGACGGTTTGTGGACGATCCTGATATTATAAAGTATACCCGTCAAGTCTTGTGCTAGCCTTCTTAGACTCCTTTATTTCGCGAAAGCAGATTTTAGTATTACTATCGTTATCATTATCCTTGATTTTAATTTCTTTTATATAATAATAATAATAATAATAATATTTTCAACACTAATATATGCTGATATATATAATTTTTGTATTACTATTAGTTCGATTGAAGTATACTCGTGGAAATAAAAGATTGCCTTACAGAATTAGTGTACAGAAAAATACTGGGAAAGTGTGTGTGTGTGTATGGTATGCAATTAAACAAGAGTAGTAGCGGGGTGATGTTGAGTTTAGAAAGTGTAAAAACAAGGAGGAGGGTATCATGCACGTAATTGCTGAGAAAGAAAAAAAAAGCTTAAAGTTCATCAACCATCGTTGGAGGCAGACAACGGCAAATGGGCGATCATACGGACTTGTTCGACTCCTTGCCGCCGCCAGCAACCAGCGTGATAACATCACAATCGTCCTCATCGACATCGCAATTGGCTGCTGGCATATAACCTTGGCCACGATACTTTGCGTTGTCGATATGCTCGTTCAATGCACCACCGATTCTTCGCAAAAGTCGCGTTTCGCTGTTGATGTTTTTCCCTGCTGCTGCTGCTGCTGCTGTTGCTCCTCCCTCCCCTAATTCGCGACGGCTGCTGCTAGTATTGATCTCCGCCGAGGACTCGATCGAAATGTCGTCATGGCAACTTGGATTGGTACTACCACCACTGCTACTATTTCGGCGTCGATGAGGCTTTGCATTTCCTCCCCCGTACTGACCCCAACTTTCTTGCTTGGTACAATCAAATGGCAGGAACTTTTCATCCAGCAATTGTCGTGCACGAGCCGCTTCGCTGTCCTGATCGCTGTCTGCCAACGTTGATTTTGATGCGCGTTTCCGTGCCCGCAAAGGTTCGCCGTCTAATAACAACTCCTCGAGCTCGTGTACAGCGTCAAAATTAGACTCGTCTTTCTATTTTTCCAAAGTCAGTTCAAAAAAAAAGTCTAACCTTCCTTTCTCACTCCTTCCGAAAGTTGACCAAGCCCAAAACTTACACTGGGGGTGAAAGGGGGTGTGGCTTCTTTTCTCTCGAGTTTATGCCAGTCCATCTTGTCGAACCATGGATGTTCTTTAAACTGCACAAACCCTCCTTGACCACAGCCTATCCGTTGAAACGGCGTTCGATCGAGCAGCTGATCACGAAAAAAAGAACAAAAAGTCAGCTCATCGCAAACCGGCGCTTGATAATTATATTAAAAAAAACCACCCATCACTAGCTTTTATTACCTTGGTAACTAGATCAATGCAGTCATCAGACACCAGTTCATGTGCATTGTCAGGGAACTCCAAGGGCTCATTCAATATCGATTCGACCAGTTCTTCGTTTGTGTTGCCTTTAAATGGCCGCTGTATTGTCCAAAGCAACACGGATGATTAGTCACTTATGAGCCTGTCACTCTTCTCGCACTGCGGGTCCTTTTGTGTGACAACCGAAATAATAGTAAAAAGAGCTCACTCTGCCGAAAAGAAGTTCGTAGGCTAAAACTCCCAGACTCCACCAGTCGACCGACGTTGCATAACCTCGTTTGTCGAGAATCTCGGGTGCCATGTAGGCTAAAGATCCGGCCTTTGTCCACCTCAATGGTCGCTTGTCGTTGAATTGTGTGGCAATATTGAAATCGGAAAGATGAGCGTGGCCATTGCCGTCCAATAATATATTGTCTGGTTTCACATCGCTATACGTTTTCGAGGGCAGGTTGGATATAAATTAGTCACGTTAGCTTGGTTTGCTATTGTTTTTTCCCGTTGTTATCTATTACCGATGAGCAATACGTCGCCGATGCAAATAGGATAAAGACAAGGCGATTTCGGCCACGTAGAATCGCACTTGTAATTCGCCCAGGGGACCATAGCGTTCCAACTGGAAGCGCAGATCGCCACCGAGCATAAGGTCCAAGACCATGAACAGATGGTCGTCATCCTGGAAGGCATACCGAAGATTCACTACGAGAGGATAGTCGATACGTTCCAGTAAACGGCGTTCTGCGACCATGTTGTTGGCAGCTCGTACTTCGACACAGCGGCTCTTGTTTATACATTTCAGTGCATACTCTTGAAGTGTGCCTTTGTGTTGCACTTGATGCACTTTGCCGAAGGCACCCTTGCCAATAACTCGTATCAAATAGAAATGGAACAGTTCGACTACAAGATGACGATTGCCGTGAATATCTCTTTTGATAAGCTGGTGGTGGTGCGGGTGGATATATGTATGCGTATGTGTATACCTTCGTGGGCAAAGTCGACTTCATCTGGTTTACAGCAAACACCGCCCATTTGGAATGCTTATGACGAATATGATGCTTAAAAGGAAGAAAAGGTGTGGTGTGTGTTTGTGGGCGATGAGTTGCAGGTAATACCAAGATGTCAATTTGGTGTTTTTAATTTAGTTTCGTCGGTTACTGTAGCAAGGCACGCCCATTTGTGGGAGATAACTCCGCTCGCGCATCGCGCAGGTCTCTCTCGAAAGGGCTAAACATTAAACCCCATCTGCTTTTACTACATGCAGTCTTCTGTTACTACTACACAGCTTTTCATGCTACCCTTCCTCACACACACACACACCCCTTAGCTGTTACGTGCTCCCCATTCGGTACTTGAGTACCACTTACTCACATTCATGCTGCTGCTCTTCTTCTTCACCTTCCACCCCATGTACTTCACGTGAAGCATAAGGATGGCGTATGCCTCCCCTTTCGAGCATGTTCCCGCGTTGTACAGTCCTTTTAAAAAGTAAAGTCGCTGATTTTCGAGTTTGAAGTCGTGCACGTTCAGCAATGGTGTCGGCTGATCCACCAGTGAATTCGTGTTCGCATGTGATGAATCTCGTTTATTTTTAGTTGTCGCTTAGTAAAATATCTTTGCAATTATTATATAGAAGAAGGTGGCCATCCTCGGTGTATCTTTTTTTACTTCTTTTTTCCTATTTACAATTTATTTTATAGACATATAAAAGGAGTATGCAATTTCTGTATGAAAATGGACCAGGGCATGTCGTTGATGAGCACGGAGTGGAATCGATGGAGCTTTCAGTTGACGAGGAGTTATCCGCTATCGAAACAATAAGTTCTTGTGCTCAATTCTTTATGAATAAACCTTCAGAAAGACGTCTAATCGTGCAATGCCTCCAACCAGAAGTTCAGAGAGATAATGATGTTGATATGGACTTATCCAATAAACGACGCTATACGATTTACTCTGTTAGCGAGAAAACCAGATTTTTCCACCTTTTTTTACTAAATGCTTTTGGTGCTGCAAGGCGATTAGGTATTCATGTTCGCGCAGCCCAGAGATGGGTCAAACGATATTATGAGATCCTGAAAGCATTTGCGAGAGGAAGAATCAGGTCGTCTTTGTATCCTTGGAGATGAGCATAAACAATTTCTTTAGATTATATTATAGATGAAATTCCTTCTGCGGTTGTAACTGAAGTGGTAGACAGTTTGGAGCAAAACTTTGTCAAATTCAATGTCTGTCGCAGAACTGTTTATAGTTTTATAAACGACGCAATGCAATCAGTCCATTAATCAGACACAGTTTCATCCTTTGGAAAGAAACAGCGAGGATAAGATTCAGCAAAGATATGACTGGGTCTAGGAGTGGCAACAAACTGACTTGGATTTTACCGCAAATTGTGTCTTCCTTAATGAATCTGCATTTCTTTCAATTTGAAACGAAGTATGGCTTGGTCAAAGAAGGGCACTCCTACAATAGTTACTGTGCCCACAACTAAAGCGAGTGCAACATCGATTTTAGGTGCAATATTTGCAACTGGCTTAATTAATGTTAGTTCAAGAGTTCCAAAACGCATCAAAAAGAGAAAGCTTGGAGGTGCTGCTGATGGCTATTAGCATAGGAGCGGTAACAGGCCACTATCTGAGTTCTTCAAAGGCAATCCTTGGTAAAATGGACAAATATCCCGCAATGAAGGGACATTACCTTGTTAAACGCTCCTATCCATAACTCAACTAACATGGAAAGTATATCTTCACTCCCACGATGTCGATCTGTATAACTTATTTCCGCATTCTCCGGAACTGAATCCAATCGAGCAATTCTGGTCATCTGTCAAGAGCAAAGTGAAGCGAAATAACTTTTGGAAAAAAGAATCTCTCACAACTAGGATTAGTGCAGCATGCAATAGCTTATATTTTAGTGACTTTATAGTCTTTATTTCTCACACTGTTAAATGCTTCAACAAGTGACTTAACAAAGAATGGTTATAAAACGCGTTGTAAAAAAGATTGTTAAAAAGATAGGCAAAGTAAGGAAGGAAATTGATTGTCATTTAAAAAGAGACAGGTAAAGAGAACCAAAGAGAGGTACACTACGGGAAATTTGTCTCTGAAAATAAAACCAACTACCAAAAAATCTAGATAGTCGTTATTATATCTCCAAAAAGCATACAGAGCATTTACAAATCAAATTAGCTCACCTATTACTGAGCCAATACAATCGGTGTCTCCAGGTATACAACGTACTTTGAAAATCAGAACTAATTCATTACAAGGCTTTTGTAAAGTGGCATATAAAAATCGGGGGAAGTATAGCTTTTGCAGGCTTTCTTACGTTCACCCGGTAGCCATTCAATCCGCCATCGTATACAGCGACTTCTTTCCTTGTGGGTCATTGGTATGCACATAACTGGATCAGTGCCAATTGTCGAACACAGCATTTTGGGAATTTGGTTCGCGTAGGCAATAAACGGAGCGTACCAGGTTTCTTTGTGAGGTATTGCCAGATGACCTTTTTCAGAGCCGTACGGGAGATATCCAGGAAAGATTCAGTACAGAGGGGGATGATTGGTGATTTCCTTTTTTAATTTGGTCCAGTAGTAGCTACTCGCTAGGTACCTCCAGTGCTGCTAGGAGTGTTGGGAGAAGTGCATCCTCTGGTAGATAGGTTGCCTGATGTATGAATTTTGCTTGTAGGATTGCTATGCGTTTGGCCATGCTGGGTAATTTCACGAGGTGACGCATTTTCTTGTTCGTTTCTGAGTTGAGGTGTGCGCCATATATCAGTCGAAGACATGTATTCTGAGCCTTTTCTAGGGTGTCTCATTGGTTTTTTCTGTGAGAGGAAGAGGTGATTGCTACACTGTATTTCAGTTTTAGTCGTATAAATTGAGCGTATAGTCGGCTGGCCAACAATCGCGATATTCCAGATGGTTTGAGGTCAATGTTGTTGAGGATTCATATGCTGGTTATGCCTGATGCGGTAATTTTAGTATACAGTCACTAGGGGAAGTTGATGAAGTCAGTATACAGTATATGTCTATCATCTAGCCTATATAAGTTCAACAATTATATTTTATTATTTAAAGATTAACTTTTTAAAGTTTGACTTTGTCTTAAAGGTTATATATACATTCTGTAAGTTTTAAATATAGTAGGCTGCACCTAACGTCATGGTGTATTCAAGGGTCCCACATCCGCAGAACCCAATTTGTCATATCTTATAGGGGAATCGCATTCAAGGCTGAATAGCTCGCACCATATTCAATGTAGAATGGAGTACTACTAAATATCATCTGAAAGCCTGCAATGAGTGCTATCTAGTGATATACAGTTCATAGTGCTATGTACAATGTCCAGTATGTTATGACACTTTGAGAATTGGTACGTTTAAATTGGTATAGTGCTACACATCTTCCTTATAGAAAACGAAGCTTGTAGATCAACTTGGCACCCTCTCAGAATTTCAAAAATATGAATTTTGTTTTGATTGGCGGTTTGAATTGTATACGCTTATATCACGTTGAGAATTAGCCAAGTAGCCTACTAAGACATTTTCATTGAAGACGAGCAAGGAGAAGGCGATACAAGCACAATCGTAGCAGTGGATAGTGAAAGAGACGACGAAGATGCCACTAGTGATAAAAGGGTGTATGGTAGCAGTAGTGAAGGTGAAGATAACGACGACAGTAAAAATGCTAGCAGTGATAGTGAAGAGGTGAAGACCAAGTAGCCAGCAGTAGCAGCAATGATGAAGCTAATGAGACTGGCAACAAGAAAGACAATGGCAGTGCTACTGGCCCAGATGATTGCAGTGATAATGGAAAATGTCCCACAACTAAAAAGAATTGTAAAATAAAGCCGGAGCCTGCTTACGATGGGATACCTCACACGTAACAGGAAGCTGTACAGCTCAAGTTTTAACCGCAGTTAACAACAAGCTGTCGAGTATTAGAACTTGCCAACTGAGCGACCTTTTATCTAAATTTATACTCAAGGAATGCAAGCAAGATTCAATAAAGTAGCTCATATGCTTCAACATAGATGTGCTCCATTAAAAAATTAACTTACACCTTTAAAAATTGCATACCGTGAGCATTTTTCACGGAGATGAATACAGCGACTGGCTGTATGTACGACCTGATGTGCTTCCACATCATATCTTAACAGCAATATCCATATTGGCATGATACATAGCAACGAAAAGCCATTGACAACCAGCGATTTGTTTTGTTTCATCTAATTTCATCAATACACTTTAAAAGCCTTTAGCAGCAAAAGCTATCTTATACACTATACGCAGGCAGTGATGATCTATTTCAGATTACGCGTTGACAGCACAAATAAAAAGTATTTATGACACTGAAAAAAGGCTAAGATTCCGTGCCATTGCACTTTCTAATTCGGGCAATTTGACGCAGTCATGTTGGCTGTCCCAAGCGGGGCTTTCTTGCATAGCGTTTTTTTACCTTCTTCATAATAATCAATTTTAAACTTATATCATTTTCATGGGTCGACGTAAGCAGTATATGGACGATGGTGACGATTCGTCTGATGACGAAGGAGGTCGCATTCGATTCGATATCACCGATAATGATCTAGAAGAAGAAGCCGAAGGATTTTACGGTCAACGAAGCAACAAGAAACGCAAGCGATTTGGCGAAGACGACGACGACGAGAGCGATGAAGAAATGGAAATGCGTGGTGGGCTCGGCGGCGCAGGGCTTGGCAGCGCTGGTGATGGCCAGTCTAGCATGGCCAATTTTATGAATTTTACTACAGCTAAACAAACGCCTAAAAAAGAGGAATCACCTCTTTCAAAGGAAGGAACGCCCGAACCATCCATGAAGCCATCGCCAAAACCATTTAAAACAGCAAAACCAAGCTCCGATTTCGCCAAATTCAATGCACACACTACAGGTTTCGGTAAACGCATGCTGGAAAAGATGGGCTGGCGTGCTGGTGAAGGCTTAGGCGAGGCCGGTGCTGGTATTGTCAACCCTATCGAAACCAAGCTACGACCTAAGCAGATGGGTATCGGTTTCAGAGGATTCAGTGAACGAACCGAGGAGCAGAAACGAGAAGCGAAACGAAGAGGCGAGATTGTGTCCAGTGATGGAGAAGGAGAAGAAGAGATGGATGAAGACGAAGAAATGGGAGAAGCACAGCCAAAGCAACCGGCTAAACGCGAAGCATGGAAGCGAAAAGCACGAAAACCGAAACAAGTGTACAAGACGGCAGCAACGATTTTGGCCGAAACCACCAACGAGCAACCAGCTGCTGGAAGTCAACAAAAGATTATCGACATGACCGGTCCACAAGCTAAAGAGGTGACGCTGGCCGATCTACAACAAACAGCAACCTGGATCGAAACGACGACACGGCTTCCAGAACTGCGCCATAATTTGCGACTGATTGTTGATCTTGCCAAAGGTGATCTCGAAAACTTGTCCCGAGACAAGCAATCCAACGCCTTGCGCATCCAATCGATGGAAGAAGAATGCAAAGTGATTCGATTAAGGATTGACGGTGAACAAGCACGAATGGCCAAGGTGGAAGATGTCAAGGCAATGGCCACAGATCTGAAAAAGGTGTCGAAGAATGCATTGGCGACGGGTGCATACGAGCAAGCCAATATCACTGCTTTGTTTGGTCATATCTTTGAACAAATGATGGTCAAGTATAGCAACGAAATCGAACAGCTCGGTTTGGATCAGCTCGTGGTGGCAGTATGGGCACCTATCATGAAGTTCAAGTCGGCGCACTGGGATGTGTTGGCAGATCCAACGTGGGGTGTTGCAGATGTGCAGAAGTGGCGACAGCTGCTAGTCAGTAACGATGATCCGGTTAGAGATGAGACTGGACTGCTGGTGCTTCGGCCGAGATCCAAGGAGACGCCCAGATCAACACCGTATGAGACAATGATGAATACCATATGGCTGGTCCGTGTGCGTAGTGCTATAAAGTAAGTTGTGCTTTGTCAAATGCAAATGTCAGATTCCATCTGGAAGAAACAAAACTTACATGTCATTGCTTTTAGTAATCAATGGAATATCCGAGACCCTGATCCGCTGGTGCAACTCTTGGAGGCATGGAAACCTTTGTTGCCGCGCTTTATATTTGAAAACATTATCAACCAACTGATCTTGCCGAAGATATCGCGTGCTGTATCCGATTGGGATCCTCGCAACGACCCGGAAATGATCCACACCTGGATCCATCCATGGCTACCTGTACTGGAAGCTTGGCGACTTGGCGAACTGTTTACCTCGATTCGACACAAACTGGCCGTTGTCCTGCGTGTCTGGCACCCTTCGGACGAATCTGCATTGCACATCATCATGCCTTGGAAGGATGTTTGGACAGCTCAACAAATGGAAGGGTTCATGATTAAGTCCATCCTGCCCAAGTTGACACGCGTTATGCGTGACGAATTTATGGTCAATCCACGGGAGCAGCAGTTGGAACCGTTGATTTGGTGTATGGCTTGGAAGGATGTCTTGCCGGAGACTATATTGACGCAGCTAATCGAGAACGAGTTTTTCACAAAGTGGCTGGATGTTCTGTACAAATGGCTTACGTTGTCAAGAGACAGAGTCAATTACGACGAAGTGAGAGAATGGTATCTTTGGTGGCGCCAAGTGTTTGACTCGTACGACTTGGGTGAAAACAGGGCTGTCTCTGCTTGTTTCAGAAAGGGACTGGATATGATGGCCATGGCCGCGAATGGACAGCCTGTGGTGAAAGGATAAAATTAACATGTAAAAAACCAGATATATTAATTTGTATGTACATATATACCCCCTCTTATCCAAGAGCTCATTCGTGTTGCAAACTGGACATGGCACATAAAGAAACTGATATCCGTTGTTATCATGCTTGCCACAATAACCAGATGTGCATATTCTTGTGTAACTATTGTTTTTCTTGCTTGGCTGTGACGTGTTCCTACATTTGTACCCTATTTGATCGCGTAAATGAGTGTTCCTGCACGCTCAGAAAGACGCGCTATATTATCATTACACGCGCGGTTCGCGTCTTAATAATTTTTCATTTTTTTTTTGTATTACCTCCCTTTTTTCTAACTTGTACACATACTTAACACACTCTAAACATGTTTACCGGGCTTACTTACAATCGGAAAACTACTACGACTGTCACTTATAGACGTAAACCACGATTCGATCCTGTGGTAAATCTTTCAAGTGATGACGATTCCGATTTGGAGGAGCCCTCCAAACTTGTTCCTTCGTCCCGATCGCCACAGATTATACTTGAAAACAACAATAACACAGTCAGCGTTGCAACCACGCAGAATCCAACGTCCAATGTCCTGAACAATAAGAAATCTGAGGACAGGAGCTCTGAGGATAATGAAAAGGGCAGTTCTTCTCCTTCCACCATCAACGACGCAACACAACAAGGAGTAGGTGCGACACAACCACCACCAACACTGCTTCCGCTAACGTCACTGCCACCACCCCCATCCGTACCGGCAGCGCCTACTTATCTACCATCGCCACAACAGCAGCCACTGCCGTATATGCCACCGTTTTTAATTCCATCATATCCTTTACCATCAATAGCAGCAAATGAGCAACAACCGGATATGCTGTCTTTGGGAACCTATACAGCAAATCAATCGATAACGCAAGGGCAACAGCTGCTGTATCATCAGCAGGAACAGCAGGTGCTTGATATGCCATTCTCTATACCATTGCCACTGCCATATCCTCAACTAGACGCGGTATCTTGGGCTAATACATATGACCAAAGCATATCCATGACACAAGTGTCTGATCCTTTATCTCAGTTCCAATCAGAACAGCAGCAACAGAAGTTTATCTCTTTGGGTATGCAGGAGCGAAGTGACACACCAACGTCATTGCCTCCTATATATGACCATTTCATGCTCACGCAGCAACAACAGCAACAGCGATCCGCATCAGGATGTAATACTAGTTGTACGTTGAACAACAACGACGACGACGCTACTGATAGAGAAATAAATGTCGTACAAGCAGAATCCAGAGCACAGAACCAGCAGCAAGCAGAACCAGCGCCTCCAGACGACAATTCACCCCCTTCTTCCGCGTTTGATATATTTGCCATCCCTGAACTCCCCATCATACCTCGTCGCGCCGCAAAAGTACCACTTGACAAACAACAACCATCTTCAATACCATCATCAAAACTTAAAGAGCCTGCTGAAGCTGCACTACCCGACGTTTTTGATATCAACCAAAAGATCGACAATGTCGCTAATCGAACAACAAAGCACCAGCCACCATCGCCACCGTCAGCACCATCACAAAAGGACGGCGCTTCATCTGACGTGTTTGATATATCTGAATCTAATGTCGCTTCACACAAGGCACCAACAAGATCAACGCAAAAAGGCGACGACGACAATCTGTTTGATATATTCGATTTTCCTGAAAAGGACGATACCAACATCCTCGAACTTAAACTCGTGTCCACGTCATTGTCATCCTCACCCGGCTCCTCTACCTCATACTCATCATCACCTGCTCCTGCTAAACAACCACGTACCAAACCATTAAAACGATCCTTGTCTCAAGTTGCTTCTTCCCCCTCTCCATCGCCATCCTCATTACCATCGCAGTCGTCATCATCTTCAACATCCAGTAACGTAGCAAGAACACCAACAACAAAACCATTAAGAACAGCACGATCCCAACGACGTACATTATCCCAGTCGAAAAAATCTAAGAGCGACACATCAACGACATCATCATCACTATCAACAGGCGGAGGAAGTGGAAGACGCGTCCGTTTCGCACCAGATATTCTGGTCAGTACATTTCATCGAATGTCATTTGATCGATCACAACCGATTTCTGAGCCGACGACATTTGCCAAGTCTGAAGAGCAAGAAAAGATTTCACTTTCTGTGCTATCAAACATCACAGCAGCACCATCATCATCTACCCAACCGCCAGCGAAACGAAAACGGAATCTGGTTTCTAGGTTACGCAGTGCTACGGGTGAGCAAGCATCGTCTGCAACGAGCCCTTCATTACGGAGATACAACTTTGATGATGAAGAAGACGATGATGATGTTGTTGACGAGAAAGACCGAAATTCTGGTGTGATTGGTGCAACTCAATCGATGGATGAAGACGAACAAGAATATCGCGCACGAATGGAACGCGAATTGGTTGCTATTATGGAGAGCGACTTTGGTCAAGATGATGACGAAGAAGAAGGCCAGGAAAATGCCGCCGGCTACGGTGGCGGCTTAACAAGACCACTCTATCAGCCCAAGAACACCATGGATGTTCGAGTCACTTACCAGAGAAAAAGCAAAAATGCGTCACAACAAGAACAGCAACAGCAACAGCAGCAGGGCCATGATCGGGAAATTGCCGAGTTGGATAATCTCTTGGATAAATTACGCGCAGGCGGCTCTGATTTGTAAATAGTCTTTTATGTATGACTTTTCCTCTTAATTTATTTTAATTCATTAATTGTATCACTCGCAATCTTTCTGCTTTAACGTGTCTCTTTTTCTTTTTTCACTTGTGGATCGAAATTACGCATATGAATCAGCTACACCCGTACATTAGTGTCCTACAGAAAACTAGTTCTTTAAGGAAGACGAGCAAAGAAATTCTTCTTCCTCGGTATCAGGCTCATCTTTTTCTACTATCGCTCTCGATCGCTATGCACGGCTAACGTTCATTTCCAAAAAAGCCACGCAATCTTTATATACAACTGTGGACGTAGACATTTTCGCTCGAGCCCAACCAGAAGAATGACAAAGAGATATAAGAGAAGAGTATTCGCAGAGAGAGAAAAGGATGATATTAAGAAGCTGGTTGAGCATGAGTGACAAAGGATCACTGTGCTGCGTACGGTTGACACGAAGGCGGACGTGCATGTTAAGACAGTCAATGAGATATCGTTTGGTGAGGGTGGGGGTGAGGGCATTTTTTAACAAAATTCTGGTTTGCCACCAAGCTGTCTACCGAGCCCCCAACGACATAGCGGCTGCGTGCCTTATTGGTGATGGGAAGCTAAAAATTGGAGTCTATGGTGACTTTGAGCGACAGGCAGACAATATAATGAAACTTTGTTTGATGCTAGTGGGAATTACTGGGGAGAGTAATATAGGTATCGCCAAATAGCTTGCTTTGAACAACTGTTGATGACATCTGCTCCTAGCGATGAAGGATGCTTTGACAGATGGGTCCGTCTTAGTCAGTTTTGGCCGAATACTGTTGGTTTGATTGCTCAATATTGGGAGTAGTGTGCTGAGGAAGAACGTATCGTATTTGATTGTATTGCTCGTTGTGTCATACTTCCTGACTTTGCCAAGTACCGCGTAACTCTAATATAATCTCGATTTCCGAGCGTATGTGTGTACCATATATCATACGAGCACATTGGCTCTGAGCTTGTACAAGTGCTCATGGTCGTGCTTCGTGAAGGCCCTGATAACAGCCACACTCCGAATTGGGTTGAAAGGATGTCTGACAGTAGACGAGATAGACCAGAAGGGCTGAGGTGTGTACTATTGAGTGTGCTCATGCTGGTTATTGGCAAGCGTGTTGCATTGTATAAGTAATACATTCATACACACAAACGGAGTAAGTATTTCCATGAATATCCACAATTTCACAGTCGCTTATTGTTATTAACAGTTCTAACAATCACAAAACTTCTTCCATTTTCTAGCAAAGCCAATGACGATGTTAACTATGTCAAAGTGTATGGGATTATACTACAACGAGTTACAATGATGGTATGTCTTCACTTACGCTACCGACACCGTAACAAGTCAGCACCACCACTTACGGGTGAAATAACGCTATCAACAAATAAGCTGACTTCTTTATGAATGTATGTTCGAACACGCTCACAAGCAGTATACGGCATATAATATGTGGTCAATATCCAGCCCCTGGAGGCAAATTATTGACCAGTGTTGTCAATATACTCAGGTTCTTGGAATCGAATTTTCATGTAACAAGTATAATTATGATTACTGCGAGCTAACAGTTGTCAATACATTAAATATTCACGTTTGAAATTATTATCATAGGGCTTTTATGGTCCCCTTCGTACTTTCCAAACTCTCTATGGAATGCACGCGCTCTTAAGATATTAGACCGGAAAAAGAGCTATTAACAATCAACACGAACCATTTCAAAAACGACAACTTATTATGACAACAGCCAAGATACAATTTCTAAGTGCAACAGAAATTATGGTCAGTAGTACTGGTGTGACTACTTTAGTAGCACGCTTTTCAAAAGTAACTCTGATTGTCTTTCTAACTTTGTTTTACCACCTTAATGATGTATACAGCACCTCCTCCATTGATTCAGCTGTCTGAGCAAGTTTGTTTCTACTCGGCCGATCGTTTTTCAAATGATAAATATTTAGAAGGACTGACGCTTTAATATATGGCCTTTGTAACGACGTGCTGCTGTAGCGTACATCAGACGCCGTCGCACAATATCCTGTTTTTTACAACCGTATATACTTCTTTTACTGCAGTTGCTAAGCATCATTGACGTAATGCGCACCAACCCATTTAGTGTACTTCCTATGATGCAGCAACAACCTTCTTCATTACACCTTACTGATAACAACAATACATCCATAGCAATATTTATGTATATTGTTGATCTTGAAAACAGTATAAATATGGACCCCTTTTATTGAATATAACATATCTATCTGCTCCTCTATCTTTACGTTACAATCTTACAAAAAGGACGACACATGTCACAGCATGTTTCTCTGTCCGAAACATGAACGAATGAGTTCCACGAACCAGTTGCATGCATTGTCCGTGTACCTTTTAATTCCTTTGTGCTTACAAGAAGTTAGCACACCATCGCAATGACACTTCTTTAGAAACCAAAACCATACAGCACCAATCCCTTCAACTCCTTCCATCATTATTCATTGATCTTCAACAGATATGTAATCATAGTAGTAATATAGATATTGTGTATAATCCTGGCTCTTATAAGTTGATTAAAGGGTATAATTACCTTTGGAACAACAATTGCAACAAAGATAATCAATCAATTACCTGCATACTCTTTTCTATCTCTTCTCTTATGCCCTGGCTAGGGGTCGCAATTGGACGGGTCGGGTCGGGTCAAGGGTCTGACCCGTTGACCCACGGGTCAAGAAAACACTGACCTGACCCGACCCGTTCAACCCGACGGGTCATAACTCGGGTTGACGGGTCAATACTGATTTCGATTTGGTGACGAAGGAAGTGTCAATCAACCTGAACTTGAGCACTGGAAGTACAAAACTCCATATGTATATACACAGCTCTCCAAGATGATGGCGCACAAATTCCTGGCAGTACTAGCAACATCTACTTTGTGTGCAATTGTTTCTAAAGGTAAAGGATTTTGTGCCGTCAGAAAGGAATCGCTTGGGTTCACATGTATTAAAGAAAGCTTAATGGTTAAAGTAGTGTGGTTGAAGTTGACTTCCTTGCACGCCCCTAATTCTTTTCCCTTTTTCCTTTTCTTTTCACTTCTTCCTTCTTCCTTTATATTTCTTTTCTCAATTCCTTTTCAGTCTTTTGTCAAATCTCGTCTCTTACTGCCACCCTCTATTGTCCGTTCTCATCATTGTACTATTGCTGCTTCTTTATTTCCTTTTACATATATCGCTTATAGCTTACTGATCCTTTACTCTTGAGTACAAAATATTAGAGTATGATATTAAGGTTTTTTCAGGTTTTTAAGGTGTATTGAGGTTTTTCCTTTCCTACAGGGATGTAAGTACCTTAGAGAATAGAAAGAGAGATCACAAAAGAGTAAGAGTAGAATAAAAGATAATTTGAAAGAGCAGTTTATTGTATGCGATGAGAGGGGATATTTATATGTTTTGTCTAAACTGCTGCGGTAATGATGAATGATAATATGATATAAAAGTATACAAATAACGATGACAAAGAATAGCTGCGCAGCAAGCAATGATGTAATAGTTGACTGCGCGACAAAAGGAAAAGTAGCTGTGGACCGCAGCAAGCAAGAAGTATATCAAAGAAGGGCCAGATTTGGCTGGTCTTTCCTTTTTCCTTTTGTGACACCTGTCTATCATTTGAATACGTAGTCGCTTCTCGTTAACACACGTAGTTGTCCATTGCTTGAACACGTATTAGTCTCTCATCACAACACATAGCCATCATAGCATATCTAGTAACAATAGAAAACATATAAATATCCCCTTCATCATCAAGCAAAAACATTATCTTCCAAGTCATCTTTTATTCTTTTCTTATCCTTCTGTTATCTCTCATTCTATTGGCTGCGGTATTGATCTGCCAAAAAGACTTCGACACAAAAAGGAAGTATGTGTTACATGAAAACTATGGTTATGACAAGAACATTAAAAAAACCACTTTACAGTGAGAACGAGCCATACTGACTGTAATTAAGCAAAGATGAAGAGAGTGGGATTCGAACCCACGCCTCCGAAGAGATCAGGGCCTTAACCTGACGCCTTAGACCAACTCGGCCATCTCTCCACGATTCTTCGTCTCTCTATTACCTTTTTTTTAAAGTGACCTACATACTTTTTATATTATATTATATTTTCGCTCAAAACTCTTAAGAAAACTACAAAAAACCCCCAAAAAATCAGTAAAAATAGCACCCTCAACACCCACACCACCGAACAGTACCAACAACACGCCCACCAACAGCCAAGTGTCCAGCGACATTTCGCAATTGCACTCATCCCCATCTAGTGAAATCCATTCAGCATTAGCAGCCCCCATTCCATCATGCCCTAAGTGATTGCTTGCACCAATCTCACATACCTGTGTGGCCATCAACAATCCCCGCATTCAAAAAAAATCGGACATCATCTCTGCGCTCAACAATTGTAAAAAATTGTCAAACGAAATGACTAAAGCGCCGAAAACAAGAGGGAGCTACCCCTTACAAACAGCCTTTGAACCCCGAGTTCATTAAAACTATGGAATAGAACTTAGCCAGAAGTGTTGAAAAAGATATTGATAAAGAAGAGAATAGATGATACTAAAGAGAATAGAAGATAAAGAGAATAGAAAATAAAAAGAGTTAGAGAAGGACTTCATGGAAAATAACATTTCGGGTGTTTTGGCCTTACTGACCTATGATACTTGAGTTCTCAGGATCTAACATGATTCTGATGGATGAAGGGGTGCGGACGCGCGACATGGCTACATAGAGTAGACCATGCGTGAAAGGAGGCTCAGGTAATTATAGGCCAACAGTGTTGAAAGTTTGACCCTGTGCCTTATTGATGGTCATTGCAAATGCGAATGCCAGGCGAACAGGGAATTTTGCGTGCGTTTGAATTGAATAGGAGAGCGTGTTTGCGATGGTGTGAGTGTTATGTGGGGGATCAGGACAACAATGTTGCCGGCATGAGGTCCAGTGGCTATTTCAGCTTCAAGTACATATCTTTGAAAAGAGCGTACAATCAGCCATGTCCCATTGCAGAGACCACTTTGGGTGTGAAAGTTTCTCAAAAGCGTAATTCGGCAACCGACTTTGAGTTTTAGCAAGTGTGATGGGAGGTCGGATGGATTCATGGAATTGAGCAGCTCTGGTGGGTATGTGACTTGATCCTCTGGATCATCCACAGTATCTGCGCTTGGGAATTTGTGGATGGTGCCTAGGAAATGGTCGAGTATCAGATCGTTGATTGTTGTAACATCGATATTCTTTAGAGTCAAGATAGAGCGACTGATGAGGTAATCGCGATCCACGTGTGATGCGTTCAGGTCGCCGTAAATGGCTTCTATAAGCTCGTACGTGTTGTAATATGGCATGAGCATTTGATCTGGTAGCTGGACTCTGTCATCGGTGTTTGGCATCAACAGCTCAGCACCATCACCAATGTGAAGTAAATATTGCACAAACTTGCGAAGTTCGTTTGCATCATTGGTGTTGGCAGCTTGTTGGAGCGTATATTGGTTTCAAGGCGATGGACGGTGACACTGGCCTAAATTGATGAGCGATTTAGGCACTGCTGTACGATTTGTGAGCGCGATGCATTTGATATCACAGGAAGGACCTTTTATTAAATACTTCACTGTGAGTATCAATCCATAACAATTAATTTAGCAATAAATTGCTAATTAATTTTAGTTATGTCTTTCACTGTCAAGCTAGCCTGCGTCCAAGTATTCCTTGGCTAGAGAAGGGACTTGCTCATTACCATTCCGCCACTATAAGAATTGAATTAAACATAAAAGAATATTATATTTTAAACAGTTTAAACATGTTTATACAAAACTAAACATATTATATGAATTAAAAAAAAATAAAAAAAATATTTTAAACGTTTCAAAAATAAAAAAAATTATAATCTAATTTTTTATTTTTTCCTAAATATGTTTAAACAATTATATATATTCAATTAATGAAACCTTTTTTAAACTATTATTAAGGATTAACACCCTGTAAGTACTACCGCTTAATAGTAAAAGAATGCAAAGTAGAAGAGAGGATACAATGTTGGATACCTGACAAAAGTCATTACCAAAGGCCATAATATTTCTACCAAATACAACATTGGTAAGCATAGGATCATCATGTCTCATGAGATCTTGGATACTCCGTACTGTATACATAGTGTAGTGAATACATTGATACTTGTATTCAGCATGTTTAAAGCGATGGCACTTCTCAGATGATGAAGGATTTGAAGTGAGCTTCACATCATGCTAATGACGGTTATTCCCTTGAGTCTTTCCTCGATGCGATACCCATCTACTCACACAGTCATACATTCATGTAGAATAAATTCTCTGATCTGGAGGAGCTACACACCTCGGCGCGTCATAAACGTCAGAGAGTAATCTGATTGGATAGAATGAACTGGCTCGAATGCCGCGTAGCATGTGTGTTCATTACTACTATATAACTGCGCAGCCGCAGCAATCATGCCGCTCTTCTTCCTCTTCGTCAACTTTTCTAAACCAAAGCTATTCAAGGTGAGTGTCATTGGAACAGATTAGAGGATCGGAGAGTGTATGTTTATGGTGGTGAGTGAGAAGAGTGTATGCAACCGGTTGTGAGTATACAGTGATTTCTTTAAGATCCGTTTATCTCACTTTCTTTCTTTTTTGACACAGACTTTCTTTCGTCTTAACCTGGTCCTTCTCCACTCAAAGCACAAATGCAAAAGTAAGTACAGTACAATATGGAAAGTGTGAAGTGTACTTTGAGGTTTTGCATGTGGATGTGATATACGAAAGAAGATCTGAATTTCGACGTGTCTAAAGAAGTGTGTGTACAGCATACAGTCGCTAATGTTATCCTCCTTTCTTCTCTGCTAGTACTATAGGATTCTGACTTTTTGAAATGGTTGGTTCGGTTTGGTGTTTGCATCCTACCCTTAAACATAAGCAACAACTGTAAGTACGGTAGGGAATGAAATGTGAGGATGAGTTGGAGAGAAGTCGAGTGTCTGTTGGAGGTGCTGATGCCATGACGTGTCAGGAATAGTTGCATATTAAGAACAGCCTGCTCATAATCTTTCTTCTTTTCATTCTACTTCAGGTTTCGCTTTATGCTGGTTGGGTTAATTGTGTCCTGCGGACAAATAACAGATAGTAAGTATAAGCAAAAGGGGACTTGAACATTGGTATGATAGGTGAGTAGGATGACATGGGTGTTGGGGATGACGCGTCAAAGGTGTGCAGTGTGTACAGCAGCGTGACGGGAAAGGGCTCCTGACCATGACGTATGCAATATGGCAGTCTCTCAAAAAAGTTTTCTTTCTCTCCTCCCCTTTCTTCTCTTATTCTTTTTTCAAAATTGGTCATCCCCTTCTTGCTTTTCCTCTCTCTAACTCAAGGCTCTCTTCCTCCAAGCCAAGGATGTCATAATAGTAAGTATCGCTGTGCTTGTGTTTGTCTTTGCGTGTTTGAAGAACCAGGAAGATGTCTGCCGTGACATGTCAAAAAGTGTATGCAGCTGCTCATAGATGTTTTCTTTTTTCTAATAGAGGATGGCTCTGCGGTGATCTGTTTGAACTTGGATTGGCTTAAACCCCATCTCTCTCTGTCTATAACTTTGCTGTGAAACGACAAAACAAATGTAAGTCAGCTTGGGATGGAGGAGGATGGTAATGCCGTGTCAAAAATAAAGATAGCACAGTGGGTGCAGCCCTCTAATGATCTTTTTTTTTATCCAGCTAGAAGAAGTGTTTCTGTCTTGGCTGTGATTCTCTGCTCTGCTCTGGCCGTGTGCTTGGCTCTCCTGTGTCTCATCGTAGAAGTATGGGTAAGCATAGCACGATAGAATCTTGTATGTGTGTGGTTTAACAGTTTCCCATTAACTGTTCATCTCTTTTGTTTCTCGGAATGGCGATAGTGCACAGACACCTCCATGCTAGTCAAGATTGATGCTCCACTGTCATCCCGCTCTTAGAAGCCGACCTGTCAAGTAGTCCATCGGCTGTGGTCAAGATCTATCCATCCATCTGGACGGTGGCGTGTGCTTTTTGCTTTGACTTGGACCTGAGGAAGTCGTTAAAAGCCTCATCTTCTTCTTTGCTACATATATATTTTATCCCCCCCCTTCTCCCCTTGCTCTGACCCAGGAAGTCGTTAAAAGCGTCTATTGCGTTCTTTATATAGTTTATCCCCCTCCTCTCCCCTCCCCCTTTGCTTTTCTCTCACAGTTCCAAGTAGCCTCTGTCTCGACCCATCTTCGGATGTTGCATCGTTTCACGCGAACGGCTGTTTTTTTTTACTCAGGCAGCCTGCGGGCGTAAGTCCTGCTTTATCTTCAATTTCCCCGTGCCCACGGGTCAAAAGTGCGGCCGAGGTCCCTCATGAATTTGGGGAATGCTTTGCGTAAGTACTTGCTTTCTCTCTCTCACTCTCCGTGCGCGGGTGGAATTATATGGAAAGAGCGGAGGTTCCTTTTTGGGATTTTTCAGCTAACTTTCAAAGATTTTAATAATATAGATAACAGCCTAATTTCTACAGAGAATTGTGCGTAGCCCATGATAGCAGTAGCAATGTGTGCAAGGAAGTTAAGATTTTTCCTAAAGGGCTTTGGCGTAGTAGTACATTGTGATCTCTAATTTTGTTTGGCTCGTAACATTGGAACGTTAAGACTAATTCGTGCAACCATCGAAACAGAGCTATAAAAGTATTCATCCTTTTGGAGAAATCTGAAAAGAAGGTTCTTTTCTCTCCCTCTCATTTTCATTACAAACGAAAACCAAGCAACATGAGCACCAATACGCGATCACCGGTAAGCAAGCAAAATCTGTACATTATCTTATGAGACCACTAGAGATGCAACCGATAGTGTTTAACAACACGGCGTTCCTTGGTTTGATATTTTAAGGTACCTGTAGCAAGCACGAGTACTGATACAGTGCAATCTCACCAATCATCAGCAATGGGAACAGGTGCAAGTGGGTTTGGCTATCAAGACGCAAACACTGGTACAAACGAATATATTTCGAAGAAAGCTGAGCTGGCAAAGCTAAGTGAAGACGAGATACGGATTGTACAGCTTTTTCGACCTGGTGCCATCCGCGATCCGAGCTATCGACGGGTAGCGTTATCAGCCATCGAATACATGAAGGACGTTAAAGAGCAAATGATTGACGAGATCAGACACCAGCCAGACTATGCTATGGAGCCTCCCGATACGGATGCAGAACAGCTCAACAGCGTACATTATTATATGGATGGAAAGCGACAAAAAGTACCACGCAGAAAAATCGACCAAGCATTCCTATTCCGCGCCAGCCCAGATTCAGTGGTAGCATCACCCATTACGGGAGACGATTCCACTGGCACAAGCCCATCTGACTCTACCGGCAACCCTCACCGTCACTTTAATAGCGACCACGCTATCTCTGACTATGACGAGTTAATTCGTATTGCAAGCGACCCTGCGCGGCATCGCAGAGCGACAGTCAACAAATTAAAGGCCCTCGGTTTGGAACCCTTGTTTCAACGATTACGGCGCATAGAGAGTAAACCGTCAGTGTTTACGGAGCTGCAGGATGTCATGAAGTTTATACGTGGATTGGAGCCACCAGCACCTCCAAGACGATCGACCACGAGTGTAACACAAACATCTTCACCACCTACCTCAATGGTTGAAACACACTTCTCAATATCAATGCGACGGCGGATCCTAGAAGAGAGCAATATCAGCGCCAACGAGCTTTCAGATCAACATCGTCAACAGTGGAGTATATGGGAACGTAATCTGATTTGGTTTGTCCATACCGCCAACACACTTGTGGGCACGTTTCACGGCCACTTGCCCTACCATTGGTTGAATCCAGATTATCTCAACAGGGAATGGAGGGACGGCCCTGAGGTCAAAAAGCTTCCTCGGATACCCACTTTAGAAGAATTCGACCGATCCCGCTATTCAATTAGTGCGTTTCCTCGTATCAAATACGGCATCAAGGTCATCGGTAAAGAAGTATCTCTGCAGGTGCTGTCACTTACGGATTTCCGCTATCGTATCGAAGACATGAACCAGGCGGAAAATCATGTTATGTGGAACTATTATCGGGATAGCATCCTTAAACTGTCCAAGCTTATTCCCAACAAGCGATCATTTGATGTTGCCATTGACGTAGGAATGATCCCTGAAGATATGAAGAGCATGGTGGACTTTACATGGTGGACCACCAACGTGATCAAGTTTGGAAGGGATGTTGAGCGAAGCATAAAAGTGTTCGACTCTAATAATAGCGGCATTAGCGTTGGCAATAGCAGTGGAGCAGGAGGAGCAGGGATTGTCATTGGCAAAGACACATATGACTTGTTCGACGACCTTCACAAGGAATATTACAGTTTTGTCAAAACAGTGCGACGGGATACGGGCGAGCAACTCAAGTACAATCCGGTACAATTTATTCTCAATATAATCATGGCTATCTTGACGCTCGCAGGTGTCGTTTTTGCAATTACTGGAATCATTCAAGTGCTTCAAGGATTTTGTGCTTTCGGAGATCAATACTGCTAATTTATATCGTACATACACTGTATACTGCTGTTCACCTTTTCTTATTCTAATTAAAAACTTTGCTCTACTGCCATCCAAGTATATTAAGGGTTTGTATTTATTGCTCCTTGTGTATCAGTTAACTCATATCTAAGGTTCTCTTTAAAGGGCTTGATGTACGTTAGCGTGCATAAATGACAGTAAAAAAGACCATTTATATGATTCCAACCAATATTGCATTTTATTCTCGATTTCTTTTTTTACAGTATCAACCAAGAGGTAATGAAAGAGCAATTTGCTATAAGCTTTCTCCAGAATGTATGTACGGTGTATATGAGAAGCATAATTGAAGAAGTCTCATTGAAAATCTGCGCAACTGCGTTCCATGTACCGGGCTTGTGTTGACTCCTTCTGATGCACGCTTGGGTTGAAAAAGACTTGTGGATTGTATTACTGCACCTGCTATTAAATAATATCATAAATACAAGAAGCACTTCACTTGTTGGACTCAATAGCGACCATTGGTTGGACTGTTGATACTTTCAAATACTATATTGCTATACGCTATTGCACATGGGCAACAGATTTGTAAAGCATAAATGGCAATGAGCTTCCCAATAAAAGATAATCATGCAAAGAAAAAAATTCGTAAAAGACAGTGGCAAAGTTCGGACTTGCACAAGATTTGGTTTCAACGTAAAAACATAGAGTGCTATTTTTCAGTGTTTTTTACTTTGTTATCATCACATTTATACACTATCATTAGATTTAAGCGAGAAGAGTAAGATAAGACTTCCTCTTGCTATTAAAAATTTGTGGCAACGACTTGGTATAAGCAATCTATGTTGCTTTACATCTTTCATGTAGTTCTGCGTGAAATCTGTCGGTTGTTGTTCGCATGGTTACATGATTTAGCCGTTTTTGACTTTGTTAAGATGTGTGTAACATCGATCTCTAGTGAAATGATTGGGAGCAATAAAGATTACCTGTTTAGTCATTATTCATAACCTCATGAGTAAAATCTCATGCTTGATTTTATGTGCGGGGAAGTAAGGGGGTGGGTGAGACGCAACGAACGAGTAAATATTTTTCGGCTATACAAAATAGATACATAGTAACCTCGATCCGCTCTCACCCGCATTATGCACATGAATGTTGTGCTTTACAATATGCTTCCAGAATAAAAACCTGGTTTTCACTTTTCACCCTCTACTTCGTCCGCATGGTAATCGGCCTTCTCTTCCATCATATCTTTTTACTCTATATATGATGCTTAAGGGCGGGGTCGTTTACTTTTGAAACGGTAAGTCTTTGCATGTTTACTCGTTCTAGAATCGCTTTTAGCTTAATTGTAAGTTTTAAGATAACAAATAAAAAGATATCGGAATTTTCCGTTGTATATCATGATGTGGATGATGATATCAAGTAATTAAGGTTTTACAGTCTGATGGCGCAAGATGCTGTGTATGATGGCTCATGTGATGGCTCTTTTAAAAAATTATGCAAACAATGAGTCGCTAGAAGAAGTCCAGCATTATAAGGAAATGGCAAAGTTCGTCGTTTATTTTTGACATCCCGGAATTTTACGTTAAGTGCGCCATGATTTCATGCGCTGATTGTTACACAATATGAGATCTTCAGAAGCTTTGCTGAAAAGAGAGAGAATAACTGAAGGGGGCGTAACGAGAGAGCGTTTGAGAAATCGTTCTTTCTTTCACATCCTGCCCCCTTTTCTTCTTTCTCGCGTTTTGTGCTTTTTATTTCTCTTTTCTTCTCAAACTTATTATATTTACCGGCTTGTAAGTGTAAATACACGGTGAATCCTCTAACTGTCACTGTGTTGTATCCTAATTGCTCTTCTTGTATACGTATTAGTAATTGATGAGCACATCGTTGCATTCCCTTCCTGTGGAGATTTTACTGCTTGTAGCAGATCATCTCAGTCTAGCCGACAATTACCAGTGTAGCCAAGTTTCTCGCCAATGGTATCGGATATTTCGTCCAAGCCTATACCGTTCTGTGCACATCAATGATCCAAAAACCCTCGGCGGCTTTCTGAAAATCCTATGTCGAGATCGTGAAAAACAAGAGCAGCATCAACCACCGTCGTGCACGCTGTATTTCCCAGTTTCCCTATGTACAAAGTCCATCGAGCTATCCAACGTCGAATTTCCCAAAGGGATACAAGACGCTTGCCCTGGAGTGCAGTCCCTGGCTTGGCGTTATGATAACCCCCCTAAGGCGGTGATCAACCAAACAATGGCGTATGGTGCTGCAATCACTAGCCTGACGCTCACATATACAGCAAGCGCTCAGGAGACTCCAACTGACATTTTTGGGTTACTCCGTCGAATGCCGCAACTGCAATTGTTAGCGTTGTCTGGTGTGTTCAAGGAATTGAGTACAGATGATCTGGAAGACTTGTATAACGAAGCACCAAAGACATTAACAAGGTTGGATTTGGAGGGAATCATACTGGCAACGGATAACCATTGGGTGCAGTCAAGTAGCCCATCATCATCAATTCGGGATTTACGGCTGGCGTATCAATGGCCTGACGATGAACGAAGCAGTGCCTTGTGGCTCATGTATCTGACATACAAGTATCCGCGTGTCCGACAGTTAAACTTGGAAGGTCGCAAGAGAACTGCCAACGTCGTATCTACCTCATCAAGGTTATCGGGATATGGTGGTGATGAGCAAGATAATATGGAATTTCAAGCAATGGATCCCCTCAATCTTCAAGCATGTGGCGTTTTTTCACGCTATCATCCGGAATTGGAACACATCCGATTAATGAACATTGGGTTGCATTCAAGCTTGTATCGAATAATGCTTCAAGGTCTGCAGCAATGTAAACATGTGGATCTTGCCGGTGTGGAGGCACCATCGTCCTACACCAGCGAGCAGAAGCAGCAGTGGTTGGAGGATCTGTTTTCCAGTTTTCAAGAAAGGGTCCAACAACTGGATATGAATATGGTCTATCCACGAAGCGTCATGGCAGGACTGAGTCGGTGCAAGAACCTGCGTGAGTTGACGATCGGCCGCACATCTGGATTCTTTACTAGTCGAGACCCGCATTGGCAATTGCCGTTATCAGATTTGCTTGCAATTTGCCCCCGACTTGAACAGCTTACTTTGCGGCGACTTACAATTGGATCACCATTAACAACAGCTCATCTACAGCAACATATCACAAAGTCTCGCCGTCATCATCCATTGCGAAGCCTTCGTCTAGAGTATGCTGCTTTGCCTGCTTCCATTTTACAAGCTTTGGCTGTACAGTGCCCTCGATTGAACAAGCTTTACGTCCACCACTGCAAATGGATGAGTCAAAATCATCGACGAAACGATGTCATTGTTCACATGCCTGAGCAGATGCTAGACTTAGTCGAGATCATCGGATCTGGTGACGTTTATACGCTCGAGCCACACAGCTTACTTGCTATTAAAACTGTCAATGCACCCACGGATGGATATCGTTGGCTCTTCAGCGCCGAGTCATCCGCAACAACATGCTCAACAACAACTCAAAGCATAATGCAACAAGCTAGTGCATGGAGCCAAATCCAATCGTTGTCCAGCATGCAACGATTAATGCATTTAAATGAGCAAAACGTCGCATTGCTCGAGAAACATATGTCAGATTTGGAGGTTGCTTGTGCGCTAAGGATTAGCTCAAAGGAGCAAACAGCATCGGATGGCCTGTGTACTCGGATCAAAACAGCATTGAGCCACGGATACCTGGCGTTTCAATGCAAATCTATCAATAACTTCTACTTCAATGGCGCCCGAGTCAATCTTTAATCCGATACCACGCATATACCCATTTCCCCGCCACAATTACTTTGTCACATTAACATAATATACCCTTCTTTTAAGCTTCTTGTATATTCTTTTGTTTATCTGTAAATAAAATATTCTTCTATAAGCTGGGTTTCTTGGGTTTCTTTTCTGAAAATGCAATATGATGTCTAGAATAATAGAGAAATTTAATTAGCGGTTCCCTTATTTTCTTTTCACCTATATTACTAGTAAAACACATACCTTGCGGTAGCCAACAGATATCCATCCTGATCATACAACCACGCATCTGCATTCATGATACCATCGATAATGTTCTTCATAAGAAACTTGACCAAGACACGCTTGGTTGGATTTGTAGGCGGGCGATGGAACGCGATTTCAAACTGGAGCGAAGCCCTGATGGCATGCATCATTTCCTTGGTGATAAACGGACGAGGCGACGTGGCAATATCCGCAAAACAAGCGATACTCTTGGCATCAATAGGTTCTCGATCGTTAGGCCATTCAAAAGCATGCCATAATTCACCCTTGTCGCCATGTTCCTGGTTTTCATATATTCGTAAAACGTCTGGTCCACCAGCCAAACCGAATTTGCTAAGTTTCATTCCGTCAAAGACAGGTGGAGTCTGTTTATAATCAAGCGGGGCGAATTTGAATCCATCTTGTTTGTTGGTAGTTGTAATGATGATGTGTAGTTTGGTAATGTAGGCGCTTGGATCGTACGCACTGGGAGATGGTTCATCAAGTGGTGCAGGTGTGGGTAGCTGTTTGAGAGTAACCTGCGATACTCGGTACCCGCGTTCACTCGTTTTGAGCTCCTCGAGTTCGACGATGCAGGGGCCCACGAGACTTAACTTAAAAAAGAACGCATTGAAAACTACCACGCGATGGCCTGGAGCTCTTTGAAGAGCAGCATCCATCAAGATAGCAGTCAAATAACCTGGATGATAAAGACGTATGCCGTTTAAAGAATTGATTAATCTCTTTTTCTGCTCTGCATTATTCAAGAGTAGCTTCGACACCCTGCCTTTTGCCCTTCTTTCACTCTCATTCACTGGTGATGATCATAAATTACAACAACATACCACCCTGGATTTTTTTATGATGCACATTTAAATATAGTTTAATAAGTGCTGCTTGATTGTTTAGATATATACGTTCTTTCTTGGTACCTGAGGATTATTATGCGTCAAACGAAAATCCTGTTTGGCTAATTTGTTAGTTTTTATCTTTTTATACAGATGTTTTTGCGTGTTACTTACGGAGTCTATACTGGCCACGAACAGGGCCTTATTGCCGATATCACCAATGTATTTTGTTTGGGTTGCTTTTGAGTAGTTAGGTAGCATTGAACAAAAATTAGAGAAACGGAACAAAAGAAGCCAAAAATGATAAATGAGAAGCAATTTGAAATCTTTGCACGATCGTGTGAAACTTCAAATTTATCATATTTGCTGGGCTTGTGCAGAAAGAGTCCCATTTCTCACCATGTAGCCATAAGTTACTTACTCTAGTTTGCTAGTATAGGCTCAAAATGCTGTATTTGAAGGGACATGTTGTTCGCTGGATACTTTTATTCATCTCTCAGAAGCGCGGTGTGGCTTTATACTTTACACTTCCGGCCTACGTGTTATGTTCGGTTCTACATTACATTTCAGCTTAGCTCAGCAACGACATTGAACATTTAGTTCCTGAAGTGCATCAACGTGTGACAGAAGTTGGTACACCGCCATGCTTGGGAACATCATGCGCCGACTTGAACCTCTACAAAAGAAACAGATTGACATAACACAAGGCTGTGATGAACATTTTAAAGAAAAAGGAGCTGGAATAACTATACCTCTCTTCATTTCCTCACTATGTCATCTGTCATCTTTGTAGCAGAGGTGTTTGGACTATAGTCGAGTAGAAAAGTATCACGGAAGGTTTGGCAAGGAGTAGAGTATACCTGGAGGAAAGTAATACTACGATGTAGACAGCTAAAAAAGTTCTGTGCCCAATATTTTCTACTTTCTATTTTACCACAGATAACGTGATGCCTATACTTTCCCAACTTTTGTATCACTTTAACCGTCTTAAACTGAGTTCACCTGTGATATGCTGAGTACTGTTGATATATAAAAGTTTAAAAGAAGGGGTCGATATTGTTATTACAATCTATTGATATCATATATGTGTATGCATGTACAACGTGTATAATAGCAATGATGATTAGCTAACGCTATTATTATTTAATATCTTATTGCTTTGAAGCTTTCATAGTATGCAGTTTTGGGAGCATAGCGAAGCTGTTTTTTTCTATAGCTTATGTGATTTACTTCACCAACGTAAGCGTTCTCGCCGCGATGATGTATGCTGTTTAAGGCATCCATCGATACCTGTGATATGAACTTCCACTCTTTGGCGCCCACATCCATCTTTTTGAACAGGTGGTCGAGATACGCTGTACCAGGATAAGATGTTCCGTAACCGTGATCGAAATGAAAGGTAATGTTCAACCTCCTTATCGTGTGCCTTTTCTTTTTGCTGCTGTCGTCGTTGCCGGTAGTTCTGCCACTACGGCGGATGTCGAGAAACTTTTCTATATCGGTTGCGGTCAGGCATGAATGTTTCTCATCAATGGTCAATTCGTCTAGGGTATCCATATTTTCGGCAACGAATTGCATAACCTTGTTGGTCATTACGGATGCGCATTGCTCGACAGTAATGGATCGCAGCTGTCCCGACATGCGTTCTAAGAACAGGAGCATCCCGGCTCCTGTGACCTTATAGCAGCACTCCAATCCTATACTTTCTAAGCGTGGTGTCGATGAAGCGAGTGTTGCAAGCACGGTGTCATCAATAACAGGGTAGTCCCAACGGTGGTAACGTATATCGTGTAATGAAACGTGCATCAAATTTGGTACCGAGTGTTGTAAAAAGGAACATAGCTCTGATCGAGTGACACGGCTATATGGTCCCTTAAGCCTTAAGTACTGTAAAGATTGAAAGACGAAACCGGACAAGTGAGCCATGACTTCGGGGTTCACTATCCCTGGGCCATCCAAATCCAATGATACAAGCAGTTTGCTGGTGTCCTCGTCGATGAGCGGTAATAGTATACTCGGCGATATTCCTTCATAGTTTTGTTCCTGAAAGACGATATGTTTTAATCCTCGCTCCGGCACTGCTGTCAATGATGGTATCATTGTTGCTCCGTCGTTATTCCTGACTGGTCGATCATGGAATGAGGTTTCCTCATTTGGGCGAGCATATTCGTAAAAGATAAGCGTCTTAAGCTCGGGACAATGCTCGCGTAAGAACCCGGGCAATAATGCGCATGTGTTTCGCGTATAGCGAATATTCAGACATAAACGACGCAATCCGGGTGTCGCCTTTAGAAAGGGCCTTGGATCAAAGCCATAATAGTTGGATGGATTTTGAAACTGCAAAGAAAGGTCACATAAATTAACATGCTCATAATCTGCTGCCATGCCATGCATCCATGGAGACTGTCGCTGCCCGATACGGAAAACCCATTCTTTGCAGTCAAGCTTGGTGAGATTCAGGCAATCATGTAATAATGTGTCCAGAGGGATATTGTCATTCGGACCTACTGCCGTTCGACTGATAGAAATATCTGTCAATGCAGTGCCACAGGTGTTGACCAAGGTCGACAATTGCTCGTTTGTGAGTTCCTGCCCGTACAGATCCACTATGATATAGTATAGCAGTTTAGAATCACTCCGCTATTTTCCTTACTTTCTTGGCTCCTCACTCAAAAGCTAACCTTTCGAAATCGCATAGAAACCTTGCTCATGAATGAAATTGATAACCTTAGTAAGCTGCTTTTCGTCTCCATGAAGCAAACGTATATGTTTGACTGATCCCTGTTGTATATACGAAGTATATGGAAGTATGTCCGGTACAATAGAGCGTTTTAGGAGCGTGACTAAGCAACTCCATAACGGTTGCCAGTTTAAGACCATGAATCGCCAAGCTTTGCACACACGAGCTAAAACCCAGCAATCAGACAATGAAAGGTACTGAAAGATTTCGTCTTGAATCTCGTTTGGTAGACTTGGAAGAAGCATTTCCATCGTCATGGCGAATTCGCGAGTGTTGGTTATGAAAGTGTAAGCGTGTTGTGGAAAACAAAACAAAAGAGGCTTTTTTTAAGAACGTGTGTGTGATTTGCGTTTCGCTGTAGGCTTGGTTTTGTACAACACTAAACGCATTGGGATGAGGCAAGACTATTTTTATTCACACCAACATATCATTTATTCTGGCATACTAATCAATGTTGCATGCTAAAATTTGGCAGCTTGTTGGAAAATATATATCTTTTATTTTTTTTCCAAATATATAGATGTATTAGCTTTGACCTCCTTCTCGTTTGTAAGTTCTCCTTTTATAATAGTGGTCTTGACGTGTCGAAGCTGAAGATATAAGTCATAATAAAGATGTTACTATTTTTTAATCTGTTACAATAATACAATTTTGTAGGCAAAGGGAGACTTACAGCATACATTAGAATGCTTGCTGGATGTTGCTAATGTCCAACGTCGGACAATAATGAGCAAAAACCTGTACCAACGCTAGCTTCAATAGCCTTGGATTATCCTGTCACTGAAAGTATATACTACCAACTGGTATGTATCTGGTACAGATGTTGTATCAGTAACGGTGTAGTTTGGCGTTTCAATTGTTGAAGCGTCGTGGGAATTGAACGTTCCAGTGAAATCAAAGCTATAATGGGACTGGTGAATATGATAACGAGATGTAACTATTAAACGTACCGTTACCTTATCATTGAAAAGTCTTTCTTGCTATGCTTGAACGACCAAGTGCCTCCTTTTGCACAATAGTAAAAGCCAAGTACATACGTCGATTATTATAGCGTTAGCCTACGACATAGATTGCTCCTTACATTTGCGGTATATAAAACCTATGGTACACCAATAGTGTTATTGATGTTATAAAGTATCTCCATGTGAGTGTCCAGAGTATAATTGCGTGCATTGCTAATACTTTTTTGTGAGATACGTAAATACCACATGGACCACCGTACGTTCTATTATGTGCGACATTTGTTATAATTAAATTTCAAGAATATGGGTTAAAAAATGCGATCCTAACGTAAGTGACGTAGCTACTACTACGACAAGGAGGGCAACCGTGTAGAATCCACACTGCTCTCCGGTAGACATTATTACGTTTCCATGGTCAAACGTGATGGAGGAAGAACATCCAAGCAGTAGTAGTAGCAATGTCGAACTGGTGTGGTGATCTCCGCTCTATCACTATTCTGCCGAATTTTGACAGCATATTAAAAGAAAAAATTCTTTCCAAGCCCGGCATTGTCTTGCACTGATCACTGCACTGTTCGAGCTAATTCAGCTGTTGCAACAATAATGGGACGCAAATCGTTTAAATCACGAAAAGGAAAATCGAAGGTTGGTAGCAGGTTACATTTCTCGTGGATTCACGCATATATTAAAAGGCGATCTAAAACATGTGCTTCTGTGTTTGTGTAGGGCGGCAGTGATCGATCGAGCAACCAGAAGAATTATGCTGAGACGATCAAAGATAATGACAGTTTTAAGCAATACTATAAGGTATATACCATATCTTTTTTTTTTCTGGAGGGGCATGGATCGGCAGCAGATCGTAAAAAGAAATAGTAACTGGACCGTTTTTTGACATACACACACACATGGAAACACAGAACCAAAATATCTTGCCCGATGATGCCGAGTTTGACGAGTTTTATCGCGTATTGAAGACAACTTTACCTACAACCTTCCGTGTTACGGGCACCCGCAGGTGTGTGATGAGCTTGATTGAAATGAGGCGAAGATTGGAGAGGGATGGATGAACGAAAAAGGTAGATTAACAATGGATGTATATATCAGTAATGCGCTTCAATTACGTGAAGTTGTGCAGAACGTACTAGTACCAAGCATGCAGAGCATTGAAGTGGATGGACAGATTTACGAGCCACCTATGCCGATTCCATGGTAATGAAAAGAGATACAAGGAAAAAGAAAAGAGAATTGGAGTTTTGATGAAAAAGGACATGTTTTTCTTTAGGTATCCAGACAATTTCGGCTGGCAGGTGAACGCTCCTCGTAGTGTCCTGCGCAAGTCTCAAGAATTCTCTAGTTTCCAAAAGTTTATTGTATCAGAGACTGAAGCTGTAAGTTGAGATTTTTACCAGCAGTTTCATATCATACATGAGTGTGGTAGATTGTTTAGAAAGAAGAAAGTTAGGGAGAGGGATCATGAGTATATGTTTTGGAAAACAATAACAACTGATGTTGATTTTCTTAAAGGGCAATATTAGTCGTCAAGAGGCTGTGAGTATGGTGCCACCGTTGCTGATGGACATCAAGCCGCACATGTGGGTTCTGGACATGTGCGCTGCACCCGGATCTAAAACGGCTCAGATTATTGAAGCTGTCCACGCGAACGACCTCTTGAACGAACTTCCTAGTAAGTCGGTGATAATGATTATGTCTGGATTGCTATGTGTGATTTACTCAAGCATATTTGTTGCTATTATTATTTATCGTGGACTTATTCTAATTAGCTGGCTTGGTAAGGATCATCTATGATGGCTATGGAGAAGAAGTGTGAGATAAACATTGGATACGTTCTGACATTGTTATGAATAGGTCGTTGCCAATGATGCTGATTACAAACGAAGTCATATGCTCGTTCACCAATCAAAAAGATTGCAATCGCCCTGTTTCATTGCTACCAACCATTATGGACAACAAATCCCAGCCATGCATGTGGTAAGCATTTCTTTGTCATTGTTGCTATTGTTATTCTTTTGGGCGCGGTGTGATTGTGTTGTTTATACATCACATATCAACACCACCGTGCGAATTTTTTTCTCTCTCTATTCTATATCATGTTGAAATTTGGATGATATCTCATGGTTGCTTCTGCGAACGTAATAGAAGGATGAAAATGGTAAGCTTGCCGCGTGGCAATTCGACCGTGTTCTTTGTGATGTTCCATGCAGGTAATAAGAAGTAATTTTGTTGTTGTAAATCCACGAGATATTGAGATGTATGACGATTTGTTGTTATTAACGACTCTCTCTCGTGTATAAATGACTTTGTATAAATCACGCACTGCCTTACTAGTGGTGATGGCACGTTACGCAAGAATGAAACGATCTGGAATGACTGGAGTCAGAATCAGGCATTGGGCTTGCATCGGTAAGTGGGAACAGGATGACTTTTTTTTTGTTTGTTTGTTCACCTGTGCGCGCGCGGGGGATAGGAGGGCGGGGTGTTACTCTGTGTACTGACTGACAGGTTGACATCAGGACTCAGGTGCAGATTTTCTTGCGCGGTGCTCAGCTGACCAAGGTTGGCGGCCGAATTGTCTATTCCACCTGTTCATTCAATCCAGTCGAGAATGAGGCTGTAGTAGCTGAAGTTTTGCGTTTGACCGATGGTAAGTGTGATTAGAAAGAAGATTTTATTTGCTTTAGGAGATTTCGACCTAGTGTTTAATGTGTGTTTGTGTGGGGAAAAAATAGGCGCATTGGAGATCAAGGATATGTCTCATGAGTTACCGGAATTGAAACGGAAGCCCGGCTTGACAAATTGGAAGGTAAACAAACACAGGAGAATAGGCGCAAAGGGGAATCTTAATTACTAAACAGCCCACTCTCATTTCTTCAACAAAAGGTCATGACAAAGGATGGAGAGTACATCACATCGCTTGATGATATCAAGGGCGACAGACAACGCTCCAAGTTCCCTGCATCGGTATTCCCGCCTGAAAATGTAGAGTCGTTGCATTTGGACCGATGGTAAAGATGAGCATCTTTTTCTCCAAGCGTCACGTGGGGGCTGCATAAACATCACTCACACATACTATCTCTCCACAGCTTGAGAATCTATCCTCACCAACAAAACACCGGAGGATTTTTCGTGGCTGTTTTTGATAAGGTCAAGCCGCTGACCGCAGCTGACCGTGTTCATGAGGGCAAATCCGACCTCGATGCACATGAGATGCAGCAGTCTGAGGCAAATGAAGAAAAACTCGTGGAAGCAGTAGGTGGAGGACAAGAAGGAGAAGATCAACAACAGGCCGTATCGGCAACCGCGGAACCGAGTGCCGCGGAAGGAAACGCGAGTGAAACCCCTGGATCAAAGCGTCCCGCGGAAGACGTCAGCAGCAGCACCAACAACATAGCCCAGCAACAGCCTGCAGTCAAGAAGCAAAAGCAGGATGTACCCCAAATCAAAGAAGCACCTTTCCAGCTCATGTCGCCGGACAATCCGGACGTGAATGCATTGACGTACGTAGCTTCATTCGTTGTTGTTGCGCTGAAGTAACGATGATGATGATGATGGATTTTCTTCCAAGATAAGAAGGTCATGACGAAATAACCACGTTGCTATGATATACTTGCTATGGTTTCTATAGAGAATACTTTGGCATTGATCCAGCATTCCCTCGCGACCAGTTCATCTTGCGATGTGAAGAAGAGGCCAAGAACCGTACAATCTACTTTTGCTCTAAATCTGTGCGCTCCATCTTACAATCTAAGGATTGGGATAAGTTGCATGTGGTGAATACAGGCGTCCGGCTGTTTGTCCGGCAGGGATCGCTGGGAGACGAGAGTCTTGCTGCACCCTTCCGGCTTACCTCGGATGGATTGCCTCTGCTTGAACGCGTTATGGTGGATGATCGACGCAAAATCAAGATCTCCGACGAAGCCCAGGAAGAAGATCTGAAAACCCTGTTAATGGCTCCAGACATGCCGAGAGTGGAAGAACTTTCAGCATCAACGCAGGAAAAGATGCAAAAGCTTGGTTCGTATAACTATAATCTACTGTTGTTATCAAGAATGATTACCGCCGGTTGTGCCTTTAGTTTATCAAGCACATCAACTTATTGACATCATTATTAGGTGTTGGCTCTTGCATTTTCGAGTTTGATGTCGCCAAAGCATTTAATAAGCCGTAAGTAATTCTTTGATATCAGCAACATCATTTTTTGATCTATCAGCCATGATTACGGGTGCCACGAGTTACACACACACACACACACAGACAGAGATGATCTTATCTACATTTGTTAAAATTCCTGTTATCTTCCCTGCTCTAATAGGCTGGATAAGACTTTATCGCTCTCGTTGCCAGTATGGAAAGGCAAAAACCGAGTGAACTTGTTGATCAACAAGCATGACAAGAGGTAAAAGAAAAAAAGAAGAAGAGTGCTGTAGTCTGATTGACAACGGATCGGAATGAGTGCTATCTATTGCTAGACAAGCTCGCTAATATAAAAAATTGGGCCTTGTTATTATTAGATCACTCTGTCAACGGATCTTTGGTGTTACAGGCTCTTCTGATGCTGCTGCTTCAAAACCTGTTGTTGCTGCTCCTAGCAGTAGTAACGATGATGCTGATCAAGTAAAGTCATCGGATCAGCAACCAGAACAAAAGCAGTAGCAGCCTTTAGATAAACATTCTGTAATAATAACAATAACAACAATAACTCATATTAACAAGAGAAAGAGAGAGAGAGAGATGCAACTCAAAAAGCTCAGGGCGAACACTCTAGCAGGGCCAAATACATTGTTACGAGTGGGGTGGGGGGGGGTTTGGTATGAGTGTGATTGGTCGATTCGCAGAGTACTTACACAGTAGGTGGGGTGGAGTGGGGGTGGAGTGGAGTGCAAAAAGGTGTACATACATATACAGCCGATCTAAAATGTGGGGGACCGAGCGTAGGAGGGAGCCAAAGAGAGAGAGAGGAGCTTGGAAAAATACTCCATTTGGAAAGAACATGGTTAGAATTTATCCTATTGGTCCATTCGTTTTTTCTCTATTTTTTTTTTCTGTTTCGTTATGCAGACCTTTGACACGACAGACAGCATTGGGGGACATGCTGGGCTGTATAAAAGGAGCCCTGTATTTCCCCGTCGTCGCTTTTTCTAATTCTTTGAACTCATTCTCCTCTCCACATTGGTATCCAACATACGCCTCTTTCCACACAAACACACATCACATACACACTTAAACACAGACAATGACTGACGCACAACAACAACAACAGATTGCAACAAACAACAACTACGGTGTCTTGCTCAGCAAGATCAATGACCTTCAGATAGTCGAGCTGCCAGTCCCCACTCCCGGCCCCGGTCAAGTCCAAGTCCAAGTCAAGGCCACTGGCATCTGTGGCTCTGATATCCATCTGTGGAAGTACGGTGAGATCGGTATCTTCCCCGTCACCCAGCCTCAACTGCTCGGCCACGAGAGCGCTGGTATTGTCACTGCCGTTGCCCCCGATGTCACCGACTTGAAGGTTGGTGACCGAGTTGCAATCGAAGCGTAAGTTCTCTACTAGAAAGGAGTCAATGAAGGGGGGAGACAAGGGAGGGAGAGTAGTAATAGGCAAAGGGAGACATGCTGAAATAGAAGGTATCTTATATTTAGTGGCATTCCTTGCTCCAAATGTAACCAGTGCATGAGTGGCCGGTACCATTTATGCCCGACCGTGGTCTTCAAATCGACGCCACCCTACGACGGTCTTTTGGCCAAGTATATCATCCACCCTTCGCGCTGGCTGCACAAGATTCCCGACAACATCACCTACGAGCAAGGCGCCCTTCTGGAGCCACTAAGCGTTGCGATTGCCGCCGTCGAGCGCGTTGGCGCAACCTTTGGTCGCTCCTTGCTGGTCACTGGCTGTGGCCCCATTGGTCTGATGGTCCTTGCCGTCGCCAAAGCCATTGGCGTTTCTCCCGTCATTGTCACCGATGTCCAGCCCTCTCGTTTGGAATACGCCGAGAGGATGGGTGCGGACTACACCTACCAGGTCAACCCCAAGCTCTCTGATGTCGACATTGCTCGTGATATCCGTGCACTGACCCAGGACAGTGAAGGTGTTGAGTACTCGTTGGAATGCACTGGTATTGAGTCGTCGTTCCGTGCAGCCATCATGGCCACGCGCGATGCAGGCACCTGCTGCTTGGTCGGCGTCGGCAAGAACGATCAGTCCTTGCCCGTCAACAACTTTGCCATGCGCGAAGTCGACATTCGTGGCTTGTTCCGCTACCATCACACCTATCCTCGCGCCATCTCTCTCTTGGCCAGTGGCAAGCTCGATGTGAACCACCTCATCACTCACAAGTTTGAGTTCATGGATGCGCTCAAGGCGTTTGAGACCGCCGCTGATTACTCGACCGGCGCTATCAAGGTCCAGATTGTCAACAGCGACAACTAAACCATGTGCATCTCAATCATCCCAACATACACACACACACACATACATACACACTATCGCTCCTATCTCTCCAAGAACCATCTGCATCTTTTTTTTTCTGGCATTCCACCATCTATCACTCACACAGCCCCCCTCGCTCTTGTTAATTTTCTCACACTCGTGCGCTGCATATTATCCACATCTTCTCTTTCACTCTATATACTAGTATATCTTGCTTGTTTATGTTGGGGAAAGAAAAAGGTCCTCTTACCCAATTTGTCTATACTCCCACACACTCCAAAGAACACAACACCCGCTCTTCAATTGTATCGAACACCGGTCACCAATGCATCTAAATAATACACGTTATAAATATATCGCTCAATTTGGCTTGTTGCTCAACATTTTTCATTTATTTGTGGGCTATCGGTGAAAGTTGGAAAGAAGGATGTTGTGTAGATATGCACGAGTGTGTGATTATGATGCATATGTAATAGTATAGTAGTAATAGTAAAAGAAGCTTTAATCATTAATACAATTGTTTGTTCATTTATGTAGAAACGGGGGAGAAGTGATTAAAAGGTATAATATGTATAAGGTTGTGACTAGCTACTATCGATGCGTTGGAGACATGCTGGATGCCGTGAGCATCTCCTCGAATGTTGGTGGAGTAGCAACCAATGTGGTTGACAACAAGCCGTCGCCATGGTGATGTGCATTCCTTTGCGATGATGCTCGGCTCGGAACTGATAATCCACCCGGCGTTGTTTGTCCTGCAGCTGGAGCACCCTCTTCTGATTCGGCCTGCCCACGGTTGTTCTCATTATCATGATCATCCTCCTGTTCGTGTGACGATGAGGGTTGCCGATGCTGGTGGTTTTGGTGTTCTGGTGTTTCTTCTAAGATGACTGATGATGATGCATGACGGCCATCTCCATGTACGGTTGCATATGTCCGCAGCGGATGATGATGGTCTTCATCATCATCCTCGTTGGTACTGTGTCCACTAGCATGCTCATCCTCGTCATCTTCTCTTCCTTCCACTTTCGGCGGCGCTGATGATGATAATCCCAATGTTTCCAAGACGTCGCTGACCTCGACCGCAACACTGGCTTCTAGATCCGAATAGGTACGACAGATAGGGCATGAAAAGCCTGGATAATTCTGAAACAGGATTGGCCGGAGACATTTAAAGTGAAAAATGTGCGAGCAAGGGGCAATGAACAGCGCTTGGAAAGGAGCAATGGCATAAAGACAAATGCAACATTCTTGGATATCCGACTGGTTGACGACGGGCGACCCGCGCACCGTGGTTGTATGAGGCGATGATTGATCTTGTATATGTTGGTGTTGCAGTAACTTATTCGTGGGAGTAGTAGCCTTTACAAGATCATCCTCTTCATCGTCGTCTTCTGAACGATCACTGTGGTCTTCCAATAGGATCGAATGGGGTTGTCGTGCTCGAATGGTGTTGGGAAATGGTTGGGCATGATCCACTACCACTTCCTCCTCGTTGTTGTGTCTTGCCGCTGTTGCTGCCGCTGTAGGTGCTACAGCTGCCAATAAATGGCTGCGCAATTGTTGGAAAGCAGCTCGACTAAATGGATGTGAGACTGCGGGTTCACGATTCACTTCTAGACGTATACGGACAGCTCGATACATAGGTTCAATGCCACCTTGATAATCCACACCCAGTTGGATCAGATCGCCATCTTTGATCTCCTGAGCAGAACTACGCACACCTGCTAGTGATAATCGTGCTCTGTTGACAAATGTACCACTCGATGATCCCACATCCCTTATAAAGATCTGGATTTAACAGTTGTTATTACCAAATTTGTATCCACGTGTAATTACAACCCCTCACATGCTCAACAAACTCACCTTATTGTCATCCGCAGGAACCCATAATTCGGCATGACTGCGACTCACAACTTTGCTTTTGAACGACAGGCGATCCGGCGCCACATTGCGATCACTGTACCGACCAATCTTGAGGATAACTCCAGGCTCCAGTGTTCGATCTATAATTTCAAACACAAAGCAACGATTGCCAATGCCGACGTTGGGAACCAGTCTAATATGGGGTCCGTGCGTTGAATTATTCTGCCGCTGCTGCTGCTGCTGCTGCTGTTGTTGTTGTTGTTCTTCACGGTTATGGTGATGATGTGAAGCTGCGAGATCACTGCTGTTTCTCACATGGTGAGTGGCAGAAGGACCGGAGGAAGAAATGGAGGAGGACGCAGTAGACATGGGGGCAGAATTGTATTGCTGTAAAGGTAATGTGTTGGGTTGTTGCAAATGCTGCTGCTGCTGACTGGTGGAAGAAGTTGTAGATCGGGGGGTTGAATGAGAGGCAGCAGGCATAGGCGATGAAGGAACGGAATTAGACTGTCGACGAGCTCTCCGTAAGCTTCGAAATCCACGAGTCAAGAGGGTTGGCGAAGCGCTTCCCGATTGTGCTGGTGAATTTCGAGGCGGGGGAGTGTTGGTAGAAAGACTTCGAAAGCGTGGCATTATTCTTTTTGGATCATGTGTCTATGTCGTATTATTAGGGTTGCTGTTTCTACGCACAGAAAGAAGAAAAGCGACAGATGTACGGGGTGGGCAGATAGCGGTCAGTTGTTATTATGTGCCGAGTGATATGTGTGATATGTTTAGAATGGCAAGGAGAAAAAGAGAGAGGAAGAGAAGAAAGAGACGTAATGTGCGGGGGGACAAAACGACATTGGGGGTTAGGAGGACGGTGAAAAAGAGCTGTTGTTTATCCCAATCGATTGAGAACTGAACCAATTCTCACAAATAGCGCTGTACTCTCTTAACCATGTCTCTCCACAGCACACAACTGCTTTGTAATTTTAATAATAAATCATCAATTCAGTCCAACTAGCTCTTATTAATCGAGTCCGTTTATCACTGTCTTGGTAGCTTATAGGAGAGATCAAACAATGGATTTCGACTCAACAGGATTGTTACACACAATAGGAGCGCTAACGAAAGCTGTCTGCTTGTTCAAGTCCGGACTAGCGTATGACAAAAGGGTGACAATAAGAAGGAAAAGACAGTTCTTCTTTGTTTTTACTGTCATCATGACCTGACCTGTGAGGGGGCGTTTATTTTCTTTTTCGCTTTTGCAGAAAAAAATAACACTGCAGCAGCACCGTTTTGTTGCTGGTGCCCCACAGCGGCTTAGAGTTGGCGTTTCAATGAAGTCATACCCTGCTTTTAATACATACGCACAAAGTAGAATAACTGCAACGATCACATTATGGCATTGGAACGAAGCCAGAAACGAGGCCCATAGCGGTATATAACCCAATTTTTTTTCCAAAGATACTTGGTTCATTACACCTAGTAGCAGTACAACAGCGCGATCCAAACACTAGGATAACCAACAGAAGAAGCGTGATACACTCATTAATAAACATGTACAGTATAATTTGCCAAACAGAGGACCGGATATCACAATGGTTTCCTCAAATAGACCTTGATACTTTTCTTATCCCAACATGATGCAATGCAAAGTCTGTATCACGTCCACAAAATAAAACTACAGCTTTACATGGCAAATATGATACGAACGTATAAATGCACCTCGGTGTACTGCAGCTGCTGCCACCAGTGTCTGCATAATAAGCAGCATCATTGCTCTTCTCTTTCGCTAATAAAGCGATAAAAAGGCAAAATTAACCAAAGACCTTGTTGTATTTGGCCACGGATATGGTTTGGGTTTAGCTAAGCTGGCATGATGGTGGGAGTTTAGAAAAGACAGAGAACAGGAACATGCATGATGCCAATCATGCTCCTCTGCATATTCTATATAATTTAAACAGCATTTAATACTGCTGCTACTTTTACTACTACTACTGCTAGTGCTACTCCGCATACAACAAAACCGCTTTGTCGCAAATAGCAGCTTATTATTCTAGCGATCATACTATACAGACCATGACAACATAACAACAGCAAAAGTACATGTGCGCTACTTACAATAACGCTCGGCTAAACGCCCATTAATTGGCAACAACAACGAAATTAAACGATTCTTTCTAGGCTCTGGCAGTTTTGTTTTGATGGAAAAGAAAATACCTGGTTTATTTCGCGAGCTTGATGTCGATATAAAAAGGGTAGGTTTTTTTGCTTTCGCGCTCTCGTAGATTGTATCTCTTTTAGGCTATACCTCCTAGACCCCTTCAGCCCATTTACTCTCACTTTTGGCTCTTTATTTCACAATCCTTTTACAGATTTCAAAGTGCTTGTAGCTTCTTCGAAAGTGCCTGCATTCTGCATTCTACTTTATAATTTATTTTATTATACAGTACACACTAAACAAAGAAGCCCTGACCTTTTTAATCACCACTTTCTGGACAATCATATTAAACAAATAATAATAATACCGTAATGACAAACGCAGCAGAAAAAGCACCAGCAGTAGCAGCACCTATAGAGTCAGAAGCGCCATCAGTAGCAGCGTCAGTAACAGCAGCACAACAGCAAGCAAGACGAAAATGGCTCTGGCGTGGTATTGTATTGGGTGTTACTGCCATCATTGCAGCTGTCATTATCGCCGTGGTGGTAGTCGTTGTGCGACGACAGCAGTGGGAGTATCAAGCAGCAGCCAATGGTGTCGACGCAAGCATCAACCCAGCCTCGGATAACGATAATGTTACTGTCAGTCGAATCGGCGACCTGCATGCATTATCAAAATACGCCAACATCACCTTGATGGAAACCGTACATGATGATACCACATATGGCAGCAGCAGCAACAATAACAGCAAAAAGCTCTATGTAATTGGCGACATTCATGGGTCCATTGATGAATTCAACACCTTGGTATCCAAGCTGCAATACAACTATGATGCCGGCGACCGGATTGTTCTGGCAGGCGATTTGGTGATGCGTGGTCCCGATAGTGTCGGGGTGATTCGTCGGGCAAAGGAATTAAAAGCATTATGCGTACGCGGTAATCATGATGACAAGGTCGTACGCATGAAGACGTATCTGCGCTCAGGCCAGCCAGTGTTCAGGACTGGGATTATTCCCGAAGGACCCGTGATGGATCCACTCGAGTTTGACAATTACCATATGGATGTTGCACAGTAAGAAGCTATAATTATTCTTCTAGAAGAATAACAGTGTTACTTCCTCGCTACTATAAATGGCTGGATCATGATATCACGGATGAATAATGATGATGATGCCGTTTTTGTGAAATTAGAAATATGACCGATGCCGACTATGAATATTTGGCCAATTGCCCCATGATCCTGGCTATTCCATCACAGCAAGCTCTCTTTGTCCATGCGGGCGTGAACCCATATCGATCTTTGGATAACCAGCAACCATTTACTATCATGAACGTACGCACCATTGAAGACAACCTCTCACCGACCAAGAAGAAGGGTGGTGAGGAATGGTCGGATATTTGGAACGTGCAGCAAGAGAAAAACGACTCGACTTTTCCACCTGAGTATCGGAAAATCTTTTATGGTCATGCCGCCGGTAATGGCCTGCAGCTAAAAAATTATACATTTGGCGTCGACACCGGTTGTGTCTATGGTCGACAGCTGACAGCATTGGAAGTCAAAACGGGCCAGTTAACTCAGGTGTCTTGTAAGGAGCACTATAAGAACTAGTATGGTGACAAACCGAACAGAATACTGTATGGGTAATTGTCGTTGAATACCTTATCTTATTATTACTACTACTACTATCACTGCTACAATAGCGGCAGCATTGGAACGTTTTCTCCGGTCTTCCGTCGCCTATTATTGAGTACCGCATTATAATGACAACCGCCGTATATGCTACAATGTAAAAGTATAATGGATGTGTTTTTGCCCTGGGAAAAAATGCCCGAGAAGCATTATCATAAATTCTTTTCCCCATTCCTTCGCGTTCTTCACTGTTTTTTTTAATCCTTCTTCTCCACACCCATACTACCAAACCCATACTTGTATTATTTCTTTCCTTTACCTGTATTCGTTGATGCGCGGCGTGATATCATGGCTCTTCATTGCTCTACTGGGTAATAAAAACAATAAAAAGAGTGCTCTTGAATAGCATCATTATTAGCGGGTCTTCATCTATACTTATAACTTTATATTTTCAGGCCTATCGTATTGCTATGCGCAAGAAGCCACAGCAGCAGCATCAGAACCACATCCTGTCACGTACAAAGTGGTCATCAGCCCCCCTGATGCATCCAGTAACATTGTAGGTGTGGCGATAGGCCAAGATGTATACGGTCTGGCCGCTGATCCAAACATCCCGATGCTTTATCAAGGCGTGGGTCCTTCTTCACAGCCCTACCGCTATGTGATTCTCGATAACAACAAAGCCATCATCCACTATGAACGCTTTGAGCGACCTGCGATTGAGGAAGCGACAGAAACATTCCACGAAACGTATGGTCGACCCTGGAACAAGTTGCACATACCACCAATGCCTCGCGTCTATGATTTTGATTCTTCGCACTTGGATCCAGTCAGTGATCCATTTGCTCCCGTAGAAGATCCAGCTGCGAATGAATTATTTCAAGACGGTACCATTGTTACGTTGCATTTCCAAGTAGATGAAGAGGAAGCACGAGAAATGCATACACAGAAATTTGATAAGCATAAGTCTAAGATTCGAGGCGATATGACCTATATTAGGTCTGTATATTTCATTTCTCTGTTTTCATGCACGAAGCATTTTTTGTAAGCCCATTTTTTTTCTAAACCTGTTTACTCATATGCCGAGTCTTTATTCATTAGTTATAACGACGTGCAACAGTTTAAGGATGTCAGCCTGAAAGTCGGCGGCCATTCAAGTCGCAGCTGGGCCAAAGTGCCGTATAAGATCAAGATTCCTCACAAGATGGCGCCTAATGGATTGTATCGTCGATGGTCGCTCAAGTTGCGTTCAGAGTCTACAGACCCAACCATGATGCGTGAAAAGCTGTATAATGATCTATTGGAAGCAACGGGCATTGTTGCTGCTCGTGGTGTATATGCTCGGTAACTCTTTCTCTCTCTCTCTTTCTCTATATGTATATATTTCTTAGTAGAGCTCCTGGATTCTCATCCAAATCTTCTTACAGGCTCTACATTAATAATGTGCCCGTGGGTCTTTACTATCTTGTGGACGACAGTTCTTCCAGCAGGTATAGTAATATAATGGGGGGGGGGGGTGTATTGACTGCAATGAACTAAATAACGGCGCGTGTAGCTTCGTTCGTGAAACGATGCATCCAAACGTAACCAACGCAAAAATCGGCCATATTGTTCAAGGTGATGCTGGTAAAGGCGACTATGCAGCCAATTTTGCATATCTAGGCGATGATGTTGAAGCGTACGATCCACTTGTTTATGACGTTAAGTCCTCCAAAAAGCCTGAAGTAAAAGCCAACGCCATGCTATCGGTGGTTGATCTGATGCGGTTCCTGAAAGAATACGACACGTCGGAAGCCCCTGACGACGCATCTGTGATCAAGGAATGGTCGTCCCATATTGACGTGGTGCGATTTATCCGACAATTGGCTTTGGAGTGGATTGGTGGCAACTGGGATGGCGTTCAGTACTCGGGCAACAACTTTGCCATATATCAAAAGCCCAACGCTACGCAGTGGACATTTATTCCTATGGATTTTGATTATACATTTGGCAACGGATTGGAAAAGGACCAGCGGGACTTGATGATGGGTGAATGGCCTAAGTTGACAGAAGGCCGAAAGATCCATTCGTATCTATGGGAGGCGCTCAAGGAGATACCTTACTTCGTACGAATGTATGAGAAAACCCTCAAGCAAATCAACAGCCGAGCATCGAATCCGGATGTCTTGTTGAAACGCATTGATGGTTTGGCATATATGCTTCAACGGGAAGTCTTGTGGGATACTTCCTTAGAAAGAATGACCCAAGGTGTGACCAGACCTTGGGAAGCCAACGAATTTTTGGAGCATTTGGAGCAAGGCACGGATGCCGTGGACGAATGGATTGGCTTAAAGCAGTGGATCGTGGAGAAGCACCAGTCGCTTTTGACCCTGCAGGATCATTCGTCGAATGCTCCTTCTGAACTCGGTATGGGTATCGACATGATGCCTAATATTGCTGTCGGCACCTCGGAATCAGTGGATGATATCAAGAATATGGTTGCAGAAGCCGTTCAGCAATTTCAACAGTAGTGCCCCCAAAATTCATATATGACACTCGTAATCATCCCTACATCATTAAAATCTATCACATGAGTCAGTTGACGCACTCCGCTTTTCGTCCGCTCCATTATGCAGCTGCAACTTGTTGGGTCTCTCTCACATAAACCACCCACCACCCCCTCCAACTTCTTCATTCCTGTTAAAATACATAAAATAGCATGAGTCATCTTACAGCGGCAACAGCAGCAATGTCAGCGCATTCAGACAGTAGTAATGACAGTAACAGTAAAAGCAATAGTGCCAAAAGCTATGACAACAACAACCAACTCGACGGCGAGCATTTGCCACAACCACAAAACTCCAACCACCTCAGTACTGCGCCATTCAAAGACAAGCTACTGACCAATTCATCCTATTTGGCTGCAGAAATCCCACTCAAGCTAGGCCATTGGGTATCCCACTTATGGCAACAGCATTATTCGACTGGAGACTTGTTGAAAGATTCGACTTGTTTTCTTTTGGGCCAACGTTACGACATGCCCAATATGGTTCAAATGCAACAAGACATTTTGCATGCGCAGTCAGAGACCTTGTTTGACCACCACGACAATAAAGAAAATAAGCAACAGAAGAAACAGCAGCAGCAGCTAAATGATGCTAGTCAAGAAGGCTTACAGGGAGAGCAACAACAGCAACAAAAGGAAGCAGCCGCAGCGGCAGTAGCACCGTCGTTCTCCATGATGTGGCCGCCAGCCTTTTATGATGACTTTACAACACGATTTTGGATGACGTATAGGCACAACTATCCACCGATTCGTCCTTCTTCATACAAAACAGATATCGGATGGGGTTGCATGCTTCGTAGCGGACAAAGCTTACTAGCTAATGCATTGTTAATACATTGCTTAGGAAGAGGTTTGCGATGTTACATTCGTTTAAGAGTTCGCTGCTTGCGAGTATGGGATCGGATAAAAAGTTCAGATTATGCTGATAAGATTGGCTGATATACTGAGTAGATTGGCGAAGGCGAGGAAACGAAAAAGACGTTCAATATCTCAAGGTAAATTATTAACCAGTACTTCTCTGGAAATAGTTGACAGTGAGGGAAAGGTAAAATATATGGCAGAATGTGAAGTAGCTTATCGGTAAATCATTTTTCATCTATATTGAAGATCATACAATGGTTTTTGGATGAACTGTCCCCACGCGCCCCATTTTCAATCCACCGAATTGCGCTATTAGGAAAACAGCTTGGAAAAAACATTGGTGAGTGGTTTGGACCTAGCACGATCAGCCAGGTGATCCTGTAAGTTATCACCCATTGTTAGTCTATATATACGTATGTTAGAAGGTGAATAAAGGATAATTTGCAAGCGTGTATTGATTGACTCCTTGAAACATCAAGGGCTTTGGTATCGGACTTCCCGTCTGCCCAACTAGCCGTTTATATTGCAACAGATGGTGTTGTCTATCGGAATGCCGTTGAAGATGCCGCCACCGGCAAGCGACCACGTGGTGAATTCAGCAGCACATATCAATGTCGTAACCTAGAAGCCAAAGAGATCTATGAGCAATACACGCCGGATGAAAATGATGATGATAGCGGAAAAGAAAATGGAGATGAATTTCAGTCGATACTTGTGCTGGTAGCGATTCGATTAGGCATCGATCAGCTCCATCCAACTTATTACCCGGCTTTGAAAGCATGTTTCCAGCTGCCTTGGTTTGTTGGCATTGCTGGGTAAAGTATAGTCTTTTTTTCTTTTTTCCTGTGAAAGAAGGTCCCGAACTTTAAAGTTGTTTAATCTAATGTGAATATCTTTCTTCTTCTGTTTGATGGTGATGGTATAGTGGTCGACCCAATTCATCATTGTACTTCTTAGGCATGCAAGGTGACGATCTTATATATATGGATCCTCATTTCTCACGCCCAGCTTTGGAGACCAAGCCTTTGAACGAGTATGACGATGAAAGTCTTTCTACATATCACTGCACCATACCACGCAAGATTCATATTTCACATTTGGATCCATCCATGTTACTTGGATTTTATTGCAGAACAAAAGAAGAGTTTGATGATTTTTGTAATCATATAACCCAGGTAGATATATATCTAGCTATAACCGATAGTGTTGGGAGAAGTAGGAAGTGGTGCGATGGATGGGGGTGTAGGAAAGCGTATATGCTATACGTTCTGAAGGAAACCCAATCACATATTCATCATTTATGTGATCTATAGATTGCTTCTGTTCATACGCCTATTTTCACAATCGAACAGCATGCACCTGAATATGATGAGGATGTGCGCAGTGAAAATGACTTTGGCATCATGAGCGACGAAGAGGAGGAAGAACAACAGCATGAGGTTAACGATAGTGACTAAGACGGTATGCCATAAGCAATATATATCTTTCCCAAATCTCCTTTTTCTTATTCTATATTCATATCATAGCACCCCCGTTTTTTATATGTACAGTTCCATATGATTCAGTTGCAGTTGTATATCATCATATACTCTTTTCTATGCAACAAGCATACAGTTGTCGTTCTCCGAAGTATATATGAAAACATAACCGTTTAAAGTAGATTATCGTTGACTTCATAGCGTAGATTGGCTAGCGAGAGCACGTCTTAGTAGTACTCTGCTTTTGTTGGTTTGATAGCTTCAGAAATCTTGAAAATTGCGAGGATTGAAAGAAGATTGACCGATATAACTACATTTTAAAGTCTGCTGAATATGTTTTTATGCGACTGTATCAACGAGAAAGTTGCTTTTTTTGTTGAGATCATCCATGCGGAGCTGGAATAAACCGAAGAAATCGGCTCGTGCAACGCGTTATGTATGTCCTTTTTCACTTAAAGCTATCATGGGTCGTAAGAGAGATGCTATCGCTATAACGCGCAGTTATATGATGCTATTGGTAATACTGTGTATAAACTGGTGGTCATTCTATGCGGTGCGTTGTGTTTTACTGAAAATGCGTTTTGGTCAATAACATATAATGTACGGCAAACGTGCAAACGTTTATGTACTGGATATGAACATCAAACTGTTTTAAGGTTTTAAATTATCTGGCGATAGAAAGGTTTTACTGGCCAAAAAAGCGGTACAGCTTCTGCGTGATAAAAGTACAACAACACAAAATAATAGAAATTCTGGTTGCTAAAGTCTCCTGCAAGTATGTTGTAATATTACAGGTTAGGAGGTCATGTACGATGAAGAAATTAATAGCGATAGCTGTCGCATGGTGTGAGGAGTAACATCACCGGCAATTGGCTCTTTCATGTGCGCACATGTAGTCTATATATTCCTTCTCTTCTGCGTATTTACAGTATATTACTGCCACTATGATACTACTATATCCAATTAAGCGATATGCTCGTGCGCGCACATACCATCAGGTATGGCTACAATTAAACAGAAACGTAAAAAGTGGCGTGCTCAAAAAAGTCCAAAATGGATCTTTTAAACACCCTTGACTATAATACGTCTGTAATACACACCACTTTCATTAGCAAAAAAGGTCTTCAATTTTTTTTTTTCGTTTGGAATACAGTATTGTGCAAAAGGGAGGGTTCATGCACCCAGTACTACAAAGCGTGAAAATAAGTAATAGCGTGTTATATTTGGCACTTATGTATTATACCTTATATAATAACGGTGACTGTTCGTATACAGCGTTACAGTAAGACTAAGAATAAGGTTGCATAGTCGGCCAAGCAACAACATCATTAACCAAGCTTGTGTCTTTGCAACACATTATAATTTGGAGGCCATACTGTATTCATCCAAGTGGATCGCAACCATGAGTGTGGCTATGGAATATCATTGGTTTGAAGGTATTAAAGAAGGCCTCATTGTTTGTGCATGCGAAAAATGCTGAACATACCAAGGCCGAGCGTGAAATTCTTGAAGAAGTCCGACACCCGTTTATTGTGTCGCCTGTACTTGATTTTGCAATATGCCATGGGCGGAGAACTGTTCACACAGATGGCTGCAGGTATTTGCGTTTATTTGCTTTTTACCCCTTGCATAATGTCATGCTGTTTACTGATTGCTGTTTTTTTACTACTAATGTCATTGCGATGAATTTAGAGCAAATGTTTTCTGAAGAAGTGGCACGTTTCTACATTGCAGAACTTGTGCAGCATCTTCATTCGCTCGGTATTGTGTATCGTAATTGAAACCCGAAAACTGTTTGTTGGATGCCGAAGGCCACGTGCTCTTGACGGATTTCGTTCTTAGTAAACAAGCCCTCGGTGCGGATGGCAAGGCTAATACCATTTGTGGCACGGCCGAGTATATGGCGCCTGGTAAGATCCTAAATCGAACGAAGAGAGAGAGGAATCAATGACGTCAATATTGCTTTATAAACTGATACAGACGCGACGAATGCGTGTATTGTGTAGAAATCCTGATGGAGATGCACTATGATAAAAGTGTTGATTGGTGGACGTTGGGCATTTTAATGTTTGAAATGCTTACGGGCGATGTAAGTTCTCTGGTATTTCGTTTTACATGTTTAGGCGCCCACGAACAAAATTGACTCGTTATCTAAACTCTTAATTGCTCTACCTTTATAAACAGACTCCGTTCCGTGCAAACAATAAGAAGAAAACGCTTGATGCCATCCAGAACAAGAAACTAAATGTACCTTACTATGTTACCAATGATGGCAAAGATTTACTAAACAGAGTAAGTGGCGGCGGCGTCCTTCTTTTTCCCACACACACAAACGCACCAGGAACAATTTACTTATTCTGACATGCTCGTTTTAGCTCCTCCGTAAAAATCCAAATGGTCGTCTTGGAAGTGGCAATGATGGCACCAAGCGCGTGAAATCACACCGTTGGTTCCGCAAAATCAACTAGGAAGACCTCAAGGCACGCAAAATGACACCTCCCATTATACCTGTTGTTGTAAGTTTCACTTTAATCAGACCTATATATCCGCATTCCTTGTCGGTCGATTTCACATGCTAATTCCCAATACTTGTTCTAATAGACCAAACCTGAGCTTGCTGAGAACTTCTCTGACAAGTTCACAAGCGAGGCGATCAAAGAATCACCTGTGGATAACCATGGAGCATCCCTCGAAGCACATATGAGAGATTACTTTCAAAACTTTAGCTACGTTGCTCATTCGCATGTTTTGACAAGTGCTTTTGATAAAAATTAGCTTTTTTGCTGCCATTTCAGCGTATGCACATTTTCCATACTTGATGGATCAGTAAAAGTTGTCTCATGTGTAATATTGATCCTTCTTATCATCACTTCATCGAGGCAATATCACATTAAGCGTTCTGTAAAGTGGCCGCAGGAGGGAATTCTTTCCTTCTGTTTTTAAAGTTTTTGTCTTCGCTTTCCACATTTTAACGAATAGGCAAGCTATGAACAGTTCTCCTCCCATACCGAAATTGAGATACAATACTCTTATAATTTGCAGAAGATATTCGCACCCAAACAAGTACTTGTCCCCATGTTTTGTAACATTTTAACTCTCACTGTAAGCGGGTTTGGTATCAATTGACAACATATTTAGCTTTACAAAAGGAAGTATCATGCTCCGGAAGAACATATAATAGTAAGGCGCTGATATCTTACATGACCTGAGCCTAGCCCTATGATAAGAGATATAACTACTTTATGAAACGCTCTCATTTGCCGTACGACACAACAAATATAGCATAACAGCTGAAAGAAGAAATGGTAGGGAACAATGATGGTTGCCTTCATTCTTGGTTTTAAGGATGCTGTTCAGAAGGTACGAATCATGGCGCACTTTGCATTTGTTACTCTTTTTGTAAGATTACACTTGTAGCCCAGGTGCATCGATGCGGATTTGCTGAGAAGCTGTGCCAGTATTGAAGACAAAATGTGCAGCTGCTCCTGGGAAAGCAATACCTGGTAGTATTGAGCAAATTTCACTAATATTGCGTATCATAGCATTGAGAGTTACTGTGTCAACGTACAAGATATAAAAGAATGAATCATTCTTCGATCAACGTAGCAGCGGCACTACTGTGCAATAGTAAAGAGGTCGGCCTATCGGCATATCACTTTTATAACTGATTGATTGCAAGAATGCCAACTATTAAAAGATGTTTATGAGCCTCAAGATGATAACTTGAAGAGTTGTCTTTGCCGCTACGCTTAAACGCAATGTGAATCCCTACAGTATGCGCACTTCCAACTAACATTACTCACAGTTAGCAAACTTATATTTTTTTTCTTATTCGCCTCTTACCCAGCTCGCCCACTGTGGGAATATGGAGAATTGGAATTTGAGAATGAGAAAAACCATTTGTGGAGTTGAGTAAAGGATAATTGTAGAGGATCGCTACACGCGCTGCAAATTTCATTCCATACACCGGCAAAAATAAACTGTGGGATTGTTTCTCCGACAAGTTTGTTCTCCATCGACATTGACTGCTTTGCAGACGATCACAGTGGCAACTATATGGAACAAAATTGATGATCTCGCAGCAAATCTGAACATATATCATCTTCTTGAATGAGCCCTTGAGCTCCCTCCTCGCTTCGCATGAAGAAGTCTTACATCAATATCAAACATGTACATACAAGTTTAACGGGTGAAAAGTTAAAAGAAACAATTTTTATTGGGTACATTTAACTATTAATTACTAATAGGGTGTCGATGTCTTAGCTTCTCTGCTCTTAGAGCAGGTACTGACAGGAGCAACCACTGGAAGGTGCATCGACATCTGCTCCCGAACCCTCTACACAAAGCTAGGGTCTTGTCTTGAACGCTTTGGGATCATCGAAGGTCGATTGGTATTGAGATGCCCAGTGGTCTCACCAATCCTATCTTATACAGTAAGTCGCTCGGTGTCAAAACAAGCATCAGCACCCACCCCTACACTTACCTACCCTCACTCACACTCACTCACATTCACACACACAGAAAAAAAGGAAAGGACTTATGATACGTGATCGAAAAGAGAAGAGAAAAAGCGATGAGTCTAGCCTTGAGAGTCGATGTTGAGAGTCGATTGCCGAGAGTCGATTGCCGAGAGTCGAACGCGATCCCCAGTGTCACCCTTGGCTCTTCCCTTGGTCCTGGTGTTGCCTCCGTTGCGCCTGTCCAACCCTTCTTTACGGTAATCCTGGCTGCCTCCAACTGGTCCCTGCTTGGTTTGTCCAGTCTCGCGTTCAACGGTGTTGGTCACAACCGGTCTCCTAGTGGACCAGAGGACGGAGGAATCCTTTTCGGTTTCTCGCCATAGAAATATGGTAGTGTCCTTTTGGTTGGATGCCTTGTTCTCCCGGTCTGGTCTACTATGGTGGGAAAAACCTAACTTATACAGTAAGTCGCTCCGTGTCAAAACAAGCATCAGCACCCACCCCTACACTTACCTACCCTCACTCACACTCACTCACATTCACACACACAGAAAAAAAGGAAGGGACTTACCATACGTGATCGAAAAGAGAAGAGAAAAAGCGATGAGTCTAGCCTTGAGAGTCGATGTTGAGAGTCGATTGCCGAGAGTCGATTGCCAAGAGTCGATTGCCGAGAGTCGATTGCCGAGAGTCGATTGCCGAGAGTCGATGTTGAGAGTCGATTGCCGAGAGTCGATTGCCGAGAGTCGATTGCCGAGAGTCGATTGCCGAGAGTCGATTGCCGAGAGTCGATTGCCGAGAGTCGAACGCGATCCCCACCATAGTAGACCAGACCGGGAGACAAGGCATCCAACCAAAAAGGACACTACCATATTTCTATGGCGAGAAACCGAAAAAGGATTCCTCCGTCCTCTGGTCTCACTAGGAGACCGGTTGTGACCAACACCGTTGAACGCGAGACTGGACAAACCAAAGCAGGGACCAGTTGAGGCAGCCAGGATTACCGGAAGTAAGGGTTGGACAGGCGCAACGGAGGCAACACCAGGACCAAGGGAAGAGCCAAGGGAAGAGCCAAGAGAAAGACCAGGAGGAACCAAGGGAGTGAAGGAAAAAAGAAAAATGAAGGAAAGAAAGAGTGAAGAGAAAAAACGAAATGGCCTGAAAAATGTGGGCGTATTTATATCTTTTGGTATCATCAACCCCTACAATTCAAGGAAAGCAGTGCGCAGCGCACACACGCCCACATGATTATGATAGACTGGCAACTTGCGGTCCAGGCTGTTCAAGGACTCCCTAATACCATTTCCTGAACTTGCTGTTTCATGCTGCTGCTAGCCTTGTCGCGTAAACGGGTCTCGCGTTCAGCGTGGCGTGCACTATAATATATCAGAAATGCCATTTTTTGAAAGAGGTGTGTTTCAAAATATTGTAACGACTTGACGTTTGAATGATATCAAAACACCCTCTCCTTTTCTTCAACGATGCTGATGCTCGGCAGAAAAGAAAAGGGGATGTTTTGCTCGCACAAGGCACCATGAGGTCCAGCCTACGATTTTCGCATGAGAGACTCCCAGCACTCCGTCTCCCAAGTAGACATCGATTCTCACGCAATTATCGGTTGCCGATCCTCCAAGCCCGCAATGATGGATGTGGACAGCTTAAACTAAACTGCCAAGGGCAGACTATAGAGCAGCATGGCTGTTTTCAGCATAGTATGCGCGTCATCCTAGAACTACTATTATCGATACAGGCTGCTTCTTCAGGTTGATAGTGCTGTTGGGTTTGCTCATTTTCTCATCCACCTCCCTTAGCAGTAGCGACACAAAGCCAATCAGACGTGGTGTTTACTTCCTCGGCGTGTGTACGGGTGATGTATGATACATGTGAAAAAAAAACAAAACAAAACAAAAAACAGGTTTCGGGCTGGTACCCTCCGAAAAAAAATTTTCCTTTCGATTATTTTTGCGAACGAACTACGCGAAGATAGAAACAAAAAAAAAATAGGTTGAAAAACGCGTACCAAAGTGTGGTAAAGCGCGTTGTAATAGTGTTACATACTGTCGCTATGATACAGAAGATCTGTCATTGTTCCCCGCGTTGTTGGCACGGACCTGTGGGTGCGGAGTGGGGGTATTTTTTTTTTTTCAAAAGAAGCGGGGTCTTGAACGTGTGCATGAAAAGGCACCCATTTTCCGCAGCGTGCTGCTTCCTCGCTTTTTCTCGATCACATGTGGTAAGTCCCTTCCTTTTTTTTCAGTGTGTGTGAGTGTGAGTGAGGGTAGGTAAGCGCAAGGGTGGGTGCTGATGCTTGTTTTGTAGGCACGGGGCGACTTCTAAGTAGGTAAGTTGATTGGTGAGACCGCTGGCATCTCAATGCCGATCGGACCCTCCGAGATCCATAAAGCGACCAAGACAGAACCCAGCTTTGTGGTAGAGGGTTCGGGAGCAGATGCCGATGCACCTTCCCGCAAAGCTAAGACATCGACACTCTCGTTTTTGGACGAGCCTCTTTAGGAATTTGACCAATTTAAATAAAGGCCTTGTTGTTGTTGTCCCCCGTCTATCAAACATGTGCTGTTTGTTATTGTATTAGCAATACTTATCAAGTAAAAGGAAAAACACAAGGACGAAGCTGATCTTTAAAGCAAACTTCCTTGTAAACGGATTTTCTATACTGTCCCTCGCCTTTGAAAGTATCAATAACCGAAAACCAGCTAGCATTGACAAAAAAAAACCTTGCTGGCATAGCAAGCATGAGTTTGTGGGATCGAATGACAGCCCAGCGAGTACTCGTACAACGAGGATCATAAGAACAAGGGAAGTTGTTAGCTGTGCAATGTCAATATAAGTTGTCGACGGAATTATTCATTAGCTTGATACTCCACTCTAGCTTTTCCTAGCGATATTATCCAAAAACGAGCATGAAGATCGTAGTCAAATCCAAGCATAAGTACCGTGATTATTATCCTTGAGTGCATATAGCTGACTTTGCCGGACCAACCGATGGCATAAAGCGTATGTATAGCTCAGGTGGTGCAGGTATCAGCAACATTACTACATCGTGGTATCCTAAATTTACAACACTAACAGAAAACTCCTTCACGCAAAGCGAGCTTGAGAGTGACCGTCTAAACCAACTCTACCTAACGCACGACGCGTGTAATATAATAGTCTCTCTTCTATATCTCCTATAAACTACAAAGGTATTGTTCCCGCAAACGGATAGTACCTCTAACTCAACGTCATTCACGAATCGGATATGCCATAAGGAGAAGAAATCATCAAGATTTCTATCGGAATGATCTATGTGATACACGATTATACTACTACTGCCTGTCATTAGTATAACACGGATTATTCACACGTCGGCCGGGAATGATGCCAGTTGTAAAATATCGCAAATTAACTGACAGAAATCAGTCGCGATTCACGCGAGATAAAAAGTTCATTCGTTGCCACAGAAACCAAATCTCCACTGCAGCCAGCACCACTGCCAAAATCACTGGTGCCAAGTCAAAGAGACAACAAGACCGCTTAGTTCAACAGAACAGATCAGTAACACTTGGATTCTGTTATGTAACAAACGTTTGTCACAATCGATCGAGAAACAACACCCGCAAAAGAAACATAGTACTGTAGCATACATAAAATAAATGTTCATGTCTCCTCAATAACATGCATGTCAGAGAGAGGCAGACACACGATGATTACCGCGTATGTTTGTTGTTGATGATCGATGTTGGTTATCTCTGTGGTTATCTCTGTGGTTATTTGTATCGTTAGGATATGCTAGAGTATTATCGAAAATGTTCGTCTCCACGATATGTCAGGTACTACCTATTTTCTGCAGTAATCATCTTCTTCTGCCTGTTTCTGTCTCTCTTCACATGCCACATTTTCTATCATTATGCGATCAATGACGATTTCGCAACCTTACCCACAAAGTCCGACTTGCCAAAAAGAAAGCAGCCGGTAGCAAAACAGAGATACAGCAGTCTTGCCATTCTCGTCGTTCCAAACCTTTTGTCTTTGTTTATAGAACAAGATGATAACAAAAACATTTTGCTCTACGTGCGACATAATTTTTTTTCGCACATGTCACAATAATATTGGCACTTTACCACCTTGGGAGTGAAATAAGTTGCAGTTGGGGAACTGGGGACCGCATTGAAATTATTCCGCTCGGCAGAAAAGTAGCGAGCGGGAAAGGCAAGGAGAAAAACCATATTTACTTTACTATGTCGCTCACGAAAGTCTTGGGCGAGATTCAATCGATCTATGCAACTGCTCCAGGTGCAGCACGCAATCAAGTATGGTACATTCTAGCTGTAAGTTTTTTTTCACTCTCTCTCTCACTCATTACTATTATGAACGGGTGGATGGAACTGGGAAGACAAGCTCTGCACTATTCTTTTCTCGGTTTCAGGTGAGTGGGTTCGGGGGGTATTGTGAATGGGTCGTTCAAAACAAAATACATAGGCCGTCGTCATGAGCACCCTGAATCATGCACAAGACATTCCCACCATATATCAAACAGTCGAGAAAAACATCCAGCAACAAGAAGAGAAAGTTCGAGTGATGATGCGACTTCGTGAAGGCATATTCAAAACATTTGCTATTGTTGGTTATCCACGCGTTATCAATTCTTTACAGGCATTACAAGCAGCAGCACCTAGCGAAGTCCTCGCACAATTGCCAGCTAAACCTATAAGGTAATTATTCTGAAAGGGTGGAGGTTAGTTGGGGTGCTGAATATGTGTCCTGTGATAATAGGTTCTTCTTAATTGTACTATGTGTTTGGTGGTATCATATTGGTGGTTGTTAAGAGTCAATTGTTATTGGTGCTTAATCACTAATTACTGTACATATTACATACTAGATCGGAATCATCATGGCATGATATCACGGAGCAGCGTGAACGCGGTAACCAATTGTTTGACGCGATTTACGAACGCCATACGCAACGTGTGAGGGAGCATATGTACAATGCGTATCCGGATCTGGCTCAAACAGCTATCAATCATTTGTATGGTCCCATCCTATCGGAACCGTCCATTGTTTCTGCTAAAGAAACGAGTTTGATCATGATAGCAGGCTTGATGGTGCAAGATGTACCTGCTCAGCTGAAAGGCCATCGTTATGGTGCACTTCATTTGGGGGCCACGCAGCAGGACCTGAGCCGTGTGGAAAATCTGGTAGATCTTTTGTCACGCTATTATAAGCAACAAGAACAACGATAGTAAATACACACCGTAGTCGTCACCGTGATTTCTTTACCCCACACATTAGCATCAACAAACGTTGGGGGGATGTGTGAGGGGGACAAAGAAGGGCCTGGGTCTGTACACAGTTACCCGCGCAAACCTTTGTGTCACACCCACTTTAGAATAAAAGCGCTACCATTATATCGTTATTATTACTATAGCTATTATTATTAGATCTTTATTATACAAAACAAATAAAATGAGCTGAACTATACAAGGGTCGAAAGGGAGAGAGAGAAAGAACGTTGGAGAAAAAGGCTAGAAGCAATTTTTTAAAGTACACAAAAAATTCAAGAAATATATATACAAAAAAGATGATACCAGAATAGATAGTGAGATTTATAATATTAGGCCGTTGTAATGGCGGTAGCAGTCTTAGAAAGATTGTCATTGTCCTTTGGCAAAGCAGTAAATGAAGTGTTGGTGTTGGTGCTGGTAGTGGTGACATGGCGACATCCAGACAACCGAACGTGTGTGATCTTAAGACCTGTTACTGCGTTCTTGACCCAGTCATCCTCCAACACATCCCAATTCGAAACGTCCAAATATTGTAAATGTTTCAAACCTCGCACAAGTTGCAAGAACTGTTGCTGATCAAGCTCGTGTACATCATGCTTCTGTTGGTACCGTCGTCGCTGACGATGCCGGCGCATCAGGTTGGCGCCCAATCGCGTCAATACGATGTTATGTCGTTCAAGCGAGTCGATCAAATCGTTCAGCTGCCGATCCGTCGCCATAGAAGAGGACGATACTCGTTTTAATTTGCGGCGTGCAATGCCCAGATGAGTGATATTAGGACAATGCTGGACAATCAAATCCGTAACGTCGTTATTGTTATTGTTATTAGCGTTGTTGTTTGTCAGCAAAGAAGAGGAGAGCCGATTCAGTTGCAAATAAGTTAGCTTGGTGCCACAAGCTCGCATCAGTTCTCGTACTTCTGTCACACCTGTGCAATCACTGACATCAAGAGCATGTAAATGTGGCAATCCTTGAGCTAGCTGTGTAACGCCTCGGCTGGTAACCTGCTTCAAACCAGCCATGTGTATTTCGGCCAGTTTTTGTTGGCTTGATGTCAGATAGGACAGGCCTTGATCATCGATCAAAATGCAACGGTTCATGGATAGACGCTCGAGCTTGCGGCAATGGCGGGTCAAGAACAATAGGCCCAGATTGCTGACGCGTTTGCAGCCATCCACGCACAAATCTTGCAAGTTAGGACAAGAGCGGGAAATGTGGGCCATGGAGCAGTCGGTTGTATGCTGTGGTGGCAGGACAAGTTTGCGGATGGCAGAGCCATATTTTGCCAAGTGGATCGGGAATGTGCTGTCTGCCAGCACCAGTGATGGTGATGAGGAGTGAGGCGAAGAATGATAATGGTCACAAGGAGTGGTTGTAGTCAAGGTAGAGTTTTTGACAAAAGGGGGGAAGCAGCAGACAGGGCCGGTGAGTACCGGGGCTCTCCATAAGATGGGCGTCACGAGTGCGTGCCAGCGATGGCTTACAAGAGTGCATTGATAGAGATGACGCGGTGAGGCGGTCATTTCAAAGACAACCGTCAAAATTTCGTTGGGCAGCGTGTCGATATGGTTGGGCTGCTGATGCTTTTGCGAGTGGTGCTTGTGCAAAGCAGCAAGTCGTCGTCGTCTCCTTACAGTGGCTGTTGCTGTTTCTGTCGTTGCTGTACTACTACGGTAGTGATGGTATCTTTGCTGTAATTGTGGGGAAGTACTGCCACGATGCCTCCTATAATTGCAATAAGGGTCTTGTTGCTCCTCGTCTTGCTGCCCCCATTCTTGTTGTTGTGGCAATTGGGTTGCTGTTGTCATGGTGTCTCCTTGACGACCAAGTCGCCGTTGGTGTTGCTGTTGTTTCTCCCGTCGTTGTCGTCGACCGTCATCCGTGCCAATTTCGTACACAGCTTGTAAGAATGCTGCTCCGTTGGCTAATAGTACGGTAAGAATGTCGATGATTCGCAGCCAGTACTCAACTATGGACCAGATCATCAATTGTGAGTATAAACCTTTACAGAGAAAATAGGGGTTGAGAAGGTATGTGCCGAGCGAGAAAGAGAATAGACGAGCCGAACTGCTGGCTAATGAAAGAGGATAGAAGAACAAGAGAAAATTAAAGAAGAGAGAGAAGAAGCGAAAGCGGAAGAAAAGAGCGAAAATATGAAAAAGGAGAAGATCCCAATAGGTCTTTTATATGCTGTCCTTGCTTGTTTATATTTTTAACGTCTCTTCTGTGCAACCCCAACTCTTTTTTTTTTCCTCGGAGTGATAATGGCTGTCTTCATACTCTTAGCCCCCCTATTTATCTTTGTCTTTCCACTACTAGTCTCTACTATCGTATAAACACACAGCGTCTTCTTGACACATTCAATGCATGTTATACGATGTGTATGCTGGGCTAAAATAGTAATAATGATATTGCTTTAAAACACCATTACTAATGCATCATGATATATCAAAACAAGTAATCATCATCATCATCATCAGCGGCTCGCACTTTCAGGAAAAGAGTGTGTCTCACCACACTACACACGACACACGATACAGAACTAACGAGAAAATAATGTGGCGTCAAATGATCTGTGGACAGCAACATTTCATTTTGGGGCCGCCCGTTTCTACTACTTACATATACTCGATAATGGATTGCTGCTGCTACTGGTGTGAGAAATCAGAATGATGGGCTTTTTTTATAGACACAAGAGAAAGAAAAAGAGACAGGTCCGTTACACCGATGCTCTCGGTCCATTTCCATTCCCCCCTTCGTCTTGTTATTCATCCCCCGCTAACAGGAATCGTACATGCGAATGATGACTGCTTGCGATTTATAGGGATATGTACGCTTGGTGCGGAATGATCTTATTGTTTATATAACCCTGGCAGGGCCACAAGAGAAAAAAGTAAAAAAGAGCGCGCACGCACAGCAAGCAGCCTTTTAGAACAATGCTATACGTAACACTCTAGCTAAACAGATGAGAGACCCCAAAGAAGTTTGGGGGATGGGGTATATGTACATCCTAGAGATCTCTCTCTTTAGACGCTGCCAGAAATGCTGTTAGTGCAACGTACTCTGCGCTGAGTTCTTATGCATAGTGACACAAAAGACTTCGCGGGTCCTCCATTCCGAGCTTCCGGCTCCTTTAACTTTCCTGCCGAAGGATTCTTCTTCCCTTGGTCGCATTATCCATATCACTCGCAATGAGTCTTCCGCAACATGTTGCAAAGGAACTATTCAATGCATCGAGTGATGCTGATCTAAAACAAATGCAACAAGACCAGACCGATTGGTAAACTTGTCAAACAGCTCTGAAATTGTATTGCTTTTCAAACTAACCCGCCATCTTATCCCACCCCCTTCTTTTCTTCTCTTGATTAGTCTGGCGATTTACCAATCCACACACGAGCAATTGGAGGCATTTAACGATTTCAGTAAAGCAAGATACCAGAACATCAACAAACATTTCGAATCGCATACATCTATGCTTAAAGAGATGAAACGGGATCTGGATAGTGTTTATACCAAGTTGAGGTAGATATAAAATGTGCGGGAGCATATATAAGAAGAAGCTTGTTATGCTTAGGTAACAGCTGCATTCTTCTCTTCGCTGGTTTCCGCGTTTCCAGGTTAATTACCGCGAGAAAGAAAACAACAATGGAAGTACTATGAATGTATAGCTCAACGAGCCCTTTTTTTTTATCGCATTTGGTCAACAGAAAAGTCAAGGGCAAACTAGAGCAAAAGTATCCACTTGAAATGGGAAGAGCGCAAGCTCAATATCCAGCGCCAGTGACCGAGGATGACACTTAAAAAGTGAGTCTCAAGCGCTATATAAAACTTGGATGGGTAGATTGAAGACTATATCAATCTTATGGTACTAGACACAGCAATCCAAAGTAAATAACCTGTCAATTGTATGGTGATTGATCGCCCGGGGAGTGCACAGCTATTGTACAGTTTTGATCCCGTTCATGTTATGGTATGCTGCTTTTGAATAACTCAGACGACATGGCGACCCTGAAGTCGCTACGTGAAGGCTGTGTGATGACTCCATGGTGCGATACTAGCAATTATATGGTTACAGATTGGTATTATAAAATAAATTGCGTGGTGTTTAGGTGCTTCCACACACTCCTAGCAAATATTTAAGGAAAGACGAATTGGATGTGCTAGGCCAAAGAGTAGCAGTGGTAGATAGTAGAAGAATGGGATAGCAGCAACAACTGTTATGGTCGATCAAATGTAGTTTATTGCACGGACCGTCTTCAAGCAACCAATTTCAAAGCCACAGATAGATCCGCTGCATCCCAATCTCGCTCTTTTTTTTTCTCACTCCACTTGGATTTCTTCCTCTCTATTCGTGTAATTTTGACAATGGCAACTCACGACAAGTACCAATCCCCACTGACCTCGCGTTATGCCTCCAAGGAGATGGCCTACAACTTTTCTGAGGACAAGCGCTACTCGACCTGGCGCAAGCTCTGGCTCAACCTTGCCATTGCCGAACAACGTCTCGGTTTGACCGATATTACCGACGAAGCTATCGAGCAAATGCGCGCCAACATTGACAACATTGACTATGCTGTTGCTGCTGCTGAGGAAAAGAAGCGTCGCCACGACGTCATGGCTCACGTTCACGCTTTCGGTCAGGTTGCTCCTGCTGCTGCTGGTATCATCCATTTGGGTGCAACTTCTTGCTACGTTACTGGTATGTTTATGTCGTCGCTGTCTAGCATCGAGAGAAACACGACAAAAAACATCAGCCGTTTCTGTTCTCCTTTGTGGTTTTCCCAGGAGTAGTGGTAGTAACAAACAACGTGACGATTTTATTTAGACAACGGTGACTTGGTCATTCTGCGCGACGCTTACGATATTGTCATCAAGAAACTCGTCCACGTCATCGATATCTTGACCCAATTCGCAAAGACCTACCGCGACTTGCCTACGCTCGGCTTCACCCACTTCCAGCCCGCCCAGTTGGTCACTGTCGGCAAGCGTGCCACTCTGTGGATCCAAGAGTTGCTGTGGGATTTGCGCAATTTCGAACGTGCACGCGACGATTTGAAGCTCCGTGGTGTCAAGGGCACCACTGGTACCCAGGCCTCTTTCATGGCTTTGTTCAACGGCGACCACGACAAGGTTGAGCAACTGGACCAACTGGTGACTGAATTGTCCGGCTTCTCTGAAGCTTACCCCGTCTGTGGCCAAACTTATGCTCGCAAGATCGACATTGATGTATTGAACCCCTTGTCCGGCTTTGGTGCCACTGCACACAAGATGGCCACTGACATCCGTCTGTTGGCCAACTTAAAGGAAATTGAAGAGCCCTTTGAGAAGGACCAGATTGGTAGCTCTGCCATGGCCTATAAGCGTAACCCCATGCGCTCCGAACGTGTCTGCTCTTTGTCGCGCCACTTGATGGTCTTGGTCAATGATGCTCTACAGACCTCTGCTGTTCAATGGTTGGAACGTACTTTGGATGATAGTGCTATCCGTCGTATCTCCCTGCCTGAAGCGTTCTTGACCACCGATATCCTGTTGACCCTATTGCAGAACATTTCTGAAGGTATGGTCGTCTACCCCAAGGTCATTGAGCGCCGTATCAACCAGGAATTGCCTTTCATGGCCACCGAAAACGTCATCATGGCCATGGTCAAGAAGGGTGGCGATCGTCAGGAGTGCCACGAAGAGATCCGTGTATTGTCGCACCAAGCTGCGCACGTTGTCAAGATGGAGGGCGGCGAGAACGATTTGATCGAACGTATCAAGAAGACCGACTACTTTAAGCCAATCTGGGATGAGGTAAGAAGCACGACGATTATGTTCCCGTCGCTTATGACTGTTGAGTGGTGGGGAGGAAAACAGCTCAAAGTAGGATAGGTTCTGATGGCGGGTCTTTTTACTGTGCACACCATAGCTTCCCAAGTTGTTGGATCCTTCCACTTTCATTGGTCGTGCACCCGAGCAAGTCGACAGCTTTGTCATCAAGCACGTCGAACCTGCCTTGGCACCCTATGCCGATGTCCTCAAGGAGCGAACAAAGGCCGAATTGTCCGTCTAAAGAAAAACACAAAGCGCATACACAAACCATAACCCCATTTGATTTTCGATCATTCCCGTAACCTCTTCATCAATTCGTTGTTTTTTCCATCTGCTTTTTTTTATGTAAACATTAAGATAAAAAGAACTTTCAGTATTGTATGCTGGTTGTTGTTGGTTTTTTTTTGGTGTGGTGGCCGTTTCTTTAGCTTAGTCAAGACGTTTTGCTCTATATAACACAATGTATGCTGTGTGCCAGTCACCGCCTCCGTCCAATCGTTCAATATCTGCGTCCTTGACAATGGACACCTTGTCATCATCAAACTTGTGCCATTCGTCTAAAAAGCACTTTTCAGTTAGCTTTGTCTTTCATTAATCGAGCTTTATGCATACAAGTCAGATGACAAACCATACCATCTCCCTTCTTGACCCAAGCGATGTAATGGCCTGTGCATAATCACCCCAAAAGGTTAATTACAGGGTGAGTGTTCTCGCGCTCTAAACCGGGTACGTAGTGCATCTTCCCCACTTCCCCACAGAAACTTTGACTCACCTGAATCAGCAGACCGACCCACATGAGTCAGCACAGCACACAACTCGTACTGACCTGTCGGGTTGCCTCCGACATCCTTTAACAATTCTGGATCCAAAAAGTCGGACCAGTTCACCTTGTCTTCCGACGTATCCATATCGGCTTGGTTTCCTCCTGACGATGATGCTGAAGACGACGACGCAGCACCGGTTTCCAAATCAATCTTGCGTCGTTTTTCGTCACGTCGTTTCGCCTCCTGCTGGTCGTCGATTTCCTTGAGCTTCAACTTGGCTTTGCTATATTTGTTTTGCAATTCGGGCGTGCACAGTTCCGTTGCATCAAAGTTTAAGGGAAATTTCACTTTGCGCAAGATCTTGGCACGGATGCGTTCCTGGGGCTTCCAAAAGAATCGGATAAATTGGATGGGCAAGTATTGAGGTAGTCGGCTGACGCGTGATACGCGTTCATATTTGGCGGTGCGGTCCAATGTCGGTGAGTTCTTTTCGATTTCTTCGGTAAGCGATTCTTTGATACCGTTCACCATGTAGTTTGTAGCTATATAATAGGAGTGTTTGATGTTTAGTCTCTTAGCAGTGAAGTGACATATATGTTTAGCGCAGGGGATTCTATTGGCACTTACTTCCAGTGATATGGCAGCCCAGCTTTGAAAATGGTTCAGAAGTAACAACCTTCTCTTCTTCGGGAGCATCCTTACACTTGAGCCTACCACCCATAATGGTTACTTAATGTACACAGTAATTAAGGGGAAAAGAGGACTTACTCTGCCTGCATTTCGCCGGTCATGTACTGTTCAATGAAATTATGTCCTGTTGCATCTCCCTTGGGCAACTTGGCCTTCAACACGGATATCAATTCACTCCAACATTCTTCAGCATCCTGCTGCATTGGAACACCTCCTTGACCCGTTTGCGAGAATTGTGGGAACACTTGACGGAGCATCTGCATACCGAGTCCATTAAAAAAGGGAGTTTAAACAACACACATGCACCAATCCGACTGTTCAAGTTTCAATCTTTACCTGCCAAAACACCAATGGAGGGAATCCTTCGCTATTACGACCCAGATCCTTGAACAGGTTCCGCAAGCTTGCAGTAAGGTTACCGCGGTTATCCACATTGGCAAGTCCACCCTCGTACCTTCATGAAAGTTTAAAAATCAGTTAACATCAGATCGACTCCTTTCTCTCCGGACTCGTTGTTTCACTTTTCTCGAAAACCTACTGATCCAGAGCACTATGTAATTCTGGCATAACACGAAGGCATTGTAGTGTTGAGTTCTAGGTAACAGTGAAAGAGACCGCATACTGTTTTAGATGTTGTCATTGCTAGCAAGCATATTAGTTTCGAAAAAAAATTGAATGAGTTACCATGTAACAGGTGTTGCCGAGGTTCTCCAAACCAGCAGGAATATCGAGCTATATGCGTAGTGACGGACCGCCGAGAATGTTTAGTTATAATCCATTTATAAGAACCACTGTGTTCTGTCTGTTTTAATTACCGCTTCAGCCTTCTCTGCGTCCGTCATATCTTCCAAAAACTGTGTGGGCTTCTCTGGCGGCTTTGGAAGCTCACCTGCTGTTCCCATCATCATCAATGTTTGTCCCTGTACATATAAATTGATAAAAGTGTATACGTATCAATGTCATAAATCTCTCTCCTGATTCCGCGTTTCTCGCTTCTTCTCTACTCTCCATAACGCATATTCATCCATAATGCACCCTCTCACAATAAGTATATTACTGGTACAACAACTAAACTTACGTTTTTGAGACTTAACTTGTTCAGATCAGTTGTGTCCTGGAAATGGATGCAAATGGTGAATAAATCCCTGCTAGAAGGGTGATGTTTTGTCCTTTCGTATACAGTCTAAGCGAATCGATAGTAACTAACCTTGAGCATGCCACCCTTAACCATGATCTTTTGACGTTCTGGTGGAACACCAGTTTGCGAGTAAATCTGACTTTTGAAAAGCTCAGGGCTTTCGTCCGTGTCTTGATGAATGCACAAGAGAGTTTAACGCCCTTTAATACACAAGTTCATGTACGTGTATGCATCCAACACCCGTTTTGCTTAATTACCGAGTTCAATATTCTCAAACTTTTTTCCGCTCCATTTAATGTTTACGTTGACGATAGGCATTGTGGACCTAGTTTGTGCGCGAACAAGCAAAAAGAAGAGAACGCGTAATGAAACTCGGCCGCACGCACACACCTCTCTCTTCTTTTGGAAGAAATTGGGTCGCCGCTGCTGCGGTGGCAGACAACGAATATGCGTCAAGATTTTTTATATCAACGCTAAGGTTCTTATACGCGAAAAACATACCGTTACCCGAAGCAGTTTAATCACGCGCGCTACCTAAATAACGTCGCGAGAGAACGGTTCTACAGAGCAATAGCTTTGTATTGTACTTCTTTGGTAGATTAGAGAAAGCTGAGGGAGCGTTTGAAAAGAGGGAAACGCAACCTGTTGTTCATCATGCATCTTGAAGTCTTCTTTCCTTATTTCGGATTCTGTCTGTTCTTTTCACTGACATCACATATTAAGGGCAGCTTTGATAACCAGTTTCAAAAGTTTTACATTCGAAAATATGAGCGTCAGTAACAACGACGAGATAATACTTACTACTATTTTCGTCCCAGGGAATTTAAGAATAATTAGGAGAGAGAAGCTATTTGAGATGAAAACGAGCAGATACATAATGGATTATACTGATAAGGCTATTCAATGGCAGGAATGTTTACCTTCAGACCTACAAACACCAGTCTATTTGAGAGAGAGAGAGAAAGAGCTAAATGAGAATATAGTGAGCTGATCCATATTACGTTCTATCCAACTATCATTGCTAATTATAACAGGCGCTCTCTACTAATAGTTGATAACGCTCGACACCTGAGAATATGCGGGCAAGAGGCGAGTGTGCCATTGTTTAAATGTGAGCGTGCAAAAGCTTAAAAAAACGAGAGCTTAAGGGATGAGCAGTGTGATCCTGCAAACCAAATGGCAGAAGAGAAGTTTCACTATTATAATACATCGATGGTGTTAAATGTATGTATTTTGTTAGTGTGCTTAAATCGAAATTACGGACAGTGTCGAAGAAAATGGGGCGTGCCAATATATAAAGGACGCGCATCAGCACGCTTTCGTTCTCCAGACATCTAGTTGCCTATTTCCTATTCGTTCTAATCCGCCAATCAGCGTTGTAGTGGTCTAGCGGAGAAAGCCTCGTTTGTTCTCTCCCGCACCAAGTTTTTGTCGCGTTCATTATCATTCTCGTGGTCATTCGCAACCTTACTCCTTTTTTAATCGCGCGCGTACCACCTTGACGAAAAGCTATGAACCAGTTTGAAGTGCTCGCTACTGATGCTGAGCCCGCAATGAATGAATCCGAGGTAATTTCTATTGCCACTGGTTGCCCCTAAAGCAAGTTTGTATACAAGATCAAGCATTAATATATTTTCGGATCAATGCGTTCAAAGGTGTTTCGATTCAGCAGTTTGGTTCCCGATGCTAGAGTAACACTTCAAGAAAAAAAGCCAGATTCAGACGAATACGACCGATTTGATGTTGGAAGATACCCTCCTACGGTATCGCTGCTCGTGTGTTCATCAAAGTATGGATACTATGTTGCTGCGACTTTGGAAGGTTCGAATCTTTGCTCAATGCTTGCTACTTGGCTCATGTCAACCAATTGTGTATGTGTAATGCTCTTTAAATTCTAAACAGTTGAGCGTTTTTCCGTATGCTTTACGTACTAGGGTTTGCATTTGGATCAACCAAAGCTCTACGAGACACGATCAAGGCATTAGAAAAGGGATCGACTGGACCTCTTAACGACAAAGTGCTGGTGCCTATTGCAGAAGGCCCGGTACACCAGCTGCGCATCAGCGCCGATCAATCACAAATCATTGTTGCTGTTGCTGGTGGTTGGATTTTGACCTATAATGCTAAAGATATCTTTAATCAGGTTTGTCTATTCCTATTTATACTTTTCTGCCAAATAAATCAGGCAAGAGTGTCTTTTGTGGAGTATTAACACTTTTTTTGTGGATTTGCATAAAAAACCGATGTTAGAAAGAAAATACCAAGCCGGTGGCGTCGTTCCAACTCGAGTCGGATGTACTGGACTTGAGACCAAATCCTGACGTTATGCCCGAGCTCGCTGCAGTTATTCTAAAGGATAATACATGCAAACTCATCGATCTGCGCTCGGGCTCAACAACAGTTACTCTTGGTGATGATATTACTGCCGTGTGTTGGTCCCCTAAAGGAAAGCAGTTGGTGTGTGGTCGGAAGAACGGACAGTTCGTACCATTTGATGTCGAAGGATCTCAGAAGACAGTAATCGAGTTGCCAGAAGAATTGCAGAACAATGATCCTCCACCTTATGGTAAGCTGATCTTATGAATAAAGTGACTTGTGAATTCTATGGATAAAAGAGAGATACTTATGAAGAAAACACGGGTCATAGTTCTCGGTCTTCTATGGATTCAACCCAATGTGTTCTTGGTGGTATATGGTAAAAGCGAAGGAGCAGACGAAGTCGATCCTTCTCACGTCGCGTACATTGTTGATCGCAAATCCAGGACAACGGGCGGATTACAATATATACTACTTGACGACGTTACTGGTGTTTTTGGTGATGAGCGAGGTCCCAAGATGTTTATGGAGCTGATCCCCAACTTTAGCAGCGACATGAAATATGCAGCCATCTTGGGCAACGCTGCTTCGACGGATTTCTCTGTTGTCGGTCAGGATGAGAATGGCGACTGGGCCACATACATTTTGCCCGAGAATGGATTGGCCATTATGCCATTATCGGATAATGACATGGACACCTATCCTGTCGGTATGGCACTGGACTTTTCTGTATCAGAGGAACTGCCACCTTATGATCCGTCCGTCGATACTGAAGGTGTCAAGCCCCTGCCGGCTCTGTATTATTTGAACGATGAGGATCATATGGGCGCATACTACTGTTTTCAGGAAACGCTAGCAAAGAATGGTGCCAAGTATACCGGTATGGTCAATGCGGAGGATGTGCAAACGGCAGCAGTTCCTGAGCCATCATCATCAACAACGTCGACAACAACAACAAATGTAAAGGAATCCATACAGGACCAAGAAGAACCAGCACTTACAGCAGCTGCTACGCAAACACCTGGGCAACAGCAAGAGCTAGAATCGACGGAACAGAAAAACAACGTACCATCTAATTTCTCATCCAGCCCATTTGGTGCCGCCTTACAACAACAAGGCGACAACACCAACAGTGGCTTTGGATCATTTGGAAGCCCAACTACATCAGGCAATACTAGTGGTGGATTTGGAGGTAGTAGTTTCACGTCGTTCCGCAATTTGGGTACGGCTACACCAACGTCGTCAATCCAAGCACCCAAGTTTGGCAGTAGCACAATTGGTGCACCTGCATTCGGATCAACCAGCTTTGGACAGCCTCCTGGTGACGCGCCCGTACAACAACAAAGCTTTGCCTCACTCGCCAAGAAGACCACTCCTACTGCCGCAGCACCGAGCAACTTGATGGGCTCGGGTAGTTTATTTGGCGGTGCTGGCGGTAGCTCAAGCACACCCACTTTCGGCTCTTCCAGTTTTGGTGCTACTTCTGAAACTCCAGCCTCATCAACGCAAAACCAAAGTTTTGCGGATTTGGCAAAGCAATCCAAACCTGGCGCTTTTGGAACAGCAATATCAACGACACCAAGCCTTGGATCCACTGGTTTTGGTCAAACCTCTTTTGGTCAGACAGCTTTTGGATCTGCTCCAGCGTCATCAACTCTTGGTAGTGGTGGGTTTGCATCATTAGCGAAGCAACCTAACGCACCTTCTAAAATCCCAGTTCCGTCCAGTAACTCGTTCGGCAGCGGGTCTTCATTTGGCAATACTTCACCGTTTGCGAAGACGACAACGTCCACACCTACGTTCGGATCAACAACTTCATTTGGTGCAACTCCACCTTCTGAAAAACCTGCAGCCGCTGCACCAGAAAAGTCAGTCGAGCCAACACCAACACCCACGCCGTCTGCATCCGAAAAAGATACCACACTAAAAGAACCAGTCGCTGCAGTCAAAGAGGAAGAATCAGAAACCGATAAGCTGCCTGCTCAACCAGTCGTTGAACGTGAACAAGATGAGAAGGAGAAAGAAGAACCAACAATCAAGGAAGAAGCACAAGAAGAAAAGAAACCCGGATTTGGTGGTTTTGGCGCCTTTGGATCCGCCCAAAAAGAACAGGGAAAGCCTGGTGTATCGACGTCGATTGGGTTCGGATCATTTGGATCGGCATTGGCCAGCGCTGCTGCTACTACAACGACGAGCACGCCAACCACAGCACCTAAATCTGATCTGCTTGGATCGAGTACAACCGCTACAGCCTCTCCCACAGTTACAGCGTCAACAGAGGGATTTTTCGGTAAAGCAGCTACACCATCACCAGCTTCATCAGAAACCATCACAGCCAAGGCAGAAGAGCCAGCACCACAAAAAGCATCTACGAGTTTATTTGCTGGCATGAGCTCTAAGCCATCAGCCCCCGAGGCAAAGCCTGCTGCTTCAACCAGTTTGTTCAGTGGTTTAAGTGCACCATCAACACAAGAGCAACCACCAAAAACTACAACAGCAGGATGGACGTTTGGCGATGGTTCAGCGGCATCCCCTGCTGCGCCTTCCACACTTTCTAAACCTGTCGAACCTGTAGCTGCAGCAGCAAAGCAAACATCCACTTTCCCAACATCTTCGCCAGCATCTACATCCAAACCAAGTACAGCAACAACAGCAACCAATGCACCTTCTCAGCCTGAGCCCCCCAAAGACGCAAAAGTCGAGCCAGAAATGCCAAAGCTTACTGCTAAAGATGTAAGTAGTTCTCTTGTGCTCGGCGAATCGAAGGGTGAGAGCTTGTGTCTTGTAAACTTGCTAACTATTTTACACTCCCTGTAGGGCATGGCGCAAGAATTCGAACGGGCATATCATACCATCAACATTGCATTGAAAAAGGTATTAAACCATGCAACGTCACTATTATTTACCGCTTCCGTAGTGACTAAATTAAAACAACTCTTTTAGCTGGCAATGCGGCAAGACGAGCTCGCAACGCAAATACAACAGCAACAAAAACAACGACCTTCTGCTAAGGGCATGCGTGACCTAGGTGAATCTTTGGAATCATGGCGTATAGCCGATGCTCAAGATATCGCCGGTATCATTGAAACTATTGTCCAACAAGCCAAGGAAATCGAGCCACAAATTACTGAGCTATCCAAATCAATTGAATATTTTCAGGATGATCTCGAGAAACGTAAGTCTCATTAACTTCGGTTGTTATCGTGAGCAGAACAGGATAGAAAAAGAGATTGTAAGACTTAAATCGCACAAACCGTCGATAGTGGAAGCAAAGAATAAGGTGATCGGAGAGTTGAAAGACAAGGAAAGTGATCCCGTGCTTGAGAAGGAATTAAACAAGCGAGGCTTGGATCAAGAGGTGGCCAAGAAATGGGACCGGATCCAGAGTCGAACCAAAGAGTATGGCGACTTATTAAGCGACTTGGAAAACAAAATTCATGACGCAAAGAAGCGCAACAGGTCGCCTATTACGCCAGCTCATGACGCTAAGTAAGTCGGAACTACTGCAAGAAATTGGATAATGAAGAGTAGAACTGGAGAATATATAAATGTACTGACTCCATCTGTCTGCCTTGTTTGATATAGACCCCTGAGTTTGTACGCATTACATGTGGTCCTTCGCGATATTGAATCCAAACTACGAAGCAAGCATGACCAACTCCGAGAAATTGAAAGCCGACTGGCCCGTTTACATTTTAAGGACACCCATGCCAAGGCATCCAAAAGTTCTCGTCGAATCACCTTTGACGATGATGATAGCAGTGATGAAGATGAAGTGAACCAAGAAAAAGAAAAGGAGCCGGCCACAGCCTCAGAAGGAAAACCATGGTCCCAGCCCGTGGTGGACTATACCATGAAGCACCTCCGACGAGAGCGATTCTTGGATAAATTGCATCACTTCCAGCAGTACCAAGAATACACAACTATTGTCAATAACTGATCAAAGCAATAAAAAACACAGATGTCAGCACGATTGTAAAGAAGAACAAATTGAAAAGTTCATGTTGTCGAATGCTCTCTAGAACAAGCGGGTCCTTGATATTCAAATACGAGTTATCTTGATTACATCAATTCGAGCTATACGAACAGCTAGCAAATCGAGATAAAAAAGAAGATTTAAGCACTTGAGTGCCGGTCTTATTATACCAGCATAGTCATTCCAATTCGGCAGCAAACTCTTAAAGAAACAAAGCAATCAACCTTACATATTTGTAGAATCACTTTCAGAATTCGAAATTTCTCTCGGCAAAAAGAGTCGTACTATTTTAATACTGGAGTTAGCTAGTACGTATCACATGAAAAGAGATGAGAATGACATCGTATGATATGTGATGCACTTTCGAGCTAATTTGTTATTGGTTGAAAAAGCCCTGATCTGGTTAATTTTGACGGTATAAACCTTCTGAAGGCTTATTATGCGATCTAGTGCATGTAAGGTATTTTCCTCACGACATTCTCTGGATATGTGTATGTGTCAAGTAAAGAAAAACTTGCCACCATGAGCTCTACATGTAGAGAAAAGAGGATTAATCTCGGTACAAGACTCGAAAGTTTTGACGGCCTAGTTGAATCGAGACCATTGTTGAATAACTTGAAAGACGCTTTGTACGTTATTTAACATGGAAATGATAGACTCCGTCGTGCATCTATTTCCATCTGTGATGTAGAAGTATACTTTAATAAGACATCCCCGTTAGAGGTAATAGTCTGCGATGCAGCTTATGCTAAATAGAGACGGTGGTGGTGAGGCGGGTAACTTAGTACAGTATCATGCTTGAACCTCACCATCTTCCTTGTTGGCTTGGCCTTCTTTATCAATGATCTTTTGAAATCCCTCAATAAAAATGTACGTATACTTAAAGGAGCCTCGGCGAAAATGTGTGCAGTGTATTTTGGAAGCGCTTTTAACCGGGTCGAACGAGAATGGGAAACTTTTCTGTATTTTTATATTTGGGCAGAGAAGATATTACGAGCAAGGACATATACCTCTCACTTGTGTATAAAGTTTATAGCTGAAAAGTATTATATTATTTTGCACGCAATTTCATAAACTACCCTGCATCCTCCATAGAAAATAAAGTGATGACATTCAACAATCTTCTTTATTGATATACTACTACTACATACTATTATATATTGCACGTGAATATCCCTGAAGAGGATCTTTATTAAACAGTAGCTTAGCGGATTTTTACATCTGTATATATACATTTGCTTTGATACTGGTAATAATGACACTACCTTTTATGACAGTACGTGTGCTAATAGAGTAGTCGATCGATGCCAATTGCTTTCTATTGCATACAGTAGCAGTCGTGTTATGATGACACCGTCTTTTTCTTTTCTTTCTCAGTTTACTCCCCTTGGAGCTTTTTTATTTATACCTTTCTTGTTCTATAGCCAGAATAGTCAATGATTTACGATATCGCTTATCTATAAGCTTAGAATGCGATGAAATGTCACTAGTCAAAGAAAGGAAGACAGATACAAGAGCGAGTCATTTTCATCATCTCATGGTCCGGTTCTTTTATTTCTGTATGGTGCGCGTCACCAAGGATCGAAAATTTTGGAAAAGGTGCATTAGAAATTCTTTATTGGGACTTACGCGACTCTTGATCATCACTTCCATAATCGATAATGATATTATTGTACAGAGGAATAGCAGTATCATCTGGCATACGCATAGCAATTTAAAAAAATCCAGGTTCTTTGAAAACATTATTAGCAGCACGAGCTTTTTGGCTGGCTGCACGCTTTTTGAAGGGGAGCTGCACAAAGTCAATCCCTCGCGAAATTTTTTAAGGCACAGCCCAAGGCACTGTTACTCGGTTAAATAAAGTCCCGTGGTTACACAGTGCTTAGCTGCTCATCGCGCTCATCCTTGGTGTGCCAAAATCTGAAAAAACCATGCATTTACATATGAATCTTGCCTAAACCGACCAACTTTGAGGCCTTATTCCAAAAAATTATTTTATGAAAGAAAGAAACTTATGGATTGATTGGTTCAAAAATGTTTAGATTAGGAAAAATAAGCTCTCAAAAAATAGGTAAAAATTATCGATCCTTGGTGACGCGCCCATACACAGCAACGGATCCTTCTTCGTACATGCAGTGTTGGCTTTTGCCACAACGACTGCAGGATTATGGCTCCCACATCTTTGTCAATAGATTACTAAAAAACTACCAAGCACAAAGAGCATCAAGTAGCCTTATCCTTAGCAATCCGTTGTCTTGTCTTGTCTTGCCGTTCCTTTGCGTTTGCTACCTTTCGGACGTCTATAGTGGCGCTCCAAGGCCCTGTAAGGTTCCACAAGACCCAAAGGGTAATCTGAGATTAGTAAACAATTTTTTTGCCTAGGCGGTCAGTGTTTTATAAAAGAGGTGACAACAGGCGTAAATGGAATAGAGTCAGGATAGCTCGCTTTTCGTTTTTCCTAGGAAGGCGCTGCACCTGTCCCTTCGAACCATGACCGTTTCTATGTGATACCGGTTTGTGCACGCAAGGTTTTGCAAAGTTGAATCCAAGAATCCGTTATGCGTGGTCACCAGAGTTTGACAAGCAGCAGATGAAGGAATAAAGATTCGCGTAAGTATATACCAGACAGGTGTGTCCCGCATACACTACTGTCATGACAACCATGATTGCAGTGGTTACCGGGCTTGGCTTAGAGACTGTACGAATTCTATTAGTCACAAGGCACTTTTAAGGTAGACCAGTGCTTCCTCAGTGGTGTCTGGAACGGCGACGTTGTTTGTGCCAGTACGAAGTGCTGCGAGCGCCTTTACACCCCTTTCTTGTAAACTGGGTCAGGTCTTCCGGTTTCTGTGCTGTTCAAAGCTTAGTGAAAGTCCGTAATATTTGGAAGGATACAAGAGCACCTGGAAGGGCCCTCTTGATCTGGAAGGGCTGTATATCCATTCTACGTTGGACTATGTGTATGCAGTGACACACAAATGGATATGTGAAATTTTAAGTATGAGTCGCTTGATCAACCAGCCAGTGTAACCGAATTCGGGACATCAGGAAAAAGACAGCAAGAATTCCTTTCTTTTCACGTTCACTCTCACTTTCCTTTACTAACAAAGCATAATGTCAACTGATTCCGATCAGCAACAAATTATTAAAAAAGGAGAACAATGGGCTAGCGAAATTCAACGGAAATTGTCCCGATTGACTGCAGAAAAACTTCTTCAAATGGAAGAGATCGCCAAAGATCATATAAGTTGGTTTGAACAACACGATACGGCAGAGTAAGCACTTGTTTATCCTCTTCTTACCTTGTCAACACTTGACTAAAAGCAATTTCCTTGTTTATACTGATGCAGAAAGTTACTCGAAGCGAAAAAGCCATACCATTTCAGCAACATCAAACGCGCCGATAATGGCAGGAACACCAATAACGACACCAAGAGAACACAGTCTTTAACGGATCGTCGCCGTGGCAGTAGTAGCAGCGATGGATCCATGAGGACAGCCAGCGAAATGAACGACGTTGACAATCAGGATACTGATCGGGTCCATTTAGTGCAGGCATCGCGACACCATATCACTACCGCTGCCAACAACAATAATAATATGCGTATGAGTAGCAGCTTCCACCGTAACTCGGGTAGCTTTATACTACAACCACGGTCTAGCTACAACAGCAACAACAACAACAGGATTAGCAAGTCTAACGCTACTACTACTACTACTACTACTGCGAGTGCTGCTAGAACGTCGACGAAGAAAAGAGTAACAATGTCAGCATCATCGTCAACAGTGACAACAACGGCAAGCAAAGAAAGCAATGGAGAATCGGATAGTGATGGCATGGATTCGGATTTATGTCCAACAAACATACCTGAGTGGGCGACTAGTCCTGAATTAATGGAAAAGTTGAAGTTTCAGAAACCGACAGATGGTGACAAGGTATTTGGTGAAATGGTTCCCATGGAAATTTCAGGTAACTACTAGAAACAAGAGGTTGTGCAAGTGTGCAATTCAGAGATATTATAACGAAAGAAACAACTAACATTACATTCTATACATAGTCATCTTTGGCAACACCGTCAAGAGCAAGCCATGATCATATATATCCACCTGCTGCACTTCTCAATTGTACTGTCTTCCTTCCCTAGCTATCTGCATGGCGGTCATGTCCTTTTACTCTCTGCTTCATCAACTTTAACTCATTATCTCATCCACTTGTGCTATTTCATACAAACCATCTTGCCGTCATCTTTACCTTTATCTTCATCCATCAAATTATTTCTCTCTCTCACTTTATATAAAGTAAAATGTACATATATGTAATTTGTAAATATACGATAAAACATCTCTTCTCTACTGTGCTCAGCTGAAAAGTGGGTTTCCTTCTCTCCCTCTTACTCTCAAATAAGGACAGTACGTCGTTGAATCTACCAATTTGTGAGTGTCATAGAATATGATATAAAGCTCAATCTCATTACATTCGCGGCTACTGTCTCGTGATATTGCTGCTGGTGCTCTTATACAGCGACAATTGCTAGTTTTATCTGTTGCTTTTAAGATTGCGTCATGATTTCAGCAAAAGGCTTACCCCACGGAAAAAAGATGAAACCAATCATTCATATCATGGCCAATGTTATCAGCCCATGTATACGACTTTGGATATGAACGCCGGTTTGAAGAAGGCTGGAGTCATACCCTTTGTATGATGAAGGCGATGGAACCCTTGGTTATAGAAGGATCTACTTAACAGATGGTTAGGATCGCTTGCCTAGGATAACCCGTTCGGAATTGAAGATTCGGCAGAAATACACCGCCCAAATTTTTTGCATCAGCAAGTAATGTCTATATAACCAATACTTCAAACAACATCGAAATAGCAAGGCAGGAACGCTTTGTTGAAGGAGCTGCACAGCAAGGGTCCTTGATGACGAGCAGCATTATCGATGTAGCGAATGCAGCGGAAAGATATATACGACAGGTAAAAGTCGAGCCAAGCCATGCAAACAAACTTTACTTCTTCGCCGCCATCTAATAGCAGGAGCGACAATATCTTAACTACTTTAGCTCCTTACAGAGAGAATGAAGTGGTAGAGCGATATGTACCATGAATGAAAATAACTACATAATATTTTTGAGTAAGCATGTTTTTGGAAAGAAGAACTAACCATCTTCAATGTCAGCGACAACTGCTGGCTAGAGTACTTCATTGAGGCAGAAGTTAAAAACATATGTTCAAACTCAAGTCAAAAATGATTGCTTCTCGTGGTCTCCTTATACGTAAGGATCTTGATACGTAGTCTATACTTCTATGCTACAAAGTGGGCGATGTTGATGGCACAGGAGATTTCCACACACTTTGTCGGTCATTGTAACCGAACTTATCATAAAATCGTCTATCAAATTGGAGTGGTTTGTTTTGGAGAAACCGCATAAATTACAGCAGATACCTATAATAGGCTATATTTGGTTTCGAAGGACGACCTTGTTGTAGCACATTATCCAAGTAGGATCGTAAACTTTTCTTGCTATCATTGTTATTCTTCTGCTTGTTATGTCTTTCGCCAATACAGAGTTTTATGTTTTTTGGTTTCGTACACTTGAAGTGTCTGTGAAATGAATGATATCCATTCTTGATATTGATTAGGCTAGAACCTAGAACTGCAGTGAACAGCGCCGTTAGCACAGACAGTAAGGTTGCTTGATGACACTGTTAGACTGCTACGATTTGACAAACAGCTGTTTGTTGATATGATTTCTATATAAGCATACATAGCAGAATTTCAAGGTAGAAAGACAATCTTGTTGCCAGCAATCTTGGCACTGAAGTAGCATTAGGAAATCTATATCCGGACCTTTAATTCTTGTGAATGCCTTTCTTCATGTGCAGAATTTATTATGATCTAGCTTTCTCTCACTGTTATGTACTGTCGATAATACTATCTTTTGCGCTTAGTATATCGTCATAGAACCACGCTGAAAGTTTTCCTCGATGCTGCCTTTATTTTGTGTCCAAGATAACCGAGAATATATTGGTTTGTTATCAGGCCAGCTACTACAATGATGCTAAAGTGCGACAACAACTGCTACAACAGTGTTCACTTCCTTTAGATCAGTAGGAACCAGGATTAGAACTAAAACTAGTAACGTGAGGTTGCGTGTAAATCCCTTGAACAATGATCTTGTTCAGATCACAAAACGGACGCGAATTACAAAAAGAAAAAATTCTGCGGCGGAGCAGCGGAGGAGGACTGCAAATGCTTAGAGTGATTTAAAGAGGCAAAAAAAAACTTTTTTTTTCTTTGCTTAACTTCTTTTTCGCGCTCTGTAAGCCTTCTCTCTCTTTTTGGTTTGACAGAGATTGGATCCACTCCTGATCACCGTTAATTTAAAAAGAAAGACAAAAGCAAAGTTCCTTCTTTATTCTCTTCACTCTCTGAAGCGGTTTTTTGTATCTTTGCTTGCGGTTGCAGAGCGCATATTACAATATTTAGCAAAACTGCTCAATACCCCACTTCCTCTCCCAACTCTTCTTTTTGATCTCGTTACTTCTTGTATCCGAACAGCACATATACGCGTACCTTCTATACTTTAAGCAACCTCATATATCTTTTATACACTGTACATAACGCATTTCATATAGCACTCAATGGGAGGGTAAGTCTGCGTACAGCGAAAAAAAAATTGACACCAAAAGGCACGATCTTTGAAAAAGAGATACTGATCTCGGTTTCATTTCTTCAAAACTTGTAGAATCACAGTTGCACACCACGAATCGAATGATTCATTTTCACAACAATCGTCTTTCCCACCGACGCGTCGGAAATCTGCAGAAGCACCTGTATTGACCGAAGAGCAGATCAACGAATTGCTTGTTGGCACTACTCCTACCACCACACCTGGCGGAAGCCCGGGTGGCGTCGGGTTGGAAGATTTGACAGGCGAGGTCCAGAACCTAATGTTGAGGTACAGAATATTGATTAATTCTCTCTTCGTCGAATCATATAACTAAAAGGCCCAAGCTATAGAGAGTGGCTGGATCCATGGTCGTCAGCATCGACTACCCCTTCACCTACTGCTGATCTGACCGACTTTGATGCCCATCAACTGTCCTTGCAGCTCGAAAGCTTTTTTACGCAAGATCCTCTGGAAGAAGGCTTGGCGCATTCACCATTCTACGATGAAATGACTTTTGGTAAAATATCGCTACTTGGTGTATGCTTAAGAAGGAGAGAGAAAAGAGGCAAGACGTTGGATGGGACTGGATGGATTTAGTGAGAGGGCGACCGGATAAAACACGAACCCGCTTTCATGGAAAGGAAGCTGACTGGATCGACTACTTGTTTAGTACCTGAAAACAATGCGTTCGAGATCAACGAAACATTATCGGTCTTGCCAACGACGGCAACTTTGATGCCAGAACCAGTAGAACAGTTTTTGGAGAACCAGCAACAAAGTGTTATTCCTTCAGCAGGGGAAGAAGATGTCGTCGAAGTCGAAGCCGACGATGAGATCACAATTCAAGAGCTTGACGCTACTGTACCTTTGCAGAACCAAGTGCTTCAGCCACCACCACAGCAACAACAACATCAATTTCAACAGCCTATCTCAGAACCATCGTCGCTCAAGCGACGTCGAGGCAGCAGCAGCTCAGAGAGCTCCTCTTCTTCCGAATCAGACTCCGAGGATGATGACGAAGAAGACGACAACGATGACGGTGTGATTCCGACAACCGTAGCTAACATGAGCAACCGACAACGATACTGGTCCGACTCGTCTGATTCTGATTCTGAGGACGAGAGCCCCTCTCCTGGCCTCCACCGTTCCCGTGCCTCATCACCGCTGGTTTCTAATAGCATTATGCCTACCAGTGCCTATGCATATATGCACAAGCGCCAGATTGAAGAAACCTTGTTGAGCAAGATCACGAACCAGTTGCAACAGGACAAACTTCCTGGCATTTTGGCCATCTTGTCGTCCGAAAACAATGGCGAGGATGAAGTGGAAATCGACTTATCACGCCTTGAGCGGGAGCAGTTGGTACGGTTGCTGTGCTATGTGGAAGCATGCATCAGTGAACAGAACGGCGGGCCGGCTGTTAACGTTGCAGATTATATTGTCAAGGAAAAGCAGCAGCAAGCCAAGAAGAAGCAGCTGCCCGTAATCCAGTCAGATGATTATGAAGACGAAGATGCCATTCCTCGTGCTAAGAACAGCAGCAACAGCCGTCGTCGACGTGGTGGCAATGCTAACAGCAAGAAGTCCAAGCAACAGCAACGCAAAAGACAGACGCGTCAAGAGCTGACCGAAGATATCTTGGCCGGTGACGATAGTGATGAGGATGGTTTGGCAAACAAGGAGAACGAAGATGAACTGTCCGGCTTGCGTGGTCAAGGTCCCATGTCAATGGCAGAGTTATCCAAGCATCAAGATCGAGTTCGTGGCAGCAATGGCAAAAACAGCAAAAGCAATAGCAGCCATAAGAAGAGCCGAAAACGAGTCAAGAAGAGATCGGACGATGATGCGCCCGCGGCAGTCTCGTCATCGTCGGCATTGGCAGCAGCACATATTGAAGGCAGCATTGCTGTTTCGAGACCCAAGCGAAACGCTTCGCAACGCAAGCGTCGGGTTTCGGACGACTCGGATGCAGAGGATGGTCGCCGTTCTAACAGCTCATCGGGGAGCGAGCTGATTGTATATGGTAATGAGCAGATGGACTTCAATGTCAAGGACAACCAGACGATTGTGCACCAGTCCAGCGTCGCGGCATGTGTTCCAGTTGCTGCTCCTGCTCCGGCGCCTGTCGAAGAAGAAGAAGAAGAAGACATAGATGAAGAGATTGATATCATGCTGTAAAACCCCCGCTTTCTCTCTTCATCTCTTTCACATACACGCTTGCTCCTCATGTCCCCTTGTTTATCTCTAATTCTTCTTCCTACCCTACTATATATAATCTGGCATCCTAAAAAAGCATCTCATCCACACATATTCATGACCATCACCTCTTCTCCTCCCCGAACATACTATAAACCAACCCTTTCATCATTCTGTAATTGTAGCATTCCTCTCCCTCCCTCCCTCCCTCCCTTGTCATTATATCGTTTGCACTCACAAAAAAAAGGTTCTTTTTTTTCTTTGATTTGCATTTGTTTTCCTTTTTTTGTATTAATATCACAAAAGAATAAAAAGTATATATCATTATCTTAATTACTACTTTACACGAAAACAAGCCTCCAGCCAGATTACATGCTGTTCTGTCGAAAGAAGGTATACACTACGCGTCTTTGGTCAGTCGTACTCGATCAATTTCTCGACCAATAGTACCGTCCTGCTTCGACTCCCAGTGCACCAACTCCAAAGCCTCTGGAGCGACTTCTACCGTTGTGAATCCATAGCCACGGTAGAGCACCGCAGACCAATCTGCTCGGGGCGCTGCCTCATCCACAGGGTCGGGGCCGTCGAAATTGCCTGCGTTCCCGCTAATTACCTGGTAGAAGGAGGGTGGGTTGTGGTATACTTTGCTAAGTGCCTGGTTGTTTGCCATAGGATAGCTCCGTTCGTAATTATGCCGATGTCCACTATGGTTGTGTGTTGTTTGTTGTCAGCTTATACTAGCTAGTATTTGTTTCGTTCACAACACACTCGCGTGTTCTCTCTCCCATCAGTCCCACCAACTCCGACAGCGCTTTTCGTCTTTAAAAGCCTACCATAGGTACAAGTCAATTTTATGCTTGACAAAGACTTCTTCCAAACCTGGTGTCAATCGAGTCTTGTTATCTTGCTTGGATACGATCCCATTACGCAACGTATCGGCTTTGTAGGTACAATCTTTATCATCCGCAGGCGAGCAATAGAGGGGCCGGTGCCCAATGACAACCACCCATTTTTGTTGGTGCTTGTCAAGATCTTGTTCCAACCAGTTAACAAGCGTATGCACCTGGTCTACTTCCGTGCCGTCTTGTTCAAAGAATGCCTCGGTTGATATTGATACCAGATGTAATGACTTGTAATCCAACGAATAGAGTAACGGCGACGGCGATGCGGACTCTTGATAGGGCAAATGGCTGAATCGATTGAGATAGTGTGAAAAGTTGTATGCAGACTCGTGGTTGCCGGGTGTCGTCATGAGCGGTAGACGGGCATATACGTCCTGTGCAAAATTCATGTATTCGTCACCCTTGGTGCCATTCATATCGGCCAAATCATACGCTTGGTCACCCATGAACGTCATAAAGTCGTACTTTTGTTCTTTGGCAATAGTCTTCAATATTGGCATGGACACAGCGTTTACGACGCCCTTTAAAAGCAAACACATCAGCTTCAGAAGAAAAGGCGGAAAGAAAGAAGTCTGTAAATGATATTGACAGCATACCATGTCAGCTGCGGCAACAAACTTGAATTCCGGCGTCGTATCGGGTGTATGAAATTGGTAGACCGGCGACCAGACAGTTGTTGTGCCATTATGTATTGATCCGACTTTGTACTCATACACTGTTCCTTTGGACAAGTCGTTGGATTTCAAGCTGTGAATGTGCATAAGTCGTTTGGCAGCACCGCCATCCACAAATGGGGTGCACTAATGTATGTCAAAATTAATGCATATTTCCACAAAAAAGACTAGCTCTTCTTATTTCGTTACCTCGTCGCCTGACACGGTAATTATCTCGGTATTTCGCTTGGTCTTCTTATGAACAGGCCAATAGACCAATTGGGCCTGGTCAATCTTATCGGTGGTCACAAACTGGACTCGAATGGCACTGCCTTCAGAAAGCCACGTCAAATGAACTTGTTGTGGCTCGACATGTTCGTATGTTCGATTCCAGTTCCCTGCCATATTGTACACGTCGACAAACGCCAGTTTGCCTGGCCCTCCCGGCCCGTCTCCGCCAGCAGAGACATTCACTAGGACTATACTAGATAGCAATAGACCCATGTACAGGATGGCTGTAGTACAGTACTTTATCATTGCAAATATCAAATATATGTAATAGATGGAAGTTCTAAAAAGTAAAAGAAAGAAGAAAGAGAGAGTCCCTCTCTTCTACTGAAGAGTTTATATAGGCAAGGAAATAAAAAAGGTGCAAATAAGTCCCTTTTATGCTGTGAATGAAGCCGACACAGTAAGATGATGCTGTCCAAAAAGACAACCAGAAAAGGCGTTTTTTTTTTCAGCGGTGATAGGATCATACTTGCTGTAATAATCAGAGACTTTCTATACTGCGATTGCTGCCAATTATATGCCAAGTGTACTAAGGGCTATCAAAATAAGAGAGCCAGAGAAGAGTTGGCAAGGAGGCAGAAGGAGGGAGGGGCTCTAAAGAGAAAATCTCCTATTTCGTACGTGCGTGATGTGTGCGCTATCTGTCTCCCTGGAGTGAACAAACATAAAAAAAAATGGCCTGACCGTCGTTCAACTTTAATTCTCCTCCAACTGCATATTGGTCAAGTAGCTCTATTTTGTGTGCCAAATTACACTTTGTATAAGGCTTATCGGTTAGAATCTGTATTGTCAAAATAAAGTTTGTTTACAGGATTTTTCCTAATGATTGGCAGGGCATTTTTTTTCAGAGCTGCTCGAGCGACCAAATTTTTCCAAATTTTTACATATAGGAGTTTAAACATCCGTTACACATGTCCCCTCTACTATCTTCACTCCTTCGGTGGACCAAACTTCTCCCCACACCGATTTTACAATTTGTAATTCCATGTTGCGTAGACCAAAAAAAAGTGGAAGTATAATTCTTTATGTAGACCAAAAAAAAAAAAAAACTCTACTATCAGTGATAGCAAATACTCCATTGCGACTTGTCATCAGCTGCAAGCACAAGCACTCGAGAATTACTTGAAACATTGCTGCGCCAGCTACTTCTTTACAAGAGCTGTATTTTACAGCAACATTGAAATGTATATATACTAGTAGCTCCTATGATATAGTAACAATTATCTTTATATTTTATAACCTAGATACTATGGGTCTGGAGGCAAGAAAATAATCGCAAAAACACTTCAAGACATACTGCTGGTACACGAGATCGATGCTGCGAATGAGCACATCAAACCGATGGATACTCCGGAATATATAGCCTCCCGTTCTTGTTTTAGAGGTCAGTATGCGCCTAGTTAGGGAAGATCTTGAGTCGCCCGTTGAGACAGAAGAAGATTGTGATTGCACCATTAGCCTAGCATAAGAACACAGTCCCCTTAGCAATATGGCGCTTCTCTACATGGAGCATAGCGTTGACTACGTTGTTAAATATCCAAATGACGATGACTCAGACAGTGAAGATTAGGGCGACCAAGAGCATCATATACTTTGATAAATAAAAAGCAGGACCATACTTTATCTTCTCCAATGTATCCCTATACACTTTCATTTAATCTTCTCTTTTTTTCTCTTTCTCTATACTCTTCTAATAAAAAAAGAAAAAGGATAATGTCTAGAAAAAGTTGTCAACCCTGAGTGGTAAATGGCTACCACTGGATATTATACCTCACTTACTGAACGTCACTATAAGGCAACATAATAAAAGTTGGTCTACACAAAGAACTACACTTCCACTTTTTTTTGGTCTACGCAACAAGGAATTACAGATTGTAAGGAAAAATCTGGAAATCGGTGTGGGGAGAAGTTTGGTCTCCGAAGGAGTGAAGATAGTAGTGGGGACATGTGTAACGGATGTTTAAACTCCTATATGTAAAAATTTGGTCTACGCAAGGAAAAATTTGGTCGCTCGAGCAGCTCTGTTTTTTTTCATCATGGCGCTGGGGGTCTTTTGATTGGCGGTGAGGGAAACTCCAGTGGCGGCTGTAACTTTAAATTGATGGCAGAATTATTAAATTTTGAAGGCGGCTATAGATTGTAACTCTTGCTACAACATCCTCACGACTTCTATGCACTTCAAAAGAAGCGCAAATAGAGAATGCTTGTAGGGTCGAGGATTATTGGAATTTATTATGCAAAACGTATTGGTGACTCATCATGCCATAAATATATTTTGGTACACAATCCACAGCTATATAATTTGAGCATAACAAGGTGTTGCAAAACAGTACACACAAAGGTGATTTTACTTATATATCCGGATAAGAATCATAAAAGTTAGCATATATGATGTCTCTAATATAGAGTACATTAAAAAGGTACATAAAAAATTCAAAGTAAAGATTACAGAGAAGTCCTACGCAAAAAGACATAAGCAAAGACTCATCATAAAGTTGCTCCGAACATGGACATAAAAAAAAGGTACAGCGTTGAAAGTTGAAGTTCGCCATACAAGATAGGACCGAGAAAATGGGACACATTTTCAAATTAGACTACCTGAACGAAATTGAGCTAAGAAAGCTTGAATCAGCCAAATGCAACTGGTCATATCATTAAAAAACAATATGATGAAACAAATGTATCATATAATGTGCTATTTTTTTATGGATATGAATGATTTTTACATAGTTGGTGTCGTAACTGGCGTGTTCTTTGTTTTATATATGAACGAGCAATGAGTTACAACAATGGGTTGACGAAATGTTGTGAAGTTTTAAGTATGAATACACCATCGCATTCTTTGTGTGTATAATTAAACTCCTCCATCCTATCATCATCGTGAACTTGATCTCGCCTTGCTTTTTGCTGTAGTAACCTACAAATAAAATGAAATAGCACTGAGTTTCTTTGCCAACTAACACAACCACTCGAAGCTTTGACCCTTTCGTGTTTTGTAATACCTGTCGTCAATGTACCTTGTAAGCGTAAATAGGAAGTAAATCGCGTTTTTCTTGGCCTAGCATCATTCCAATCTTGTTTCTTGAAACGATCTTATCCATACATAATAGATTGCTATAAATTTGCTATTGTCTTGCGTCCAAACAAAAAAAAGGTGGCCGCTTGCTGGCAGGACGTCCAGTATAACCCACTCTTGATTCTATATTAGAAAAAAAGTTGTTGGAATTCCTTGTAGCGAATAAAAGATTTGGGAACTATCGATTGAGATAAAACACAATCGTCTATAAACGACATTCGCATCCTTATTAATTGTTTGTGAATAGCATGTTCTCACCAGTTACTCAGGAACCTTCACCATCTATCTACGTAACGCGTCAAAACACATTCCCAAGCTACATAAAGAACGTTCTGGCGAGAAGCGTGCATGCTCCACCTAAAGACATACTACAACATCAATAACATCAAGAAGTAAGTCAAAGTTATCAATAAAGAGAATCAATAAGCAAGAATCCACGACCTTTCCAAAATAATAGCAGTTACCTTCAATAAATCGTATCTTCGTTTGACCGGAAATAAACAACAAGTACATACACAAGGTACAAACATCCTGGTCTAGAGCTGTCGTCTAAAGCACTTGGCAAGTACTGACTACTTGTTGTTCATTTCAAAGCAATGGAAAAAATCAGTCGGTCAATGTGTGGGTACCGCTGAATCAGCCGCCTACTAGACCTGCGTCCAGGCACGCCGTTTAGATTGCCAAACTAAACGATGCCCCGGAAGCACCCACGACCGACCTTGAAGCTAAGCTACACAATTGATACCATAGAAACATTAGTCTCAATCACATCAACCAACCAGTTTCAGTATCAAGAATCCACAACCTTTCCAAAATAATAGCAGTTACCTTCAATAAATCGTATCTTCGTTTGACCGGAAATAAACAACAAGTACATACACAAGGTACAAACATCCTGGTCTAGAGCTGTCGTCCAAAGCACTTGGCAAGTACTGACTACTTGTTGTTCATTTCAAAGCAATGGAAAAAATCAGTCGGTCAATGTGTGGGTACCGCTGAATCAGCCGCCTACTAGACCTGCGTCCAGGCACGCCGTTTAGATTGCCAAACTAAACAATGCCCCGGAAGCACCCACGACCGACCTTGAAGCTAAGCTACACAATTGATACCATAGAAACATTAGTCTCAATCACATCAACCAACCAGTTTCAGTATCAAGAATCCACGACCTTTCCAAAATAATAGCAGTTACCTTCAATAAATCGTATCTTCGTTTGACCGGAAATAAACAACAAGTACATACACAAGGTACAAACATCCTGGTCTAGAGCTGTCGTCCAAAGCACTTGGCAAGTACTGACTACTTGTTGTTCATTTCAAAGCAATGGAAAAAATCAGTCGGTCAATGTGTGGGTACCGCTGAATCAGCCGCCTACTAGACCTGCGTCCAGGCACGCCGTTTAGATTGCCTAACTAAACAATGCCCCGGAAGCACCCACGACCGACCTTGAAGCTAAGCTACACAGTTGATACCATAGAAACATTAGTCTCAATCACATCAACCAACCAGTTTCAGTATCAAGAATCCACAACCTTTCCAAAATAATAGCAGTTACCTTCAATAAATCGTATCTTCGTTTGACCGGAAATAAACAACAAGTACATACACAAGGTACAAACATCCTGGTCTAGAGCTGTCGTCTAAAGCACTTGGCAAGTACTGACTACTTGTTGTTCATTTCAAAGCAATGGAAAAAATCAGTCGGTCAATGTGTGGGTACCGCTGAATCAGCCGCCTACTAGACCTGCGTCCAGGCACGCCGTTTAGATTGCCAAACTAAACAATGCCCCGGAAGCACCCACGACCGACCTTGAAGCTAAGCTACACAGTTGATACCATAGAAACATTAGTCTCAATCACATCAACCAACCAGTTTCAGTATCAAGAATCCACAACCTTTCCAAAATAATAGCAGTTACCTTCAATAAATCGTATCTTCGTTTGACCGGAAATAAACAACAAGTACATACACAAGGTACAAACATCCTGGTCTAGAGCTGTCGTCTAAAGCACTTGGCAAGTACTGACTACTTGTTGTTCATTTCAAAGCAATGGAAAAAATCAGTCGGTCAATGTGTGGGTACCGCTGAATCAGCCGCCTACTAGACCTGCGTCCAGGCACGCCGTTTAGATTGCCAAACTAAACAATGCCCTGGAAGCACCCATGACTTAAACTGTTGTGGATAGTGGAAGCAATTGATAGCGGAAGTGGAAGGGTTTTTTTTTGTTATTGACGCTGATGCCAGAATAATCGGAGTATATTTTTTCAAAAAAATAAAACCTACAAAAAAAGAGTGCTTACTTTTGTACGTGTCAGCCTTTTCTTTTTTATACTTTTACATTCACTCAATTGGTTTCCTTTTGTGAAGCAATTCATGCAAAATATTTCCGATAGAAGTGATGAAACGAGCGCACGGTGTTTAAAGTAATTGTTTTTTTGATAATCATTCTATTTTTTTTTTGGAGATTCTGACACACTTTATAGGGACTACGTGCATTTCGTGGAGGAAAATTATGACAAAGAAGGTTTTTTAAGAGAATTTTACACTTTTGGTGGATGGGAACTTGAAGAGCGTTCTATTGCAGAAAAGCAATTTCAAGCTGTTGTCGGATCTTTGTTGACTCAACCACAACACACGTGTTACTCATGGGCGTTAGAAATCGTAACCGATCGGTATGCCGTAAGTAAACATATTTTTTGTTTTCTGGTCATCTTGCTATGAGCTTTTATTTATTGGTCGTATTGTATAGATACTCAATTCAACGGATACTGAGAAATACTGGGGAGAGCGTGCCATCGCAGGTGAAGTGATCAGAAGAACCGAAGAAGGGGTCGCCAAAACAAGCCAACAATTGTTCAAACGAAAAACTTACGACTTGCGTGATCGAAATTCTGTTAAACAACCACCACAACAAAAACGTCGACACGCCGAGGTATGTTTATTTTCATTTTTTATTGGCACTGTGCTACCAGATAAGAGGAGTAATATATTATTACACCTTTTTTTAGATCGAGGAAAATGATGGATTGCACTTTGATGGCTTGGATTCTTCACTTATGACGGTGATTTCAAAGAAAGCGGCAAAGGAAGAAACTGAAACAGTTAAAGGGAGATATAAAAAGGCGTATGTATCATTTCTAGATAATAATTATGTACGATGAGCCTATGGTAAGGTGTGCTAACATAAAATCTATAATTAGCATTTCAATGAATAACGTTATTGATGTTTTGGATACCTTAAAAGATGGACAGCTTCATACCGCAATCAAGGACGATAATATTATTAACATGATCATCGAGTCACTATCATTTGATCCAAAAATAAAACTCATTCAATGCAGCGACATGACCATGATCGTAAAGGTAAAAAAGAACATGTTGTTTATAATTTGAGCTGCGTTACATCTTCTCTATGTGTTACATCGTTTCTAATCTGTGTGATTTAATGTCTTTAGGATATCGATTCAAACAAAAAAGTCAAGAGGGCTCTGAAGAAAATATACAATAATTTAGTCAACAGCAAGGGATCGCAGGCGTTGGTAACACGTTTATTTTGTCATGTGTACGTAGATTGGTTTTTTACTCATGTTATTAAGCTATTAAGTATGACGCTAATGACTGTTTAATAGTGTTGAACTTCATGCATATGACAACCTGGTTTTTCCATGCTGGAATCATTGAATAATTATCTGAATGCTCTTACATTGTTAAAATTTGGGGACCACTTATTGAAAAAACCATGGCGGGTACTGATATTCTTACTCAATGGTAGATATTGGCTTTTATTGATTGGGTGCAGGTCAGAGTGCATAATCGCTTACTTTAACTTTATCAATTTTAGGGGCGACACTGTACCTGAGAATTTTAAAGGCAAGAACAACCAACAAATTAAACCCAGAAAAATGGATTTGAGGTTGATGTGCATGGCAACCGATGTTGGTTCCGCCGACTTAGGCGTGGGGGAGTTTGCGAAATCGATCCAATCCACCAAGTATCTCACTGACAAGGCCAAAATGATAGTGTGCAACAAAGCACAGTTGAATACATTTGTCAAGATTTTGAAGCCGACGGAAGAAGATATTAAGGAATTGGCATTGCCCATGGTACAAATAATGGGTATGGTTATAGTTTATGATTAAAAAAACTTTTTTGCCTCTTGCTTCATTGATTTCTAATTTTCCCAAGATATTTAATCGAATAGGGTTGCAGGCAGAAGTCTCAACAATAAGACTGGTTTCAAGTGGAGCTTATGTAATTCAGAAGGTGAGAACGTGCACTCTTGATGGAGATCCTACCAAACTACCTACATCGATGGAATCAGTTGTCCAGCTACTTCATTGTGTCAAGGTAATTTCTTTTTATTTTGCTCTATTTCAATTTATTTTCTTTTATTTCAGGACTAGTAGTTCTGATTCTCCTCTCAGATGCTAGCTACTCGTGTCAAGTATAAATTGGAATCTTTCACGAAATGCCCAAATCGCAAAGCAAGCATGGAATCATTTACCACTGCAAATACCACGAATGATACATCTACTACCAGTTGGATCAGAATTATCAAGGAAACAGGACTCAGTGAATAATATATTGAACAAATCAGATATTCATGAGAGAATGTATATCATAATAAAAAGTCTAGCAGTTGCTATATGAGTAAAATGAGGTGATGAATAAGAAGAAACCATAAGTCACTACATTTTTTATAAGTAACAAATTTGTATGTTGTCACCCCACAAACGATAATAAAATTCTCTCTCATTCACAAATCTCTCCTTTTCTTTTTTTTCCAATTATTTGAGAAAGCTGATCTTGTTGTTTTGTTTGTATAAAGTAATAATTTATAAATAGCTTTTTTTATTATTTTGGCCAGGTATATTATATGATACTTATTGATATAACAATCAAGATGATGAAATCGTAGCAATCATTTGCATATTTCAACCTTCATTTAAGCAACTATTAGAGGGGGACAATTGCCATCGCTATACATGTCGTATAAGGCTAGGTTGGGAAGCAACCAAAAGGATTGTAGCAATCTGACTGCTTGCTGAAACTAACTAATTTCTTGTGCTTCTCCATCCAGTCAACATACTGTATAAGTAATATAATACGAAAAAGTCATGCTGTAATGTAAATATCAACCTCCCCCTGCCTCACTTCGTTCGGCTAAATGAGCCCCTTCGTTTCGCAGTGTTCGAGAAGCAAGGCTGTATCAGAATTTTTAATGTTATCATTGCTAATTATATAGAATTATATCTAAAAGTTTAAATAATATATTGTTATTTTGTATCATTTATCACCCAAAACCCGGGCTATTCTAATGACCGAAACACATAGTACCAAAAAAGGGTAACTATTTTTATCTCGTAAAGGGCCTTTTCATTTTTACTATGAGATGTATATTTTTTAATGATATGACCAGTTGCATTTGGCTGATTCAAGCTTTCTTAGCTCAATTTCGTTCAGGTAGTCTAATTTGAAAATGTGTCCCATTTTCTCGGTCCTATCTTGTATGGCGAACTTCAACTTTCAACGCTGTACCTTTTTTTTATGTCCATGTTCGGAGCAACTTTATGATGAGTCTTTGCTTATGTCTTTTTGCGTAGGACTTCCCTGTAATCTTTACTTTGAATTTTTTATGTACCTTTTTAATGTACTCTATATTAGAGACATCATATATGCTAACTTTTATGATTCTTATCCGGATATATGAGTAAAATCACCTTTGTGTGTACTGTTTTGCAACACCTTGTTATGCTCAAATTATATAGCTGTGGATTGTGTACCAAAATATATTTATGGCATGATGAGTCACCAATACGTTTTTCATAATAAATTCCAATAATCCTCGACCCTACAAGCATTCTCTATTTGCGCTTCTTTTGAAGTGCATAGAAGTCGTGAGGATGTTGTAGCAAGAGTTACAATCTATAGCCGCCTTCAAAATTTAATAATTCTGCCATCAATTTAAAATTACAGCCGCCACTGGAGTTTCCCTCACCGCCAATCAAAAGACCCCCAGCGCCATGATGAAAAAAAATGCCCTGCCAATCATTAGGAAAAATCCTGTATAACCAACCCCTTGTTGGCTGAAATGTCATTGTATTTGTCGGACCACCAACATGCCAAATAAGCAAGAAACAGAAGCAAATCTACAGGTTTAAAAAAAAAAGAGAGAGAGACAGAGAGAAACAAGGAGAGACGTCGTGCTGCACTGATGGGGGCGGTGTCGAATGCGGGGAGTAGAAAAAAGCGAAAAAAAAAAGATTAAAGAGCCCTTGCATACAAGGATCAGACGAAATTCTAGAGGTCTAGAGGAAGGTATCGATAACTCTTGCAGCAATTGTGCATAACAAGAAGAACGTTAGATATACAACAAAGAGAGGGAGACAGGAGGAGAATGGCGAGTACTGTGACGGTGCAGTCGAGGTAGAGGACGAAAGAATAGAATGCGTGCGTTGATGTGCAAATAAGCGTATGTACTTATGTTAATTAGAGGAAGTGTGTATATATATGAATCGTAGCTAAACTCGGTATGACGCTGCTGCTATTGCTGCTGTCGGTGACGACGTTGCTCTAAGCGCTTCATTTCCTCTTGGTGCTCTCGTTTCATGTATGCTAGTCCCAACGATTCGACGGAGGAAATGACGAAATAGCATAGCATCAATGATAAGAACACATTCCAAGCAATACCAAATAGATTGGTCTATGATAAATAATACGTCAGAAAGCATTTCCTCCAGTTTTCTTCTTCTTCTCCTTCTTCATCATCCTGCTAACTCATCCTGTCATTTCATAAACGAACCTGGTCATTCCCAAACTCATCTGTGGATTTCCCAATCTTGTGGGCTTGTTCATGGATCACTCTCTCCACAACATCATGCAAAGCCGGGGCAGTTCGTTCCAGAGTATCCAAAAACGTATTTAATGCGTCATTTGAAAAGGCCAGTATCACAATCAAAGACTATGTTTGTTAATATCCGATTTAATAAATAGACATATTGTTAAATCAACCGGCGTGGATGCACATATTGCATGATTTTTTTCTACTCGCACTCTCTGTCTCTTTTTTAATCTCGATGGCATTTCTTACTGTTACGCAAGATGTAACATCCCACCCTTTTTACAAAAGAAAAACTTACCTGCAGGGACGCCTTGACGCATGCTTTACCAATAAACGTAGCACCAAAAAACGTGGCAAATGGTACCAAAAAATGCCCACACGTTATTCCTGCCAAATCAAACAGCGGATTTGGGATCGACGCAAACAACAAAATGCCAAAAAATCCAAGTCGTTTCATTGCATTATAGACAAGATGTGTCAGCTGTTCCTTGACTGTCCGGTGATCCGATGGTTTGTGCAGGTTGGCCTCAAAGTCGGCCAATTCATCGCTTTTGCCGCCTGAAAGTGCAACTGCTCTGGCGACAAAATAAGGCGGGAGCTCACCCAATGCTGTGCCTGCACCCCATGCAAAACTTTCCCATTGAATACGTCGGTAAATGTCCCATAATGATACGGCGGCTACGCTAACAATCGCTGAGCTGCTACTGCTGGGTGAGATAGTAGTGCCGTTCATATGACATTGTAACCGATAACTATACATAAGTAATATGTCTTAAGTACAAACATCCGACATCAATGATAGATTACGCAGCGTTTATGCTCGGACCCATATATGATATATGTGCTATCGTTTTCATATTGTTACCTGGCTCCATCTCTTGTTAATAAATCTGCCCCCTGGCATTCATAAGCCGCCCGTGTCACTTCAGCAATGTAAGGTCCCAGGAAAAGTAAAAATGTATGTAATCCTGTTCCCAGCCCGAACGCCGAAGCGATTCCTAATAGAACCCAGTAGCCGTACCACACACCTATCCGCTGCATCTGCTGGATGACCTGTACATTGATTAATACGAGAAACTTACTATCAGCTTAACATGCATCATGCATCACTGCCATGCAATAAAGTCCTCCTCCTTTTCATAAACTGTATTATACATTTCTGCGCGTGAAACTATGTATCATATTACCCTTTGATGCGGCCCTTGGATTTGATAAGCGACATAAATCATGCCTGCCAAACTTATCATTATGCCAAGCGTCGGTCGTCCTCTACCATACAGGTACATGACGGCCGATCGCACTTCGTAGTAAACGTACATTACAAAGTAATGCCCGACCAACAGCGGGCTTGTGTATATTGACACTTTTTTATGTTGGTTCTCAATCTCGGCTTTACGGCGGATTATATAGTCTGTGTAATAGAGGCGTAGTTTTTCGAATTCGTGAGCAAATGACGCACAATGGTACAAACGCGCTAGAACAAAGCGGAAAAAAACGCTGGTCAATCTCGTTACCGTCAAACTTTTCACCAGGGGCAGCTCTACTAGATCGTCGACGCTGGAGCTGTGAGCTGTTCGATCGTGCGGTCGTCGAAGACGCCATTGTGTACGTGTACAAGTGTATATGTCAAAGGAGGAGTAAGTGCAGATTCGTCGGTGCGTCTCTGCTTATATATGTGAAGAGAGAGAGAGAAAAGAGAAAGAGAGGTGCCCGGTTATGTTAAAGCGCCTTGCTTTTTGGTTTAGCACTATGAAAGAAAAACGAGTATCACAAAGGAGGAGAACAAGCTATTGGGGCATTATGCTGGTGTGTGATATCGGTCTCCCAGCTTCATTCACTATGACCAATTCACGTGCTTGCCCTTCTGCCGTCGGTGTTTGCGGGTCCGCATATCACGGATATTAAGTTGTGTATACCACAAGGTAACCTTTAAGCAGAAGGCAATACAGATATTTCAGCGTGCTTGAGATAGTATAGGTAGCAAATAGTAGTATATAGCTACCATATGGATACCCTATTCGCTGCAGGCCCAGGTACCTGGATTTCCTCTCTCTCTCTCGTTGATGGGGCGGGGGTTATTCTGTCATTGCATAGGCTGTATCACACTTTGTCATCCATCAAATTCGCCTTCTTCCACAGTTCCACATTCATGCCTGAACGATAAAATCTCGGGTATCTTTGGTTTGATAAAGAGGTAACAGACTACCGATAACCAGGGGCACTTTATTAATTACCTACCCCTTTGCCTCTTCCACATCCATACATTTCGATCCTGCGAGCTATCCGAAATAGGCAATTCTGGTCCGGGACAGCTGGCAGACAGTTTAAGTGACACAGACATGCTTGTGATTGTTTTAATATAAAGCATAATACTTGACAAACTTGTATGTTTAGTAACCTGTCATAACTTTATAGCTAAAATGGCCTCGTCGTTGCTCTTTCTTGTCACGTCTTGTTAGCTGGGACACCAATCAACAGCATCAAATGCTTGCTCAATAAATATGTATTAGAAAGGTCTCTAGAAATCGACACATAACCCATCATGATTATATATCGAACATTGTAAAATTTGTTGAACCATTTTTTCGCTATTCCACGGAGAGTAATTTTTACTACTATTTATTGAAAGCTACAGAGCGCGTATGTGCAAGCAACTCAGTTGATAAGTGTGATAAGACGAAAAAAAGAAAGAGGGAGATTAACAGCTTTACGGAGGTGTAAATCTAGCTCGACAATTGGGACATGTTAAGTTCCAGGCCTTGATACAATGGAGATGATACTGATGGGAGCAGCCTAGGGTGGTGACGTCGTGTATATTCTCATCCAAAGCCTCTAAACAAATTGTGCAAAGAAGGTCTTCAGTAGCTGCTGTCAAGGGCTTAGCTTCGATACCAAGTCTTTTCCACATGGTCTGTTTGGCTGGATTATAACGCTGGTATTGGTCATCCGGCGTCACTTTTGTCCATCCCGAGCGATAACGAGTGCCATCGTACTTGATACCATGAATGCGATAATGACATCGGACGAATCCAAGTGTAACTTGCTTGACGTTAGTGCTGCTGCAGTTGGGACAAGGCGTCAAGGTATCGTTCAGCTCAAAAAGACCAAAGCGCTTCATGCAAATCACTAGATAACCGTCGGTGCATTTACAACGAACTTCGACGTTAGTGCCTGAAGTAGCCATTCGTCCTTGTGGTGCAGTTTTGGAGAAAAACAATTTCTGGCGGTTGCTGTCGTTGGACACGTCTGCAAACGGAATAGGTGCAATGAAATCGCCGCCTCTGAGGCGTGGTACAAGGTGTAGTGTTGATTCATTTTGGATACGATAATAAGCAAGTGTTTGGTTTTCTTGCAGTTGCTTTGTCATGTAAACCATACGCTGCTGATCCCCTGGAAGTCCAGTTTTTGCCTCCATTATCTGCTTCAAGTCGCTGACGGTCTGATCCAGCCGTATGCGGCAGACCGTCGTTTTTCCAGTAAGCGTCACGACAAAAAGCTGCTTGAGATTCTCCTCGAGATAATTGCCCGTGCACAATTCTTCCTCATCATTGGCTCGAGATAATGTCGATGGAAGCAAAAGGTGGATCGTTGTTCCAGCTTTGATGTTGTATTGGCTGAGAAAGTACTCCGTATTTTCCAGCTTGATTCCTTCAACAAAGAGGTGGAGCTGGCCGGATACCAGTGGTGGAAAGCTTTTGATGCGCTGCAAAATGGCCCACTGTAGCTGCTCCACAGTATTGCTCGGCCGCATGTTAAGATCAAAGTGGCTACCAACCGCTGTAACTATATGTACATTGATGGATTCTTCGTCGTGTTCGAAGTCATCGCTGCCGTCATCCTCGTCGTTATCGTTGGCCAAAGTGACCGCCTTTTGTTGAAGAGAAGCAGTGGCTTTTATTTGATAAGTCAACACATCACCGAAAAGACTGTACTGTCGTAACGATTTGGAGCAATCATCGATAAAAAGGCCATCGATGTAAAGGAAGCTTTTGGCGAATGGAGTTGATGATGATGGGCCGTTTCCTAGTAGTTCGGTTCCAGAAAGTTTGTTTGTCACGCGATCCAACGTGTATGTCAAAGGTTCGTCTTCTCGGTAAGGAACGTCTACCGTTAACCCAGAAAAATTTGCGATGAGGACAGACACACGCTTTGGAGGTTGTTCGATCATTATCCTACTGAGATGGGAGAAAAAGCAAAAGTATTTATCGAAAGAAAAAGCAAAGGTAGGTTCATTTTTTTATCTTTTTCTTTCATACAACCGGAGTACTGTAGTGAACTCGATATATCAGTTTTCAGGATCAGTGATACATTATACAATCATTGTAGGGGCTCTTTGTACAAGTGTCTATCCAGTTTCAGATATGCATCATATCATGCAGCTGGTATTGTGAGTCTACTTCTTGTACGTAGCCGGAAATTCTCTTTGACTTAGTAAGATACTTACCAGGGCGGCTGGTGGATATTCCGTTGTTGCAGCGATGGAGATTTTGGACCTGCTTTTCTGAGTCAAGTAAACAAAAAAGATGCTGCTATTCTTGGAAAAGTATAATGAGAAAGATTGCTACGATGAACCGTGCGGTTACTTTTGCAAAAGCCAGATCGATTTATATACATACAGCTGTAAGAAGGCTGTGTTGAATTAAAATGAAATACTTATGATATAAATAGAAAAACATAGTGTATCTTTTCCGGTGTGTGGAAAAGCACATTTCCTTTGATTTATCATTTTTCTTTCTTCTTTCTACACAAAGCCGCTTAATTGCACATTTGATTGGAATCGTCTTTTTTGAAGGTAGCTTGTGAGCCTCTTTTCTCTTTTCAATGCTAGTACATATATATGCCTTTAAACATACAAATTTAACGTACTTTGTTGGGATCATTTTGAGCTAAATGCCTTTTTGAATGGCCTAACAGTCCCGTTAGTCAATAGCTTTTACAGTACAGTAGATTAAGATTGAAAGTCTTTACTAGCCAAGTCATCCGCAAGGATTTACGTATTACACTTTAGCTCATGTGCGTACTACTCAGCATCAACATTTTCCCTAGCATAAAATTCCGTGTAAACCCATAATTGAAGGCAACCAGCAAAACGCTGGTATATACAAAAATGTAGATATTGTAAAAGGCAGTTTTCAAGCGACTTGTAGGACTAGTTGCATTGTAGCTCTTCATGCATAATACTGCCCCAAAAGCAGTCCATGGAATTTGTCTTTATATCAGAGTTCAGTCTTGTATCTTGGGTGGCCTTGCTCAAATCCACGGAATTACCATTAACATCTAACTGACAGTAGCTATGTCCTCTTGTTCAAGTCGTTTATATTTCCAGCCTTTGATGCCATCTGCTCCTCAACCTTGCTTGAAAAAGACTTATAACTTTTAAATTAGATATGCTGCACAATTGGACCTAGGGATCGGGTTTCCATTTTCTATATCCATCGACTAGATATAATTCAAAAGTTGTCAGTAAAAGATCATCTTTTTGATATAGCCATAAATAAAAATCAGTTACATAATTTAGTACATTCCTCAAACACAACGTGTGCGTAAGTTCAAATGTACATTTTATTTTTATATTTTATGGAAGACTTAGTGACCTTGCGTAATCGGTCGCTATCCTTGCGATACAATTACGTGAGAATATTCACAATTGAGGGATACCACAACTGAAAAAAACCCCGTATGGTGGTATGTAAAAAATTTCGGTTGAGAAGAAACTGCGGATGGTTGCAATCGAAGGCAATAGTCTCGGGAGACTAAATAGGAGACTTAAAGTAATTAAAGAAGAAAAAGGGGACTGAGAATGAGAACGATAAGAAGGACACTCTGGAATATGCTGTAAGGACAAGTATACGCGTATGTGTGTCTAGAGGACGGCATCCTTTGGGGCAGGTTCTGGATCCGATGCATCATAGTCAACATCTGGATGGCTGAGGCGGCCTATTTCGCGCAGGTCACGGAGCAGAGTCGGCCAGGCTTTCTTCCATCTGCCACTCAAGAGTTTGGCATCAGAGCGTGGTAGATGATGGTTTAGAACGTAGTCCAGTGGTCTTGCACATCGTCGGGTTGTAGCTCTGGAAGTGGTGCGAAAGCGTAACGTGCGCGGTAAGAGCCATGGCTGTCATGGTATCGGTGTAGTTTGGTATGATTGCATATACTTGTTTCTTTTTCGCTTCGTTTGTTACTTCGTCATACCATGATGACCATCACGGAACTGAACCGAGCACAGCTCGCCGAAAGATCCAAAAGGCTGTGAACAGCTGGCGCTATTTGGCTTTTATAAATAGTACGGCCTGACTACATGATAGACTTTTCTGATTCAAAGTGTTCTCAAGGTTCTGAGCATATACGCCACTGTTGTCTGCTTGTATGCAGAAAAGCTGCATAGTTGGCATAAAGAGACAGGAGGGGTCCTGGCTTGAAGGTAACATCCCAAGCTCTGACTCCTTTTGCTGCCTTTTAGATAAAAAAAGGTTGCTTTCTTGTGTCTATTGTGCTGAATACGCATCGTCTGTGCTAGATTCCATGTTGTCTTTTGTGCCTTTTTGAGCCTCACGGTGCCTACAAGGACTATTTTGGGCGTCTGAAACGCTCAAAAAACTATATAACCGTGAAAGAAGGTGTCTTGGGGAGACGCGAGGTGATAAGAATAATTCTATATATGCTGTTATAGAATGAATGTCTAAAAAATAATTATATGCTATCGATATATCCATGGTCAATCTCAAAGGGTACCACCCAAAAAAGGCAAGCAAATCGGGCGGGGCCAACTTTTGAATGTCGCTGACTTCAGTGCACTTGCGCTTGCAAAACCTCGCTTGCTTTGCCTAGACGTGGTAACTCCGGGGACGAAATGAACAGCATCAACAGCATCTCCCAGCAAATTCTCTCCAAGCTCCCACTCTACCGCCTCAAGGGTAAGGCTTCTATTTTCTGGCTGTTTCCATTGTAGAAAAACAAGGCAAAACGGGAGATAAATCGCATTTTTTATTTCTAAACGATATAATATATTAAACATACACGGCCAACAAAACTTTATATTCACTAATAGACCTCATCAAGGCTGTACGAGCTTGTAAAACAGCAGCTGAAGAACGAGCTGTTATCCAGAAAGAAAGCGCCAATATAAGAACTGCATTCAAAGAGGAACACACTGACACGCGTCATGCCAACGTTTCCAAATTATTGTACATCCACATGCTAGGCTACCCTGCCCATTTCGGCCAGATGGAGTGCCTTAAGCTGGTGGCTAGCCCCAAGTTTGCCGATAAACGTCTCGGTTATTTGGGAATCATGCTTCTGATTGACGAAAAGACCGAGGTACTGACATTAGTCACTAACAGCTTGAAGAAGTAAGTTTATGAAGAAAAGCCCCCGACCCTCTTCTGTTCCATTATGTGTGTCCGCGCGTTTAACAAGATATGCTTTATTAACGCTATCTTCTCTCTTTATATCTCTGGACATAAAGTGATCTCAATCACAGCAACATGTATGTTGTTGGCCTCGCGCTCTGCACGCTTGGCAATATTTCATCCTCGGAAATGGCGCGTGATCTTTGCTCTGAGGTGGAGAAGTTGTTGGGAAGTTCGAACACGTACATCCGAAAGAAGGTCAGTCTTGTTACAATATATTATCAGAGTCACCATAGTGTAAGAAGTGATGGTGGCAATGTGCTTAATTTACTGGTGTTTTTAAACAACAAATAGGCAGCATTGTGTGCCTTGCGTATCGTGAAACGTGTTCCCGAATTACACGAAAATTTCCTCTCGCGAGCAAAGACTTTGCTTAACGATCGTAGCCATGGCGTGCTCATCACCGGCGTTACGTTGGTTACCGAAATGTGCCAACAATACCCTGAAAATATTAATATCTTTAGAAAGGTATGGCTACTATTGAACCCTTATGTTTTTGTAAAGGAAGTTGCAGGGAGCTTAATAGAAAGAATATATCCGCTTTCCTACATCAAATTACATATAGGCGGTGCCACTCTTGGTTCGACATTTGAAGAATCTTGTCAGTGCAGGTTTCTCCCCTGAGCATGATGTCACCGGCGTGACCGATCCATTCTTACAAGTCAAGATCCTTCGTCTCTTGCGCATCCTCGCCAAGAATGACCAAGAAGCGTCTGATGCCATGAACGATATCCTTGCTCAAGTAGCAACCAATACAGAAAGCACAAAGAATGTCGGCAATGCTATTTTATACGAAACAGTGTTGACCATCATGGATATACAGAGTGAGGCAGGTTTGCGAGTGCTTGCCGTTAACATTTTGGGTAAATTCTTGAGCAACCGCGACAACAATATTCGGTAAGCTTTTTCTTTTATTGCATCCAGTATAAGCGCTTGTAAACACTGGATTTATTATGGAATCAGGTAGCTGATCGGGGCACACTTAATGAATTTTCGCTCTTATGGTAGTTATGTTGCTTTGGAAACGTTGAACAAAACTGTTGGAATTGAGACTCAAGCAGTGCAGCGACATCGAAACATTATTCTCGATTGTTTGCGTGACGGCGATATTTCGATCCGTCGACGTGCTTTGGAATTGAGCTTTGCGCTCATCAACGAAAGCAATGTACGAGTGCTAACCCGTGAACTGTTGGCATTCTTGGAAGTCGCAGATACAGAGTTCAAACAGAGCATGACCACCAAAATTTCGCTCGCCGCCGAACGATTTGCTCCCAATAGCAGATGGCACATTGACACTATGCTGCGTATGCTCAAGCTGGCAGGCAACTATGTTCGTGAAGAAGTATTGGCCAACTTTATCCGTCTCATTGCGCAAACAACACAACTGCATCAGTACACTGTCCAAAAACTGTATGCTGGACTCAAGCAGGATATCTCTCAGGTAGAGTAACCCGTTTGCACGGGCGTAGAGAAGGGGGATGGTGAAACGAAAGAAAGGCTAATTTATGCTTAACTTTAACTACTATAGGAAGGATTTGTGCTTGCTGGTGTCTGGGTGATTGGTGAATATGGTGATGTTCTGGTCAGTGGCGGAGGTTTTGAGGATGAAAACAAGACATTAGAGGTAAGAAGGAACTTTGTAGTAAAGAAGAAAATAATGGCCACGGTTATGAACTCACCGAGATAATTGATCATGTGACAGGTCTCGGATGCTTCAGTTGTCGGCTTGTTAGACTCTATTTTGATGGGTCCCTATGCAAACCAGCTCACTCGCGAATACGTGTTGACAGCTTTGATGAAGCTCTCATCGCGTTTAAGCGATTCCGAAGTACAACAACAAATCAAGCACATTCTGCATCAGCATTCTACGAGTATGGAGGTTGAAATCCAACAGCGTGCTGTCGAATACACCCAACTGTTTTCCTTTGACAACATCCGTCCTGCCGTTTTGGAACGTATGCCTGTACCTGAAGGACGAGCTATCATTGAATCCAGTGAAGCTGGTCCAAGCAGTCCTGGTAAGTTTTTATTAGTGTAGATAGTGTAGAGATGAAAGATGATGAGAAGCTGATAATTGCTTGTTGATAGCACCTGGACAGGGACAACAAAAGAGCGGACCCAGTGATCAGGATGTAGGTTCTTGTTACGGAGTTGTAGGGATAACCACTCTAGAAACTGTATACTTATGAGAAACTCGTTTCTTTTTGCGCGTATAGCTACTTTTGGATCTTATGGGCGTTGGCACAGCATCTGGTGGCGATCAACAATCCGAGGAGCCATCTGGATCTGCATTGGCATCGCCTGAACCACAGTCCAGTGCAGCAGCATCACAGCAACAGCCCGCTCAAAGCATGGATCTATTAGCAGATATTTTCGGTGGGGGCAGCTCATCTTCACCAGCAACCGACAATAGCGCCGCTTCACCCGTCCCACCATCGTCCTCCTCGAATAGAAACGCATTAATGGATCTACTCGGTGGTGATGTACAACCACAACAGTCTTCTACACCACCCCCATCGAACTCTAGTCCTGATCCATTGGCATCGCTTGGCTTTTCTATGGATGCTTCATCACCTTCTGCTCAGCGTTCAATTTCACCTGCATTTAGCGGTGGAGCTGCCAGCCCTGCCGCTGCGTCTAGCAGTCCAACACCACCCTCTTCTGCATCCGGTGGCTTCCAGGCATATGCAAAGAACGGTTTGGGAATCCACTTTGTTCCAGCAAGAGACCGCAACAACGCCAACATTATCAATGTACAAGTCTTATTTACGAATAACGCAGATGGTAATATCTCATCGGTGCAGTTTCAAGCAGCTGTGCCAAGGAGCCAAAAGCTACAAATGGCACCCGCCAGCAGCTCTACTGTACAGCCCGGTGCTACTGAGAAGCAATTAATGCGCATCAATAATCCCCAGCAGGTAACAAATCGAAATATAAAATAATCTTCTGGTGTGATATAAAAAACATTGTACTCAATTACTTCTGTTTTACAGACTGCCGTTAAGCTGCGATTACGTATCTCATACGTGCTTCCAACCGGACAAAAAGTAGACGACCTAGCAGAATATGGACCTTTCCCTGAAAATGCTTTCTAATTCAACGAACAACACACTTATACAATTTTTTATTCCCCCATTCTTGTCCTCTCCCTTTTCTCCGTCTTTCTACAGCAAAAAAAAAACATGCGAATGTATTATTACTATTTTTTAAGATGTAGTTCAGGAATACACATCAAGCTGTAGGGGATGATATGGGTTGTTGGTAGTTGAGCTGCTATAATATCAAAGAGATCTGTTTTGCTTCGAGCAAACTTGGATGATCGACCGACATGCGGATCGTGTAGTACAAGATGGGTTCAACAACCTCGATATATGTATGCAGCTATATATGTCTTTTTCAGTCAATTCTACTATATAATTTCTTCATTGCATGAACACTAAAAATTGCAGCGTTGCGTCAACGCATCCAACACCAAGGTAAGGACCAGGAAGCGGGAAGGTCGACTGGTCTGCTCCTATGTGAATTGCTAAGATTGTGTGAAATATCCTCACATGCTATCCATGCTTAATATAGGCGAATTGTATACATGACGTGGATAGGAGGATACGATACAAATATTGCTATCAACCTATGCTTGTAGTGATTGTATAGCATTCGCCAGATAGCAGAAGTGTGATATTCATTGTCGATTACAGCGGCTATTAACCGTTCAACTTTACTTTTGATAAGAAGTTTACCAAGCCAACCTTTCGTGGGTCAACCGTCAGCTGTTTCAAAACTTCTCAAAGACTCTGGTGAAGCTATTTACGACAGACTACTATCCATAAGCCGCCAGATGGATAAGGTTGGAATATACCTTCTCATGTCCACTTTCTTTGTGGTTTAGTGTGCATCCACTGTTCCATATAGTGGACTGGACCGAAGTGATACTGTACTCTCAGCTCCTTTACATCTAGCTACGCTATTACGCTTGTAGTGTACTCAAAAGGGAAAGATTACAGTTCATAGGATGATGTACGCCCAATTGTCTACTGTAAGTGCATGATCCGAATAATTCAGCCGGCATCAATATTGAATGTCTAAAGTAAACAAAACTACTATTATGTACATACGCATCGAACATTATTACTACGCATAAATATTACGTCTGAAGTTGTCATTACCTACGCCATCATATTCTAAATACAGAACGCTAAAAGGAACATAACGGGAAATAACGTGATACGCTTTTCACGACTAGCTAAGTAATGAAGAAGCTTATATATATTATGGTTACATTAGACCACGCTACGTTGTGTTATTGCTATGACATAATCTTTGTGAAAGCAGTCTAATATAGCACGGTCCGTGATCTTCAAGTGCAACTATAAAGTACACAAACACGGATGCATCAGACGACAGCAGGGATAGTCACTACACGGATCAGCAAGGCTGCTTCCGACAAACGGGTTACTATACGAGGAGTTTATGTAGTAGTAGTAGTAGCAGCATGATGTTTTTGTTCTTTGAAGAACAACAGCGCGCTTCGGTTACTTAACAAAAAGGTTTTTTCAATCTAATCAAATTTTCTACCGCACATCGCCCCACTTGCTGATTGTTTTGTATATTGCTATAAGGACTATGCATTAATAGACAGGTAAGACGTTTACGAAGCATTGGCGGAGTGACACCGGGAGAGAGAGAAGCACAGGTCGGTTGTCGGAAGAAAAATCGGAGTGCAAGCAAACAAGCGGCGACTTGCCTGGTTCGGTGGTGGCGGGGAAGCTGCTGATGAAGGTGGCTTTTGAATTTATGACTCGAAGAGTGTCGTTTCATCCGACCCATCCAATCACATCTACAAACCCCACACTCCCTAACTTTGTGCCATTTGATCTGCTGCAGTTGCTTCAAGACCAATAGGCCAGAAGGAAAAGGAAGCCTTTTCCTCTAACCACCTTGCGCTAGCCACTCCATGGGTAACTTTTGTATCTAAGCTGGTTCTGCCTCAATCTGTTGCGACGTGTGCAAAAAATAAAAAAAGAGAGTTCTTTTCCGCTTGTGCTATATTTTTTTCCTCTGTTATTTTTGCATAAGGGCCCGTTTTTTTTCCAGTCTTCTTTGCACTTCTTTACTTTCCTTGTAAATATTCTATAGACCCTGTTTTTCACTTTCTTCTTTACTCTTCTTTCCGTGCCGTTGCTTGTTTTTTTTTTATAGAACGTTCCACCCTTTTGTCTTTTTATCCCAATAATATCTACCACTAATACTACTGCTTTAACCGACGCAACACCACAACGCACTACAACAAAGAAAAGTCATGTACTATTACAATCACAACGACGACAACAGAAACAGCAACCACGATAATAACCACCATTCACAAAATGACGATAATGACTTCAATAACACCACCTCTAATAATAATAACAATGACGATCCGTATTTAAGTCATTCGCTGGACTCCATGTTTCGCTCACAAAACCAGCAAGATTGGTCCACCAACAATAACGACGATACTTTTGCCTCATACCTCTCGCTTGGATTGCATGCCCATTCACTCGACTCACCATTCTTCAATGACGCGTTTGGGCAATTTCCCCTTGCGACAACTACGGCAACGGCTGGGGATTGGGATGTCCTTGGCGACCAGCAGCAGCAGCAGCAGCAGCCACTGCAAGACAACGATAATAACGACAGCAGCAGCCACGACTTCTCAAAGTTTCAACACGGCCCAACAGATGACCTGCTCAACTTTAATGAGCAAGCGCAACAGGCTATTTTATTATCAGATCCAAACTTCGTACGGCAGCAACAGCTTTTGCAGGAGCAGCAGAAACAAATGGAACTGCGGATGCAGCAAGAGCAGCAACAAGAGGATACCACCATTGCCACTGCTGGCACTGCAAACACTAGTGACTCTACTATTTCTACTTCGGCACCGGTCCGGTCGAATCTATCCGCCATGTTTGGTCACGCCACTCTACAGCAACATCAGCAACAGCAATCACCAACAGAGCAGCAACAGCAAGTAGCAGCTGACACTAATACTGCCGCCCCTTCCGCCTTTGCTGCCGCTGCTGTCGCTGCTGCGACTGCCGCCACCACCGTTCGTGCCAAAAAGCCCAGTGCTGTTAAAAAGGATTCGACCAACCGACGATCATCTTCTTCAACGGCGTCATCCAGCAGCAGTAGCAATAAACGTAATACAAACCCTGTTCCCAACTCCTCATCTTCCGCATCCAGTGAAGTCGACCATCAACGACGGTTGAACGAGCTGCAAGCCCGGTTCCGCGTGAATTATGCACGGAAGCCGAATCAACGAAAACAACAACAGCAGCAACAGCAACAACAGCAGCAATCGCAACACCAACAACACCAACAAGCCATCTTGGGTACGTCGTTCGAACCTTCATCATTGCCCAATTTTTCATCCAACCATAACGCACAGGCAGGCCTGGAGCGTAGACGATCGGCGTCGATCACAGTGGATCCGCCGCAACGGCAGCAGCCAACCATGCGGATTGGACGTATGCCACGTGCTCCAGTAGTTTCCACAACAAATTCATCTACAGCAACAAATGCAACTAATGCAACTCGCGTCACTGCACCGTCATCTTCATCGTCATCCACTGCTGTTTCGTCAACAGCCACCACCAATGCATCTACAAACACGACCGCTGCAATTGTGACAGGAGCAACAGCAAAAACTAATAACTCGTCAACTGGGGCAACCACCACCGCGCCATATCCATCTCGCACCATGCCTATTCAAATCCAGCGCGTTGCACGATCCAATGGGCCGTTGCAGTTGGATAAGGAGCAACGTCAACGCAAACTAGATGAACAGCTGGAAAGGGTCGATTTTGATGACATCACCGTATCCGAACTCAAGGAAATGCTTCGGCAACGTGGTCGTCCTGCAACGGGCAAAAAAGCTGTACTGGTACAACGGTTGCTGGATGAACGAGAATTGATCAAGGCTATAAAGAGTGGACGTGCTCCAGCATCATTGCTACAGCAGCAGCAACAGCAGCCTCATCATCACCATCACCAGCAAAATCAACGTCATTCGCTTCCTGCAGGTGTCGATATTCCATTATCATCTTCAGCAACATCCTCGTCCATGATGGGAACAACAGATACTGGTCAGCATCTGCAACAGCATGCATCATCCGTGCCAAACGTATCTGGTTTTCCGCCACCACCACCAGGACCAGGATCACCTGGCAGCTCATTGAATCGGTCCATTGCAAATATGCACATTGGATCACCGCCGATACAATCACGAAGATTTGCTCCTTATTCACCAACGACGCGCACCATGGGATCTCCAAAACAACAGCATCAACAGCAATTGTATTCGTCATCGATGCCTATTAATAATTATTTGACGCCCATGGATGAAAAGCCTAGAGTAACAACAACAGCAGCAACAACAACTCAAAGATACCCACGACATAAATATGCACCACGCACGCCATCCGCTCTTGCTACACCCGATCACGATGAAGAGTTGAATCCGTTTGATCAGTATATCATGATGCATCAACAGCATCAACAGCAGCAGCAGCAACAGCAACAGCAGCAATTGCAACAAGAGCAACAACAGGCGCAGCCACAGCCGATTCAACAGCATCAGCATCAGCTGGATCAACAAGATATTTCAAGGGTTATGGATATGGAATGGGATCATTCGATTCTTGATACAGATTTCCCTCAGCAAGACGGAGGTACGTGCTTATTACTATATACTGGGGAAATATTAAAGGAGAGACATCAGGTTGAATGCTCTGCTAATCCATGAACGTATCTACAGGTCTAGATATCAGCAGACTTACACAAGAGGAGCTATTACAATTATTTACCTCCACGGATATGGCATTAGATAATACTTTTTTATGATAATCTCTTCATTCTTCTGTTCTTTCTTTTATCATGCAAGGCAACATTCTCCTTCCCAGATATTAACTCATTTTTTTCATCCCTTTTGTATAAAGCGCCATTAATAATAATGTTTACATCACTCGGGAAATCAAACACAATGTCACCATTTAGTTCCTTCGTTTGCTGACGGTGTCCAGTCACCAGTTTAATCGATTTTAAATTGCTTATCACCGTCACCATCGTCATTGAGAGGTCCACTTCTTCAAACCAAGAGCTATGCTTATAGACATGTTCATGTCAGCGCTTGACATGCTCAAGAAATCTGGGTGTTCATGGAAAACAAAGACACCAAACAGATATGCAAACAGGATTTCGTTCATGCACATCAAAGTTCCTGGCCCATTGACGCCTGCTATAGCCTATGTTTATACATGTAGAACAGAGGCCCATGTATGAGACGCAGATACAACGTTTAGTGACACTCATCGCTTTTTTTTCTCTTCCTCTTTCGGAAACCAGCTAAGCTATTTCTTTTCGATAGTACTATTATTTTTTTGGGGAACTTCCTGGTCGGAATTCATTTTTATTAAGTGTACAAATATACACAACTGCCAATCACATTGACTTCATATATTTGACCATGTACCCTTTGTCTATGACAACATCTGCTGGGACATACATTTTCTTATCCATTGCCTTCGTCCATCCATTTTATACGAACCACTGTAAAACTCTTGCCATATGCCACCCACAACAGCATATAGCACCAACTCACAAAAAGTAAACAAAAAAAAACTTTGGTACCACAAACAAAACACACCACCGTTTCCAACCATCTGCTTCCGTCAACTTACTGAGACTCCCGTTTTCTTTCTTTTAATTTTCTCTGATTCCTATCCTCCTGCAATCTCACATCCTTACCTTTTCTTATCTATACCTCTTTCATTCCGATATGTGTAGGCAAATAAAACTGACCCAAGGTCACCTACAGAAAAAACAACTGCCGATTATGTTACAAACATCATAATGTAGTGAATACAAGGAATTATGGCACACCAATGATATAACTATAGACACCCAGTTACTAGGGATAACTATACAGAACTTGTCCTAAGGATTACCATAAGTAATAGAGCTTTCATCAAATCAATAGAGATGGGAAACCAAGCAGCTGGATTCGAGCCAACAACCTCTGCCTTAACTACAGTAATGTCTTCAGGGCCTAGTGCCTGATAGTAGTATTATTTATAAATACTATGGCAACTTATTCAGTAATTGAACATCTGTCTGCGACTTAATTCTTTTTAAGCACTGAAATTGTTTCGCATCAACTTTATTGTACTTTCTTATAACAAAAAACTTGCCATTTCTTTGGGATTCAATTATTATGTAACAATTAATTTTATTGTAAACAATAAATTAATTTTTGTTGATGATCTCATATCAAGCGTTTACTAGGTAACTAATACAGTGTCAATCCAGTTGGTCTAGCCTTTGATTAATTATTAGAAAAAATTATAATATTTATTCATTTTTTATATATTTGGCAAATTATTAGGCTAAATCCCAGGTTGACTGGGGTGTGCTGACCACAGCATTTTTCGAACATTTATCCAAAAACCAATCGGCAACCCCTTCAGAAGCATCATCGACAAAAAATACCACCACCACTAATAATACTACCCCGAAACTAAAAGAAGGCGACCATAAGAAGTTTGACGTGATGTAGAGGAACAAATCATAGCATTTGTTCTCTCTTATAATAACAAAACATAAATGTTTTTGTTATTGGTCTAAATCTCATTATCGAGCCCCAAACGTTTCGAAAGTAAGTTTCTCAACCACCCCTATTTTATATTTACAAAATTTTTGTATTCATAAGAATTACAAAAATACTTAATAATTACAAATTTTATTAGGATTACAAAATTAAAAAACCATATTTATAAATATAGTTTTTAATTTTTAGACTTATTACATTAAAAAATATTATAATTTTTTAATGACCTATAAACCTTTTATTATCTTTTAACTATAAGTTATATTCCGTACCAAAGTCTCAATCGCAACACCTTTTGGACACTTAGTACTGGGACGGTGGTGGAAGATAAAGTTAAGGAGCTTGCCATGAAACTGTCCAACGAATAGTAAGTATTTATTCTTGATTGTTTTACCCTTCCTCTTCTTCTCTCGTACTTAATTTTTTGTTCTTTTCTAGCCCTAGTCATTCAATGATTTTAGACACTTCTGATCCAGTCTGGCTCGAGTATTTCACTAAGAGTGAATTGAAAGAAATAGAGGATGAAAAAAAAGTAACACTCTCAGAATTACCTAAAAGCATGCAAACATATTTGGATTGCTACAACGGCTTGGTAGGTTTCTTGTTTCTTGTTTTTTTTTTGCTTTAAGACATGTATAACATTTTTTTTGCAACAATAGAAAACATTGGATGAACTCTGGAACGAACATACGAAACATAGCCTCCACCCAATTCGTGATGCAGACCTTTACTGGGTTCATTCATCAGTGAGGAATGTGTTGGAGATCTTGATGCATGGCCTGCACAAAAAATTTAAGACCGAAGCTGATTATATGAAGAGAGCATGGTCAATAATTGACTGTTGTTTCGACAATGGAGACCTTGATGTTATTTCGTATGTATCTGGTGGTAAACATTGTGTATGGATTATTATGATAAATTAACTTGTCTGTTTATATTCTAATTAGCGGAGAATATGTCTCTAAAGCCTCTTCAACCCGAGTTAATCTCGATCGCTCCCTTGCTGCCTTATCTAGAAGAAAAATCGGTACAAAAACCGACATTCTTTTCACCACGGAATATTTGGAATTCGGCACTGTAGAAGCAGGAAAAATATCCGATGTCAACAGCACAAAAACACTATATGAAGCAGGCATGAAGCTGCCAAAAAACTTGAAAGATATGCTGTATGATCTTGTTTAGGAGTGTCCGTCGCAACTCATAAATATAAAGACATGTGGTATCATCATTTCTGGTATGTTAATTTACTAATTTGCAATATACTACAATTATTCTTCGTCCATCCAGTCCACTAATTCGCTTCCTCTTGCCAAAAGTAATTACTAGCATGATTGGAGTTAGCTTTCTATAGATATAATTGAGTTCAATACAAGCTAATAGTTTAGATTAAGTATAGAATATAGGGTTAATTAAAACTTAGAAAATATAGTTACTGACAAAAATTTATTTTGCATATTTTTTATTTTTAAAATTGAATTTTAATATACTAAAAAATAAAATATTAAAATACTAAAAAATAAAATACTAAAATACTAAAAAATAAAATATTAAAATACTAAGAAATAAAATATTAAAAAGGGAGCATATATAAACATCTCTAATTATAAGAAAAAGAAGAAAGTAATAAATGAAGATAAAAATAATAAAATAGAAATAATTGAAGCAAAAGAATATAATATAAAAACTAGAGAAACATTTTCTGACTATAATGTAACAAGTATAAAAGAATTATATTTTGCTTTAGAATATTATAATAAAATTTCTCTTGATGAAAATAAAAACTATAAGTATATAGATGAATAAGATCATCTTTTATTAAAGTATGAAAATTTAGAATATAAAATAAGAAAGATTAAGTTAAAATATATTAAAAGTAAGTAGTAATTATTATTACAATTGATAGATTTTAAAACTTTATTTTTTATTTGTTTTTTTCTAACTATATTATATCTTGAAATATATTATACAGGATTTTTCATCTCCTAGTAGACGTTTGAACTTTTATTTAGGCAGAGGGGATTTAATTTTAGGCAGAGTAGACATGAATGTTAATCTAAGTGGACATGAATAAAAGTTAATCTGGACATGAATAATAATTGATCTGGACATGAATGAAAATCGAGCTGGACATGAATAAAGATCGATCTAGACATGAATATAAAACGATCTGGACATGAATATAAATCGACCTGGACATGAATATAAATCGATCTGGACATGAGTAAAATCAACCTGGACAAAATAAAAATCAATCTGTACATAAATGAAAATCATTCTGGACAAGAATAATAATCAATCTAAACATGAATAATAGACAACCTGGACATAATAACAGTCAACCTGGACATAGTTTTAGTCAACTAAGACATGATAAAAGTTGAAGTAGATAATATATTAAGTGTAGCAGAGCAGAATATTTGAGTACTTAAGATTTTCAATTCAAGTCAAGATATAATAGAAGTTAAGCAGTACAAAGCCAATGTCAAGGAACACGACAATGGCTACTAAAATGTTATAATCCATGTTACAAAAAGTTATAGAGCAATATGTTCTTGACCAAGCAAATCACCCTTTGAAGTTGGACGAGTTCATCAAGAGCAAACGTCGGTTCATCGCGTCAATAATGGATCTTAGTAAAAATTATAAAGACTTGTGGTCTGCGCGTTTTGCAAAGATTGTCTGCAAACATAACTTGACTGTAGTGGGTACTTAAATATATATGACACAAAAAAGAGCAGTTTAATACATGTTTCAAAAGTTCACCGTTATTCATTTTTTATATATTTGGCAAATTGTTAGGCTAAATCCCAGGTTGACTGGGGTGTGCTGACCACAGCATTTTTCGAACATTTATCCAAAAACCAATCGGCAACCCCTTCAGAAGCATCATCGACAAAAAATACCACCACCACTAATAATACTACCCCGAAACTAAAAGAAGGCGACCATAAGAAGTTTGACGTGATGTAGAGGAACAAATCATAGCATTTGTTCTCTCTTATAATAACAAAACATAAATGTTTTTGTTATTGGTCTAAATCTCATTATCGAGCCCCAAACGTTTCGAAAGTAAGTTTCTCAACCACCCCTATTTTATATTTACAAAATTTTTATATTCATAAGAATTACAAAAATACTTAATAATTACAAATTTTATTAGGATTACAAAATTAAAAAACCATATTTATAAATATAGTTTTTAATTTTTAGACTTATTACATTAAAAAATATTATAATTTTTTAATGACCTATAAACCTTTTATTATCTTTTAACTATAAGTTATATTCCGTACCAAAGTCTCAATCGCAACACCTTTTGGACACTTAGTACTGGGACGGTGGTGGAAGATAAAGTTAAGGAGCTTGCCATGAAACTGTCCAACGAATAGTAAGTATTTATTCTTGATTGTTTTACCCTTCCTCTTCTTCTCTCGTACTTAATTTTTTGTTCTTTTCTAGCCCTAGTCATTCAATGATTTTAGACACTTCTGATCCAGTCTGGCTCGAGTATTTCACTAAGAGTGAATTGAAAGAAATAGAGGATGAAAAAAAAGTAACACTCTCAGAATTACCTAAAAGCATGCAAACATATTTGGATTGCTACAACGGCTTGGTAGGTTTCTTGTTTCTTGTTTTTTTTTTGCTTTAAGACATGTATAACATTTTTTTTGCAACAATAGAAAACATTGGATGAACTCTGGAACGAACATACGAAACATAGCCTCCACCCAATTCGTGATGCAGACCTTTACTGGGTTCATTCATCAGTGAGGAATGTGTTGGAGATCTTGATGCATGGCCTGCACAAAAAATTTAAGACCGAAGCTGATTATATGAAGAGAGCATGGTCAATAATTGACTGTTGTTTCGACAATGGAGACCTTGATGTTATTTCGTATGTATCTGGTGGTAAACATTGTGTATGGATTATTATGATAAATTAACTTGTCTGTTTATATTCTAATTAGCGGAGAATATGTCTCTAAAGCCTCTTCAACCCGAGTTAATCTCGATCGCTCCCTTGCTGCCTTATCTAGAAGAAAAATCGGTACAAAAACCGACATTCTTTTCACCACGGAATATTTGGAATTCGGCACTGTGGAAGCAGGAAAAATATCCGATGTCAACAGCACAAAAACACTATATCAAGCAGGCATGAAGCTGCCAAAGAACTTGAAAGATATGCTGTATGATCTGGTTCAGGAGTGTCTGTCGCAACTCATAAATATAAAGACATGTGGTATCATCATTTCTGGTGAGTTAATTTACTAATTTGCAATACACTACAATTATTCTTCGTCCATCCAGTCCACTAATTCGACTGACTGCTAGGTTTAAATATGCTTCCTATCGTTATGGATTGTCCTTGTGGTTGTGTCTCAAGGATCAATCGTCCAGCTCGGTTTTATCATTATCCATCGACTGCATCCAATTTTCTGAAGAACATCAAGTCCATCATCCGAGTCACTTACTATACAAAAAAAACAATGACTGACGTGTATGATTTATTGAGCGAGACTGAAGATGAAAACGAATATGGTTCTCAGCGACCTATTCTTCTACTGCCATCATTCATCCCAATAACAACAAAATCCGGAAAAAAAAAGAAAGACATCTAGTACCGAATCAGAAGCAGTACCAATTTAATATCCCATCATCGTTGTTTCTGGTGTTGGTATCTATTGCCTAGCTTACTTTTTTGTTCTGTAGCAATTTGTTTCACCTGCAAGCTGTTTTTTTACATAACATGAGTTCTCAAGAGGTATTGCCACCACTGGCGCACAGAATTCCCTACTAAAAATTGCCTGCTAAATCCATTTATTTGCTAAAATTAGCAGTTTTCCAAACCAGAGTTAGTCACTAACATTGCTAACTTTCAATTTAGCTGACTACCCCCTTTTGCCCAGAGGCCATTTTTCTGCCCCCATAAATCGATAGAAACACCTGCTTATCGTATGTCATCATATACAATGTGTAGTTGTTTTACTCTCAGATAATTTTGATACAGCAGCTTAAAGGTATGATCGTATGTATATAACTGGTAGGAAAAACATGAATGGGATTAATATACTACAGCTTATTATCTATTGATTCTAACAGACAGACAAATTAGGGTTACAAGCATTCTTTGGTAAGTTACACAAAATATATTAAGTTATATAAATTTTTTTTTTGATTTTTCATAAAATACTTATTTTCTTTTTCTTTATCAAAATGTTTAAATCAAATGAAACACTATTTCAAACACTTTACGACGATGAACAAGCTATAATCTATTTACAAAAGCAAGGACTTATAAAACCTTTTATTTGTAAAAAATGCGAAAAACCATTATCCATTGGAAAATATTATCAAAGATATCGATTTTATTGTTATCCAGATAATATTAGAAAAGGTGTATTTGCCGAAACATTATTTGAAAAAACAAATCTACGACCAATACAAATAGTAGAACTATTATGTCAATGGATGATTGGTATGTATCTTTTATAATATAACATATAGAATATTAATTTGTTTTTTATATAGATCCTTCTCCTATAAAAGTGTCTCTACAAATGGGAATCGATGATGAAACAGTTACACGATTATATTCAAAAATATGCTTTGCGATAAAAACATGGATCCTTAACAATCAAGAGTTATGGAAAAATGTAATTGGTAGATAAGATGAAATTGTTGAAATCGACGAATGCTGTTTTGGCAAAACAAAAATTACTACTGCAAAGCATAAACGATACAGAAAACATATGTAATTATTAGGCGGTTATCAAAGAAATTCAAATCTGTTCTTTTTGGTGCCTATTCAAAATTGAAAAATGTCAACATTATTACCAATAATCAAGGATCAAGTTTATCAAGGAACAACTATAATCACTGATGGTTTACGATCTTATACAAGCTTAAATAATATAGGATATATTCATAAAGCAGTTGATCATTCAAAATATTTTGTGGGTCCAAATGATTCAACAATACATACTAATAGTATAGAAGGTTTTTGGATGCATTTAAGAAAACATATGCCCAATATAAAAAAAGATTCTGAGCTATATACATTGTATTTTTTAGATTATGCTTTTAGAAAAAGATATCATCATAATTTGTTTGAAATGTTAAAAACAGTTATTATGTATTATAATGAAAATCAAATGAAAATCCAAGATCAATAAAAATACTCTTTATTCTATCAAATATTATATCCACATTTTTTAATTTATTGGTATTATTTTCACTTAATAATTTCTTTTCATACATTAATATATTGTATAACAATTGTAAACAATATTCATCTCTTTGAAAATTTTTATTAATGTTATTGCTATCATTATCTTCTTTATCATCATCTGAATTGCTATCATCTGAATTATCATTATCTGAATTATTATTATTTGAATTACCATCATCTGTATAATAACCATCTTCTAAACAATGTTCACAATATGTTCTATTACTATCTTCTTTTATATAGCATCTATTGTATTCAAAATTTCTACATTTATTATATCTTTTCTTTTTAGTATTACTAATATGAGGAGTACTAAGATTTGAAAGACTTCGTTTATTACTATCATTGTTATTATCTTCTATTTCACTATTATCTGTTAATAGCTCATTAATATTTTTTTCTCTATTATAATTCTCATTACTTACTAATACATCATTACCTTTTAATGAACTATCATCTGTAACAGATGGTGTTGATAAATTTTTTGTTTTATTGTTATTGTATTTTTTTCTTTTACTTCCTCTTCTTTTTGTTATTTTATAATATTCTTGATATTTTTCTTCTTGTTGACCATTTTCATTATTATATGATATTTCAAAATCAATTTGTTTATTTTTTTCATCATATAGAAAATTAACATTTTTAATATTGTTTTCAATCATAAAATTATTTATAATTGATCTTTTTATTTTTTATGTAAATTTTTTATGTGTCTCTTCCATTTTGATATTAGTTTTATATGGGTATTGTAAATTTTTACGTACTTCACTTTCCTCTTTTAGATTTTTACGTACTTAGCTACTAGAAATTTACGTACTTGGCCACCGAAGTACATAAATCAGTTCTCGCGCTGTATATTTGTACTATAAAATTTTACGTACTTCTCATTTTGGAGTTTACATACTTCCGATTTTATGTACCTGCTGTATTTGATTTTTAGAGCATCCCCAGCGGTGGCTGTATCTGTAAAATAGCAATAAAAAAATACAGATTTTTGACTACAGCGGTAGCGCTAAATAGAAATGTAAATTAGTTTATCTCCATTTGCAACACTGTTGGCAGCAAATATAGAGTCAATTTGCCGACGTGCTGAAAACTTTTCTTCTTTCTCCCTTTCTCTGCTTTCAATAAGCTAATTTTTTCTTCCATGAGTCCCAACAACAGTAACAGCAACAGCAACGATACCGAACCTATCAACGGCGGCTGAGGAAAGAGTTTCTCAGCAGCAGAAGATAAACAGCTATGTAATGCATGGTTGAATACGAGCATGTGTCCTGTTACAGGCGTTGAATTGAAAGGAGAGGCATTTTGGATTGCTATCCACAAAAGTTTTTTGGAACGCATGAAGGAGAGCGCAAAACTCGTGCTGGAAAGCACTGGATATGAAGTTCACATCATTGAACGTACTGTAAAGTCGATTAAGGATCGTTGGACCTATATCCACCCTAGAGTTTCCAAGTACATTGGCTGCGTTGCCCAAGTGGAGAGTGGTTATACAAGTGGCACAAATATAACTGACGAGGTGATTATTATAGCGTATATGCTGATATAGTTTTCATGGTAAACGTGATCCTATCACCACGGTTATTTATATCAATGCAAATAAACCCTTATGAAGGTGGAAGCTGTTAAAGCACTGTTCGAGAGATATTACAAGCAAAGCTGGAATCTAAGCCATTGCTATGCTCTCCTCAAGAATGAGCCAAAGTGGATGGATCTTGAGAAGAAGAAGAAGGATGAGGAAGGGTCGACGGCCAGGGCCAACAACGCAAAGAAGGGAGGCGCGAATCAAGGCTCGAGTGAGCGACCCATCGGGCGCAAGCAAGCAAAAGCGCAACGTGGCGAGAAGCGTCAACTCGAAGAAGATGAGTCCGAGTTAGTCGCCATAGAACGCGAGCAACTCGAGTGGACGCGGAAACGCGTTTCTTTTGATGCAACGCCAATCATACATCATCATCATGAACACGAACATAAGTGATATGGACGAGGACTCTGCGGAATACTTCCGTATAATGAAGAAAAGGGTCCTCAAGGCTTTGAAGGAGGAAGAAAAAGCTGCTGAACAAGGCAGTGGTGTGGCTGAACTAGATGCCGCAGCTGTCATAGAAGAAGAGAGTGTAGAAGATGAAGAAGGAGAAGAAGGGGAAGAAAGTAGAGAAGATGCAAATGACGAACATGTAAGCGATGAAAATTAAAAGATCAATGTTTATTCTGAGCTCTCTCCATGACGGCTCCATAGATGATCGATCAAATCTTCTTTCAACTGTGCATGAACTTGACTATCTCTTATGTCTACATGTCGTTGGATGAACTCTTCTAAAGTTTGTTGATCGCGATTGATCTGCGGTGTCGTAGGATCGTGGTACTGGAATCGGCTATTATCTGTATCAATCTGCAATGGTAGCTTGTACCTAGCACGCTCATCCTCCACGATCATATTATGCAGGATAATACACGAAGTCATGACATTATGAATATCTTCACGTTTCCATAATCTTACAGGTCGTTGGATTATACCGAAGCGTGATTGCAATGCACCAAAAGCACACTCGACATCCTTGCGATATGCTTCTTGCTTTCTTTTGAATAACTACACAGAAAATAGGTTTTAATAAGAGCATAGTGCAATCATATTTCAGTACCTGTTCTTTGGTGCTATAGGTTCGCCAGGAATCGATTGTATTAAAGTTGCCCATTTTGGATAAATTCCGTCAGCGAGATAGTATCCTTTGTTATACACGTGGTCACCAATAGTAAACTCGACGGGTGGTGTACGACCAGCGGCAAGATCAGCAAACAAATGTGAACGATGTAGCACATTGATATCCTTGAGGGAACCAGGGAGCCCAAAGAATGCGTGCCAGATCCATAAGTCACAGGATGCCACTGCCTCAAGAATAATTGTGGCCTTTTTTTCTTTTCCTTGGTACTGGCCCCTCCAAGCAGTAGGACAATTCTTCCATTCGACATGCATGCAATCAAGAGACCCAAGCATGCCCGGAAAGTTGCGCTTTTCAGCAAAAGCCAACAGCCTCTTGGTATCTTCTGCATTGGGCGCACGAAGATATTCGTCACCAAAAGCCTTGATTACTGCCGAGCAAAAACGCTTTAAACACTCTAAAGCAGTGCTTTCACCCATCCGAAGATATTCGTCGACTACCTTGGCACTGCCTCCGTAAGCAAGTTGTCTCATCGCAGCAGATACTTTTTGCAACGTCGAATGGCCCGGTTTTAACGCAGCATCATACTTTTGTTCAAAATAATTGTCATGCTGTTTTACGCCTTCTACTATACGTAAAAAAAGATCACGTTCCATACGGTAGACGCGGCAAAAGTCTTTATCGTCATATACGGAATCTTCAGCAAAGTAGTCCTTGTATAGACGATCTG